TGTTTTCCTGAGGTTGATCCTTGGAGTAAGTTTGAGTATCTCTCAGGAGTTTCATATATATTGCGACAAGAATCTCAACGATACTGGGTATAGATACTGGCCATCTTGCTGATCTACCACTGTCACGACTATTCTTGTCAAGCCAGCGTACGCGAAAGACATCGGTATTACGGTTATATACCGTCTGGAATGATTGTTTATACCACCCCAGGGAGGAGGCGTGCAGTCATCCTACCAGAGCCAAGGCATTGCGCAAACCAGATAATTCGCTAGGCAAAACAGCAAATGTTCTTTTAGCATCAACAATGAGCGCATATTTCCGGCTTTGCTCTACAGACTTTAGCAACACAGACCAAACCTTGGTTGAATAAGAACGAAAGAACGGACTAAAGGTACAGACAGCTTAGAGGCAGCTCGGTCGTCGATGGGCTCGCTGGCAGGCAGGATAACCATTGCGCCTGCATAGAATCACCGTTTCATATTCGTGAATAGCATAGCCTTCCTTGATTATCTACTCTGGGCTAGTGCTGTGGCAGTTTCCCAACCACCACCTCACAGTCCTGGAGGGGGAGGAACCTAAATCGAGCAGAGCAGTTAATATTTCCGCTTGACCACACGACATTGACTCGGTCACATATTACTTACCGCGCTGTAGCTACCGCCGGGTGGGGGAGGTGGCGGAGAGCCCGATCCCGGAGGGGGAGGAGGAGGAGCCTCGCTGGCGGGAGGAGGCGGTGGCGGAGCGGGGCTCTGGGATTGTTGCTGTTGCTGTTGCTGCTGCTGAGCAGCCGCCTGATAATATTGGTAGTAGGCAAGGTAGTTCTGGTAACCGCCGTAGGCAGCATACGGGTCGGTTCCGTAGTATTGAGCATACTGGGCGCTGTAGTCAGGAGTTCCGGTACCCGAACCGCCAGCACCACCCGCGGCTTGGGTCGACGGGCTGGCAGAAGTAGACGGCGAGTTTTGGTGATGGTTGTTACCATATCCGCCGCCGCCACCACCACCACCGCCGCCGTAACCTCCACCGTAGTGATAGCGGTCTCCGCGCTGGCCGCCATAGCCGCCGTAGCTGTGCTGGGGCGGGTTCTCCTTGAAACGCTGGTACTGTTCACGGACGTTGGCTAGTAGATCCTCACACAAGGCCTTTGCACTCTGGACATCGTTCGGGTCGGGACCACTGCAGAAAAAAAAAGTAATAAGCATCAATGCAAGTTGTCTCGGATGTTGCAGGGCCAGGAAGGGGTGTAGGAGCGTTACGTACGCAACGTGCAGGAACATCGGCTCATCGCTTTCCCTGCCAGTGCTGGGCTCCATGAAACCAGAGCCACGGCCTTTAATTTGAACCTTGCAGCGAGTCTTTTGCTGGATGTGCTTCACGTAGGCACCGCCTTGGCCGACGACCTGAGCGCGGAGGTTGAAGCCAGGGATCGGTTCGAGATCGACGGGGATCCGCTCCTCGGGCCATTTGCGCTGTATACCATTGATTAGTGATACTTTTCCTGATGAGCTTGAGTTGAAAGGAATGAAGAGGGTAGCTCCTGGTGGAGTATTATATGGTGGGAGGGACGTACACGACCGTACTCATCCCGCTCCACTTGCTCGGGTTCGCGGCGACGGAACCGGCGCTCATCGACCAGGTTGGGGAGCTCTTTCTTCATGAGATCGTCGATCAAGGCGACAGCCTTCTCAAGGCCTTCCTTGTTTGTGCTCGTTACGTGGAGATAAAGCGGAGGGTTCTGGGTAGGGAACACATGTTAGTATGTTCAGAGAGCTGGGTGGGTATGTAGAACGTACCGCAGCGGTGGCCATGCTCTTGTCCGGGTAATAGTTTCCTCTTGTAGTGACATCTTGAAAAGAGAACAGAAATGATGAGCTTCCTTCTTGTAGTCAAACGTTTGATATAAACAGTGTAAAATATGGAATGAAAGGCGTACCGGCGCCAGTTTCTTCTTTGATCTAAATGTCACGCAGCGGAGGTCAGCAGATGCAAATGAGGGCAAGTGTTGGGATGCTATTGCAAGACGTTGACTTGGGTAAGCTTTAGCCATAACCACAAAACGAATCATTGGAAAAACGGGGGGATAGATAGAAGAGAAGAAAGAGGCCAAAAATGAGCAAGCAAAACCAAGCAAAGGCGCATGGCGAACGACGGAAGCCAGCAGCTAGCTTGCGACAAGTTTTGGGCTTGGGCCTGGGCAGGATCAGCGGATGTAAACAGGAGTAATTACCATCTTCTGAGTAGAGCCTTTGGTCAGCGTGTAACGGTTGCGCAAGTCATTAATCTCAATATCCTTGATATAGTCTCCATCAGCAACGTAGATCTCCGCGTTCAACTTTCCAGATGCATCGCCGGTGGGAGGTGAGCCGGATGTTGGTACGGGGCTTGCGGTCTAAGTAGTAGAAGCCAGGGTCAGCATATCATGTTATTCCGTGCCTTGCGACCAGTGTCAGTCATGCTTACCGAGCGAATTGGAGGAACGTCGACATGTTGAATACCCTTTTTCGCTTGCAACTGGGCGTTGATCTTTGCCGCAGCGGCAGCTGTGTGTATGACTCCAACGTTAGTTCTGCTGCTACACAAGTTCCCTGCGCCATCGACTCTTGCCATTATCCTGAAGGAACGAACGTACCAGCGGCGGCAGCGGGATCGGTCTTCTTCGCAGGGTCCGCGCTAGGGCTCCGAGGTTCACGACTGAGAGGGCTGCGAGCTCGAGTCGACTCGGACTGTCGCGACGAGGGAGACCGAGAGCGGCGGTCGAAGCGCGACGGGCGTCGCACTTCCGGCTCGGTCTGATCAAACCGAGAGCGTTTCGAGCGGCGATCGTCCATAGTATCGGCAATGTCGGGAGTGAGAGGTAAGAGAAGGGGAAGGGATAAGTAACGTCTAAGGTGAAAATGAAGGGCGTGAGGCAAGGCAGCAAGGTAGGCCCGAAAAGGCCAAGATAAACTTGCCAAAGACTTTCGCAGGCGGTGGAGTTTGGAACGATCCGCCCGGTTTGGCCGCTAAAGAAGACTCGACTCGAGATGGTTTAGTGGCCCAGCGAAAAAGTAGCAGAAACTAAGCAAGAAATGCCAGCCACGGGGGATGCCGAGCTGCCACTCCGGAGAACTTAGTGGTAGCGGCCCTTTGCGCTTGGGACCAATAATAGGCCTAGTGTTTTAAGTGTGTGTAGTAGATAGTTGTGCCCGTACTAACCGTACAGGGTCCTTTCGATCGAATAATTTCCCCGGAGAGATGATAGGTAGGTAACTGAACACAATAATTCATTCGAACATTGCAGAAGATGTACTGGATGAATCTATAAGATTCTCAAACCACCAAGTAGTAACAACAAGACAATAGAATCTCGATCAAGAAACGAAAGATGCAGCCCCGATCATGTGAGTTCCAAAACAACTAACCCCAAAACAGCCAAGCGGCAAACACTATCTAGTCAGTATGGTAAGTAATAAAACTTGTCACGGGACGACGAATCCTTACCGCCGGGACTGAGTCAGCGCCCCGAGGTCGGAAGGCCGCCGCGTATAAAATGCAATGCGAAGTTCAACCTGCGGACTTTATTCTCCGCGACCCCAGAAAGCCCTGCGAGGATCTCCGGACTTTGCTGCCTGCCACTGTTTCCCACAAGTGCAGGCCTAATCCGTCGCGGCGATCATGGCATTCCGGCGTCCTTTGATGCTGTCAACGACAGCATCAACGCCTTTCCTGTCCGTTGCGAGCCGCAACTCACGCCTGGGAGCCTCCCGATTCAGCACCACCATTCGGGCCTCTTCCTCCAGTTCGACCTCAGCCCTAGCCTACAAGGCCCTTCATCGCCGGTCTCCCCTCCCTCTCCCCGTCAACGATGCCTCGCCGCAATGGGACGCCCCCACGGCCGTTTCGTCCATTCTCTACGAAACCCCTTCCGTCCCCACCAACCCTCCCAAGCGCCATATCCTGAACTGTCTGGTGCAGAACGAGCCCGGTGTGCTGTCCCGCGTGTCCGGTATCCTGGCTGCTCGCGGCTTCAACATCGACTCTCTCGTCGTCTGCAACACCGAGGTCGAGGATCTGTCTCGTATGACCATCGTCTTGCAGGGTCAGGACGGCGTCGTCGAGCAGGCTCGTCGTCAACTCGATGATCTCGTCCCCGTCTGGGCCGTCCTCGATTACACTGACTCCGCCCTGGTGCAGCGCGAACTCCTCCTCGCCAAGGTCAGCATCTTGGGCCCCGAGTTCTTCGAGGAATTGCTGCAGCACCACCGCGAAATCACCACCCCCGGTGAGCAGACTGAGGGTCAGAAGGATAAGGCTGCGCAAGTTGCGAAGACCGAGTTCCACCCCCGTAATCTGCCCCATTCTCAGGCTTTGAGACACAAGCATGAGCATTTGGATGCGATTACTCGCTTGACTCATCAGTTCGGTGGAAAGGTGCTGGATATCAGTACCAACAACTGCATTGTTGAGGTGTAAGTTTCCTCCCTAACCAGCATGAGTCATACGATTCTGGTTTTTCTTGGTGCTAATGATATGTGATATAGCTCCGCCAAACCCTCCCGTATCGACTCCTTCATGAAGCTCATCGGCCCCTTCGGTGTCCTCGAGTCCACCCGTACCGGTCTGATGGCTCTGCCCCGGTCTCCTCTCTTCGAGCCTAGCGAGGAGATCGAGAAGGACGCCGCTGACGTTGTTGACGCCAGCACCCTTCCCCCCGGTTAAATGTAATCGTCTGTGCGCTTTTACTTATCTATCCATTATCTATATCCCTCAATGTAAAAAGCACAACCACAATGTATTTCATCCATATTTCCTTTGCAAGTCTAAGCTAAGCTTAATAATATGTTGTAAATTCGCATGTTCAATGATTCATTCGAAGTGTTTTGTGTACGTCTATATCTTCGGCCTGCAAGCATTCTCGTTTGCGATATGGATAGGGTCATAAGCAGTGGTAGTAATCGGCTGTAGAGCTGTGAATTGAACCTAATATTACTAGTAATAATAGTATCACTTTCCATTGAGAGCCAATCGTACTCAGCTTTGTATTTAAAATGAGTCATCCGTATCCTAGCGAAAAGCCCAATAGACTAAGAAAGGAATAGCCTAGTTACCCCAACGTCAAAACGCCCGATCTATTCATAACGCCAGCTCAGGCTGAATGAGAGACCGATTTAAGCCCGCTTGTAAAAGCATGAACTAAACAATAACCCAGAAATGGAAAACAAAGAAAGAAAGAATAAACTCCTAAAGCTTGACTCGCGCCTTGATCCCCTTCCCATGATAAAACACTATATCCCGATAGTGTTGAATCTGAACGCCAACCTTCGCCACGGCATCTAATCCAAGAGTGCCTCCCAGCGCTTTCTTCAGCGCGTCATAGCCAATACCGCCGAGATTCAAATCCACAGGCAGCCGGGGTGTAATTGAAATACCCGGCGGCACGGGGAACGGCACGCGGTAGTCGATGGTGCCGACTTCCTCGTCGCCCTCGTAAAAGGCCTGCGCATATACCGAAGTGATGTCAATGGTGGTGTTGGGGAATGGTGAGGATAGTGTGAACTCGGCCGTCGATGACCAGAGGTGCATCTAGCAGCACTCATGCAAGTTAGTCTTCCGCTTGTCTTGAACGGAGCGCGCGCTCCTTGGATGAACAAATGCCTCGTTATGATTATGAAAGAATGTATATGCGGTGATTTATATGTTATGTTCCAAGACGATATCTATGAAAGTAGATAATACCGTAGCTCCTTGAATGAACCCTTTTGGGCCATCATCAGGGTCGTCCCCGGTACCGGGGGCATGAGGCACGGGTACCCGAGGAATTTGAACCTCGAGCCCTAGTTTCGATAGTGCCTTCCCAAGTTTGGGTAGTCCCGGGATCGTTCCCTCATGTGTCCGTACTGTAACAGTGGTGTTGTATCCTGCGACGGTAATTAGAAATTGGAGGAAAGAAAAGGGCTTTCTGAAGCTCACCAGAAATATACCTGGAGAGTAGCTCCCGGCCAGCAGTGACGCCAGTCTCCCCATCCAGAACAAGTGGGCTCCATGTGAGGTCCACGGGGAGACCATCATTGGCGCCCGGTGTAATTGTAAGATCCTTCGCAGTGATATGTCCGACTTTAGAACCGTTAAATAGAAGCAGGAAATCGACTGATGGCACTGATGCTGAGTATGGCGAGGGGTTGGTCACGTTGACCAGAGCCTTCACAAGAAGAGATGAGGCAGTAGTAGTTCCCAGTTCTACCGATGCAATACGCGGGCTTAATTCGTCCAAAGAACCACCGTATGGGGCTACAGGAAAGTCAGTCGATAGGCCAGGGTGTCAGCCAGATTTGACTTACGCTTAACCACGATCTCACCCTGTGCGGGTATCTCACTAACAGCAAAAGTGCCCAATCCGGTGGTGACTTCCGCATCTACACTGGCGGCGACATCAAGCTTGACCCGTTTTCCTTGGAAAATCAAGTCTTGAAGAACATCAGTCAAGACATCTTCATCCGTCACTTCAAGCGGCGCTTTCTTGATCCCGAAGTCGACGTACAACGCTGGCGAGCCATCAACATCGTCGAGCAGGGTCGAGTTGGCAGCTTGCCATTTTCGCAAGTTCAATATTCCAAGTTTATTGCCACCGTAAAACACGTCAGCAGTAGCCCGGACCCTAGGAACATCCAACTGAAGGCCTAGTTCTTTCGGCAGCCCAATCAGCACCTTGACCAACGCAGATACCGTCGGCTGTGATTCTGGGGAATCGGGTTCTGCAAAGGGATCTGGCAGGGTGAAATGCACGTCCGACATTGTGAAATTCCTGACGAGATTGTCAAGGGCATGCCCGGTAAAGCTCAGCGGCACTGTCACACTTTTGAGGATATCTACAACCCATCCGGGTGTAGCCAGAGAAGGTGGGTCCGCTCCACGGACATAGACAGTGGTTCCATCTCCATGAATGTAGCTCTTGACCAGGAAATCCAGAGGGGAACCTTTCATTCCTGGACAAACTCTGGTCAGGTCCTCAGAGAGTCCTTGAATTATGCCGGCGACGTCAAATGATGTTGGCTGGCCAGGAGTAATGGGGAACCCTCGAGTCGTAGCAGCAGCTACCCGAATCGGGGCATCACCAGGAGAGCAATTTGGGACCAGCACTTCGAACCCGAGCGGAGGAATGTTCACTCCGAACGGTGAATCAAACTGAGCAGCAACTGAGGCATCAATTGCCATTGCGCCTTGCTGTCCTGGGTCTTCCGCATCATGAACGTTGAAATTCGTGATGTTGACAGCCGGCAAAGAAGGAAAGTCGCCCTCTAGATCCGGGTTAATAGGTTATACGATGAATCGGAATAGTATGGGACCAACCTTCAATAGTGAGGGAGTCGGAAAGGAACTGCTGGCCCAGGCTGAGGAAGCCCGACTTGATATCAAGTGTTGCTGTTCCTCTGACCGTCAGTTTCTCGAGCTTTCCGTTCAACCAGTCCAGTGCGACATTGTGAATTCCCTCAAAGTCTCCAGGCACAAAGTCTGCCAGGAAATTGACATGGTTTACATGACCATTCTGAATGTTGACCCTGACGGAAGGCAAGTTTGCCGTGCCAAGGAGAACGTTCCCATACTCTGGGAGATATAGTTCGACTTCTGACTGGCCGGATTCAGCCTCCCTTCCGATCCAAGTGACGAAACGACCAATGTCCCGCACCGGTCTCTTGTGTACGCGCCCCGCATCGAGCACCACGTCCCCTTGTACCCGGGCTTGAAGGCCATCGGCAGTGGCTGATTCGATTGAGACATTGGTGGGCTTGAAGACCACCGCCTCCTTGGCGTATTCCTTCACGGCAGCTGGGGCGATGAAGGCGAAGATGAGAATCGCGACTACAGCAGCCACTGTAAGGAGAGCACAGAAAATCGGCCATCGTATACGTCCACGGCGTTTCTTGAGTGACCCATTGGGCGAGAGACTTCGAGGTCGGACAGACGACGGCCTCCTGGAACCGGTCCCGCCGTATCCCAGTAAATCGTCATTGTGATGGATGAGGAGAGGGGTGGATTCGGAAGAGAGCTCATACGGACCAGGCTCCGAATCTGGGTGATGGGAAGCTTTGCCAATGGATGTTGGGGAGCGCTGAGGCGAGATAGGTCGTGGCTCTTGCTCTAGCAGAAGCCGGCTTGCCTCCTCAGCCATGGTGGCTGGCGCTAGGGAGCGGGGAGAAGATCAGGGTTGGGAACGACAGAATGGCACGCTCCTGAGAGCAACTAGAGATGTGAACACGAGTTGCGAGTGTGGCAAGTGGCATGAAAGTGAGTGCTTGGCAAAGGGGAAGGAGATGGGGGGAATCGGAGGAAATAAATAAGCAGCGGGAAGGCAAGAGAGAGCAATGATGGGCTGAGGGAATGCGTTGAAGGAGTGACAACTTGACAGGCAGACTGATTGGGTACGTGGAGAGCATCCCGGCCAGTCCAATCCGGCTGATCGTCAACGTAAGTAAGGCTGGTCCGGGCGGTGTGGGGGATGCATTCAACTTCTCCCATCAAATACCAGAATTCAAGGTGAGGCAGACTCTTACTAAATCATTAAGTGATTCGATGATCTGCTGGAAGCGGTAGGCCCCCGATCTTGTTGCTGCCCTACTCGGAGATTTTCTGAATCCTACTGGGATGATCCAAGTAGCCCAATGTACTTGGTCGAGTCCAGTACTTAGTAGTACCACTTCGCATCGCTATAAATATACTGTCACCGGCAGCCTAGTAGGGGTTGATACACTGATCTGATCGATAGGAATTACTGGATAGATAAACTACAGTCAGAGTGGAGCTCTGATGCCCATATTTAATCTCCATAGACTGCATAAGCTGGAGTAGTGCGGTACTATATACTAGTCAATAATGTGGCCGCCACGGATAGCAGCGACTAGTTAGATAGATACTACTTGACGAGACACTAGGGTCTATTCATCCAACCATGCTTTACCGCAGTTAAGCTTATTATTAGTTATCCTGTAAGCAAGAGATCATTGATTTCAAGACCACCCAAAAAAGGTTGCTGTCAGTCATCCGGAAGTCATGAATGAATGCCCGCATTTTCACATGCCATTCCGCCGCGCACGGGCGCCTTCGAGCTCCAGCCGAAGGTGGTTCGATCTTCTCCTCCAACCCCGACGATCATCACGATCTGGGTTTAATAGCCCATTGTGTCCTCTCTCCATCTTCAACAATCTTCTCACCTCATTTGTCTCGAATACTTCCCCGCAAAAGATCATCTGGTGACCGTGTGGTCCTAACGCCCCCATGGATGTAAGTGTCCCTTGCCCCAGATCCACCCACACCCACTCACTAACTGCCCATCAACATCAGTCTTCACAATCTCAAAGTGGATTTCGATCACGCCGTTCATATCCCACCCTACACCATGTATCTCTGTCTCCACTGAACCCTCGATTTCCCATCGACGACGATACCGATGCCCCAGACTATTTCTCTCCTCGCCACGAAATCACCGGCACCCCCAGCACAACCAGGACCTCTTATCTCTCTAGTTTCTCCGTCCCCGGAACCCCAGGCGTCCTATCCCACTCTCACTCCCGTAGCGGGTCCCGCGTTCGTCGCCATTCCCGAAGCAAGAGCTCCACTCGCATCCATTCCAGCGACACCAATTTACAGTCCCGGAGCGTGGCCAGTCCACTTCATCACCAACAGAATGAAGAACTCCGCCGAAGCAGAGCACGCTCCTCCCGGCGTCACCCCGATGCCGTCCACCACCATCACAATCCAGACACAGAATGGATGCTCCGCGCAGGCATCGCCCTCGCATCCTCGACCCGCGAAGAAAAAGGTCAAAGCTGGCTCGTTAAACGCCAAAGCTCAACCAGCCTCGTCTCGGACAGCCATCAAATCGACCTAGACAGCCAACAGCATCAACAACCATGGACCTCACGGAGCAGCACCCGCCGTTCTCAATCCGGCATATCCACCCCTGCTGCCTACTCTCGTCGAGCCTCCCGCTCACGCCCAACAAGCCGCAGATCCAGCAGACCAGACCTGGCCATGACCAGCCTCGACATAACCCGGTTTTCCGGCAGACGAGAGATCCCCACCACAACCAGCAGCAGTGGCATCCACACGCCCCTCGAAGCAGAGCAATCCCGTCACATGCTCCCCGATTTCGTGGACGAGCGCATCCGCGCCGAGATGGCAAATATAGCCTCCGAAGAAGATGAAGGAGAAGAAGAAGACAACCTCAGCTTCACATCCACCTCCGACTCCCTCCACGCCTCCGAAGACGAACTAGACGAACAAGAATTCCAGCGTCTCACCCGCGAACGAGGCTTCGGACTAGGCAGCTGGATCGACCGAATGGTAGAATGGACCCTATTCGGCGTCGACGACTGGCCACTCTCTACTACCACAACAACTGCACCACCAGCAGTAACATCAGTGGAGACCATCGACCACGACCCTCAATCTCTCATGCATGAGAACATCCATTCCCAAGAAACAGACACCATATCCATAGCGACAGAGTCAGATATCGCTTCCATAAGCGAAGAGAAACCCGGAACCCGCGGCGGGTGGGAAGATGCCGGATGGTTGTTCAGGGTTGTGAAACGTGCACTGTCATGAACGGGAGAAGACCACAAAGTAGAACAGGGCAATTTTACTTACTTCCATACTTATTGTATAATTTAACCATGGATGGATCCTCTCTCTTCTCTATGAGAATACAACCACTAATAGCAAGGTATATATATTCATGGATAGGGTAACCAATAATATTCTCTTTTCTTCATATAGTACTTAGTAGTATTAAGCAACTAAGCCATGTAAAGACTTACCCAAGTGAGCACGGGACAAGGGTTAGCTACTTACTGAGTTCTTTTTCTTGTTTTTCTTATCCTGCACGACGGTCTGCGAACACGTAAGTGCATACGTATGACCCCCCATGCTGACATGGCCACTTAGTTAAGTTCGTGGTTAGCGTACCGCCGGGTTGACTGGTTGGTGAGAGTTGTTGCACGGTGTCTGTATCATTGAAAGTTGCTACTGAGTTAATACTATGGGATGGATGGTTATGGAGTAGGTCTATTTAGTAGCTGTTTAGTTAATGTGGCATACTATGTGATTACTATGTTTCGCTACTTACAAGTAAGTAGCAGAATAATACTAGTGTAGTCTTGTAGCGTACAGATAACTCTTACTACCTAAATTGTAATGCTAGTTACATCATCATGGTTGCAAGTGTTGGCGATGGCGTGAGACTGAGTTAAAGGCGCATGTATACCAATGTTTCTACCGAGTTGTTGGTTAGGCAGGATATATTTCTGCAGTGCGAGGGAGGTTTCTCAAATGTGGAACATTAGCAGGAGGATAAATTATCAGAGCAGCAGAATGTAACGAGAGTATCAGTTGGTTGATAACCCGAGACGGCTCGGGAGGTTGGTTCTCGTGGTATTGTGACTATCTGGACAATGATGCTCCCTTTTGTTCTTATGCTTTACTGACATGTAGTGTAACCCGTCCCACCAAATGAAAGAAGCCTCCCAAAACCCGAAGAAGAATATACCTGACACCAGTGATATTAAGGGGAAAATAGTAAAGGGTATACAAGATAGGGCAAAGACAAGGAAAATGCAGCTAGGCTGAAAGAATGAAGCGGTTTTTTCCCACGGCGGTTCGAGTATATATCGCCGAGACAGAAGAGGAACACATGAAGTGAAAGGAAATGATAAGAAGAGAACGTCGAGGAATGAAAGAATGTACCATGCTCGGCCTTGACAATGCAGGATCATGGTGCAAGTTTGGAACGAAATGAAGGATCCTGGGCCTTGATCTGACAATCTAGAAATCATGGGGTTGGCGTCCAGAGATATGACACAAAAAAGCAGGAAATAGAAAATAAAACGAAAAGAATATGTTTGCTTGCACACAGTAAACGCCAAGGTGACCCTCAACTCTAGTTCATGCAGTAGGTAGTCGTGATCGTATCATACGTGGACGTGCACGGTCGAGGATTCGGACAGTAGCCCTAAGTTTTAGAGGGCAGGTAAAAGTGTCGCGTATTTGATGTTATGGTTGGAAATGATGATAAGGCGGATTGCGGTTGTCGATGGCTGACCGGATTCACCATGGCCCAACCTTGACGGGGGTACCGAGCCCGTATGTGCCCGACAGGAGTTGCTCCCGGATGGACCCAAGGTCATTGCCGCCTGGGCTTCCATAACCTTGGGCATCCGGTCTGTGCATCCATCCCAAACTGGAACCAAGCTCGTTGACGGCTGCCTGCAGTTTACCGCCCGAGTTGTGATTGTGCTTCGCCAACTTCTGATCCCAACCACCGTATTGTAACTGAATTCCACCACCACGCTTGGCTGCTTCCCGAATCACCAAAATCCAAGCCTTGCAGATCTCATCGTATGCAGAATCCCGCTCGAGGTTGTTCTGTGGTGTACTCCAACGGGGCAGTGCGTGAATTATGTCGGTCGCACCATCCAGGTAACTCAAGGAAACAGACGACTGCGTCTCGTGAGGTGGTAGGAAATGTGGAGTGAAGTCGCTCAGAGCATCTAGAAGATTCCCCAGCGGTTGTCGGACACGATTGTATGCATAATCTGATTCGGAGTTGCCACCGAGCGGGAACGACGACTGAAGGGCAGATTCGTAATGTCGAAGGACTTGAAGGGCAGATGCCACGCTGGGTCGAGGTGCTGTGTGCACCACTTCATCAACCAAACCTGGATGACGCTCACACACGGTCCGAAGGATGCCCCGAAGAGCGTCTGTGTCCAAGGTCTCCAGCAGTCGGGGGAGAGCGAGAGGCCGTCCGCTAACATTCGGACGAGCACGCTTGATGTTTCGGTTGACTGGAAGGGTTCTCGGGGTCAAGGCGGGAGAGTTGGTAGGTGATGCTGACATTCGACCATCGTGATCATTCTCATCGTCGGCTTTCCGTTTGCGGTTGTTGGGAGTGTGAATGGGGGTAGACACTGATATCAGTCAGTCATCAAAGGTCACATAGCAAGGGAATCATCATCGAATGCACTGGGGAAAGACAGGGAGATGCTTACTTGGACGGGAGGGAGAAGGACGGGAGTATTCGTAAAAGTGATGAGGAGGCACAGGTGGTGTAGCCACCAAGCTGTTCATGATGACCACAAACAGCTGGATGGCAAAGGGAAAGAGGGAGGGGAGGAAGAGAGGTAACGGGAGATGACGGGGGGGAAAGCAGAGATGAGGGATCAAAGGTCAGCCAGGAGCACGAGGGAAAATATCAAAGGGGGAAAGGATAAGGAAAGCGAACAAGCAAGGGAAAGACGGAGTGCAGGATGGAGGATGAAGGGGAGACTTTCTGAAGTGGTGGGGAAAGAGAGAAAGACGAGCGAGAAGCGGTGGACGGGCGGGTTGCGGGAGGCAACGCGGGCCTGAGATGCATTTCCCGCGGATCCATGACTCTGACTTGAAAGTCTGTGACTGCTCTTCTCCTCTACCGTTTACCCACTTGCTCAATGTGATCCACCCATTTCCACCTTGGAATACTACCCTCTTCCTCCCTCCTGATTTGTGGCAAAAACCCTGTTACTATTATCCCAGGCTTTGCGGCTGCTGCGTCAACTTGGCCCTGCACCACTTACAGATCCCCAAGGTCCGCATGACCCCAACTCATCAAGCGTCAACTCTAAAACCGCCCGATAAACGGAGCATCTTGTCAATGACTGATACAGTCGACCGGACTGTTCCACCGCGTGGCCATCTTGGGATACGGGACCAGCCATTATCTATGTTCCCTGATGCCACCCTCATTTTCATTTTCCCTTATCCAAGCCTGCAATATCCTTCCAACATGCTGTGCTTCTGAGGAAGTTACATGCTAACCCTGTGACGCTGTCGTGACTACGTCTGCAGTCTCAAATCTCTGCCGCCCCGGATTGACATTCATCTGCACACCTTACCCTAGAGCAGGAATGATCCTCAAGCTGTAACCTGGTCGACCTTGCAGAAAACGAGCCCTGAGGTCTTGTTTTAGTGGAACATCAGACTAACGTTGTCCAGCTACCCTGGTATCCGGAACTGGGGCTAATCATACACTCCTCGGGTTCAATTCTGCTGCCCCCTTAATTTTCATATCTGACTTTACATCATTGGAATTGACCTAACGCTGGCTGAGGGATTAGTCCGACTAAGACCTCATATACTGAACCCACAAGCAAGGTCCAGGAGGGGGCTTACGATCTAGGGCCATGAGAGTTCCTATAGTAACCTCCAGAGAAACGCCTCACCCACGGCATCGAGCAGTGAGGATGCCCTCAACTGAAACATTCTCCCGTTGAACACTGCGTCATGGTAACCTTGCCGTATTCCAGACATCCTTATTGAACTGTTCGCAAGCCACTCGGTTGACAGGTAGGCGATAGATGGGTCTGACTTTTAGCGTTTGACATATGACACTTTGCTCGTGTCTGGGATATTGGTCTGGGGTTATCGTCCAACCACCTGAGACCGCGTGAGGTCGTAGCCCTATGGCTTACTGGCTGCAAACGACGACATCGAAAGTATAGATCCCTGGCTCCGGGCGTCCTGGCATATCGTCAACCATTTGTAGAAGTGTCACTTATAGTGCCAAGATATTCTCAATATATCTTTCATACGAACCTAATAAGGAACAGAGCCCACAGAATAGCATAGCCAACCTCAAAGTACTACAAGAAAACAACACTTTCTCCGCACAGCGCGCATTATGGACACACATCCCATAGTAGTCATACCAATTTAGAAGTACTAAAGCCCCCAATCAACCAACCAATAATCCCCATAAAACCGAACCAATTCCCAGGATTCAAGCACCAAAAACCATCAAACAAGTACAAAGAAATCACACTGTAGTCAGTATTCTTTTTTCATTGCAAATCTACAGTGGTCCGTACGATAAATACAGACTGGGTAACATTCCCGTTCGTTGGCTTTTAAATGAACCGTGTCTGAGTCTGAGTGTCCATGGGATGCCTAAACACCACCACACAATTACTTCTCACATATATGCGTGGACCAACGAAGCCGGGTGCTGTTTGTAAAGAACCGGAATTGAAATTGCGATTCTAGGGGGTCAAAATGGATTTTAAATAAGAGGTGACACTGTGTGGTACGGATAGTGGGTAGTTCAGAGAGATAGGAGTGGATGATGATGAATATGAAGCCTGATTGAAAGGGTTGCTTCTTGATGTAGTCTAAATATATTGTGTACATCACATAGGCTTCAGGTAACAGAAAGCAAAAGATGAAAGGGAATGAGATATCTCATTTACAGATAGTAAGAATAAATGAAAAACAAATCCAAATCCTTTTGGGAAGCCTGACGCCAGAAAAAATGCGACCACCCAGATATACCGCGCAAACCATCCTTTACAACAGAGATGATGATGATGATGATGAATGAGGAGGACAATACTGACCCACAGAAGAAGGTAGATAGATACAAGAACTACTAATGATAGGTAGCAGTACCTTAGAGATACAAGGACTGGGCGGCGACAATGTCTCTGCGCACCTTGGTCAAGGCAGTCTCGAATTTACCCTCCAAATCTTCGCTTCCCATGACCTTGGCTGCCTGCGCCATCTGTCGGAGACACTCTTCCAATCGGCGGAAGACGCGAATCAGACTGCCTTCGTAGACATCGGTCATTTTGCTGCATTAGGGAAAAAGGGACCAGTCAGCAATCTAATACTACCACGGAAAAGAAAACGGCCGCGAATGGTGGACATTAAAACTTACCAGATGTCAGCAAAAGACTTGCCGTTCGCCCATTCAAAGATGACCTCCATCAGCTCCCAGTGGAAACCTTGCACGTATTCCTCCTCGTTGACCGCCAACTTGGACTCCTGGGAGACCTTGGCGACGATCCGAGCCTGCGCTTGGATCTCCCTGAGGGGCTTCGCGAGGTCTTCCCGTGTCAGAGCAGGGGTCTCCTTGGTCTTCTCTTCGAAGACGAAGACGCTCAAGGCAGCTGCCACTTGCTCTGGCGTAAGGTTATTGAAGAAACCGTTGAATAGAAGTTCACTGAGCATCAATTCGTCACCAGTACTAATCTCACAGGCAACGCGTGCCTTCAGTTGTACAACTTCGGCCTCGTTGATAAACCCGAATCGACGAAGTACACGCTTACGGCATTTCAACTCTTCGAGTTGCATAATTGCCATGGCATCCGAGATCTTCTTTTTGGTCTCCTTGATCTTGGTTCCCAAATTCACCTTCTCGGAGTACTGATCGTATAATTCGGGTAACCGTGGCGACTCGTGCAGGGGGTTGGAGAGAAGACGGGACTCTAGAACCTCGATTTTCTACAAAGTCGATTAGCCAACAGTGTCACCTCTATTTGTAAATTTCCGGATACTTACCCTGAGCGTCTTTTTGAACTCGTCATCCTTGATACCCATGTTCTCGATAGGATCAAGAGTGGCAATGCCATCCGGGAAGCGCTTCTTCACTTCCTCTAGGGTGTTCTTCAAGTTGTTCCGTGTGTCATTTGGCTTCAAGTCTTTGGGAAGACGGAGGCAAACATGCGCAATGCTCTGAATACAGCTGAGAACAACTGGCACGACCTCCATGCGAGATTTTTCGCCCTCCTTGGGTGGCCTGACGCCAGCCGGTAAGTCCTCGAACGATTTGGTGCCCACGGAATCTCCATCGGCAATGTTAAGGAGAACATCCACTACATGCTTCTGATGATCGTTGAACTCTTCGTTCGAATTCTTCGGCGGCTTGCGATGCTTCCAGTTGACAACGATGCCCCACCCGAACTCAAGGTCCTTGTGCTTGATTTGAACCAAGCGCCCAGGTGTCATGTATGACAGGCAATGCTCGGGATGGCTCATCACTGCCTGCACATCATCGCCGAACTTGCGGAGCTGCTTGCGCAGATCGTAGTACTCGCGGATGGTTCCTTCATCGGGGATGCTGAGATTGGCACGCTTCTCTTCCATTTCCGTAAGTTCTATAGCACAGTCAGCAAGCAGCATTCGATAAAGCAGGGTATAGGGACGCACGTTTCTCAAGCTCTGCGACACCGGCGGTGTTTTGGAATTGATAGAAACATTTCTCCAGCATAAATTCGGGTGAGATGCCTTCCACACGCATGAGGTTAAGAATCATGTTGTAACCCAAATGGAAAGCCGAATTAAGTCGATCCTGTTCACCACGGACAATTTCCTTCGCCACGGCGGGGTCCATCTCCTCACCGACCATCATGATAACGATACCGCGATCATCAAGACCTCTTCGACCAGCACGGCCAGACATCTGAATAAACTCCGATGGCGTGACCCAACGCTGGCTGAAGCCGTCGAATTTCCGGACGCTTGTGAAGACGACAGTTCTCGCAGGCATGTTAAGACCAATAGAGAACGTCTCAGTGGCGAAGAGTACCTTGATCAGACCTTCTTGGAAAAGAATCTCAATCGTCTCTTTGAGGATGGGGAGCAGACCAGAGTGGTGGACACCAATACCCCTGCGAAGAAGAGGCAAGATATTCTGAATTTGGGGCAAATCCCTGTCCTCCTCGGACAGCATTTCGATCGCGCTGTCAAAGACCTTCTGAACCATCTCTTTCTCGGAATCGTCGTTGAAGGCCAAGTTCTTCATCTGCAGAGCACAGCTCTCACATTCGCGCTTGCTGAAACTGAACACAATGACGGGATTCAGGTTCTTGAGCATGACCATCTTCACGATCTTGAAGATGTCGCTCTTTTCCTGAGTGCCACCCTTGTTCAATCTCTTGTCCTTGCCCTTTCCTTTCCGCTTAGCCATCGCATCAGACGGGTCGTCGCCCCTCTTGTCGGCGATACTGCTCATGGCTTTCTGGAAATTCTCCTCGCGGAATACTCCCTTCTCATCCACAATAAGATGCATACCTTCCGATCCATTAGGGAAGAAGTAGTGTTGTAGTGGGGTCGGCCGGAAATCGGTATAGACGACATGGCATGGTTGGTTGTGCATCTTTGTTACCCATTCGGCGAATTGCATAGCATTGGGAATGGTGGCAGACAAGAATACATATCGAACCTTGTCGGGCAACAAGATAATGGTTTCCTCCCAGACGACACCTCTGACTATAGCGTAGGTCAGTATTTGGCAAACAAGAATCAGATCCATTAGACATACTCGCATCACGCATGTAGTGAATTTCATCAAAAATGACCCAGGCAACTTCGCGCATGATCTCAGAACCCCGGTACAGCATGGACCGCAAAATCTCAGTTGTCATGACAAGGCAAGTGGCTGTGGGATTGATGGTGACATCTCCAGTCATCAAGCCCGCATCTCCAAATTCCTCAGCAAACTCTCGGTACTTCTGGTTACTCAAAGCCTTGATCGGACTCGTATAGATAACTCTCTGGTTGTTCTTCAAACACTGCGCAATGGCGTACTCGGCGACCACGGTTTTTCCGGCACTAGTATGGGCTGAAACCAAGACACTTTCTTCTCTCTGAATCGAAGCAATCGCAACCTGCTGGAAAGGATCCAACGTGAATGGCCACACTCTGGCGGGGGTCTCCGGCGGCTTGTGTTCGGAAATGGGCACGTATGGGTACTTCGGCGGGATGGCGACCTGATGCCGCACCTGGTGGGACAACTTGACAGAGGTAGAGTCGTTGACGCCCTGAAGGCCTGCTGATCCCGCGACTTCGCGCTCCTGCTCCGTCTCGAATGAGTCCGCTACCACAGGCTCCGGCTCCTTCTCGAGGCGCGGGCGTTTCGCATCCGGTTGTTCATTGTTGTCGGCGGCGGGGCTTTCTTCGTCCTCCTTCGCTTCATCTTCTTCTTCGACAACAGGCGCATCCGTGATCTCGACATCCTCAGGGGTTTCCGTAGGGGTTTCCGTAGCAGCACCGTCCTCCTTCACGTCGCCATTGACCTGTCGCTTCTTGCTCTTGTCTTTCTTCGCTCGTTTGGGAGCTCCGTCCGCAGGCCTAACGGCCTGAGGCTGGTCCTCGAAGACGTCGAAAAGCTCATCCATCGTCGACAGTCTGCCACAAAGGACGCGGGAATGCACACTGGCCTGGACGGTGGTTGACGTTCTGCACCGTCTCACTGAAGAGCGATCGCACCGAGAAATTTCAATGAACCCGTGAAGGGAAGCGGCGTGTGATTGGCCCAGGCCTCTCAAGGCGGTGAATGGCTGCCGGCGAAACTTGCCGTTCGGAAAAGCAAGTCACGTGAGCGGACAGCCGGGGAGCAGCCGGGAGTATCGTTCCACTCGACTTGCTCGCACCTCCGCCCGTTGATACCAGTAGGATTGTCTCGACCGTCGTGCTTCTCTGCCTCATTCAAAGTGGGTGAAACCTGTTGCTTTTCATACCAATCCAGTCAATTGTCTCTAACTCAGCTCAAGATGTACGCTGCTACCGCCCTCCGCGCCAGAATGGCCACCTCCCTCGTTGCCCGTCGTGGCTTTTCCACCACCCGCGCTCAGCTCGGTAGCCCTTACCACTACGCCGAGGGCCCTCGCTCCAACATTCCCTTCAACCCCCTGACCAAGTACTTCTTCTGGAGATACTGGGCCTTCATGGGTATGTGGCCCAATTGGACGCTGTAGTCGTTGCGAATTGGACGTCTGACTGACTTGCTTACTCTAGTTACCGGTTTCGGTGCCCCCTTCGCCATTGCTGGTATGTTACCATTCGTCTTGCGACAGTCCACATTCGTCTCTCTAACATGTCCATTCCTACAGTCTGGCAGACCTACAAGACCCGCTAAACGCTCTCTCGTGCTGTATTTCCACATGCAATGGCATTGTTGGGCATTGGCAGTTGGTCGAAAATGTATCCTACGTTGGAAGCGCTCGGAAATTGTGTATAAAGCTAGAGAATTTATTATGCTCTGATTCAGGAAATTCCCGGTGTGAAACTTACACCAAAAACATCTGTAGTTGGGGGACGAAGTGCGGTGTGGTGGTGGTTGTCTGATGCCTTATTAGAATATGGATGAAGTCATTGGTCGATTTTTTGTCAGTAGGAAAATTAAAATCTTTGGCTCGGCTTCTGATATGATATTGTTCGCAATTCCGTTGGCGACGCGCGTGAAGGAGAATAAAACCTACACTTGCAAGATCAAATAATTAACTCTATGAGAGTAATTTTCCTTTAGAAATTATTTTTGCATTTTCCTTTTCCCCGTTCATTCTTTTCCCCAGTGAAGCTTCCGTCGATTCATGGCGGCGGGGTAGAACACTACTCTTCAAAAGATGCGCAACCTCAAAATCGTGCGCCTCGCCGAGGTGCAGCTTCAGAATGAACTCCCTTTGACAGCAACAGCTTGGGATACAGCTTCAGATGCTGTCGTTTGCACATTCGGGCCTTCTGCGTCCCAGCCAGTCATAGAGCTTCGCAGAAAGCGCCATGACGCCTATTTTTCGGACCCCGTAGGGGCGGATGCATTTGAAATCATCGCATCTTGGGATGCGCCATGCCCACTACCAGATCTGGAATGCGACAGGGTGCTCTCGCTGCACTACTTTGCTGACAATCTCACAGCCTGTCTGGTGCTGGAAGGAGGCGACATTGTCATTGTCCGTGAAGAACCCCTTCCTGGCGAGGACAAGATTGAGATTGTGGGTACTGTTGATGTTGGTATCACGGCTGCTGCATGGTCCCCCGATGAGGAGCTCCTGGCCTTGACTACGAGAGCCAACACTTTCCTTTACATGACGAGAGAATTCGAAAACGTTGCCGAAATTACTTTCACGCAGGAGGACCTCCGCGCCTCCCAGCATGTCTCTGTGGGCTGGGGAAAGCGCGAGACCCAGTTCCAGGGCAAGCGTGCCAAGGCTCTTCGTGATCCTACTGTCCCCGAGAAGGTGGACGAGGGTAAGTTGAGTGCTAGCGATGATGGAAAGACGACCATTAGCTGGCGTGGTGATGGTGCTTATGTTGCCGTGAATAGCATCGAAGCTGGCGTTAGACGTGCGATCCGGGTTTACTCGAGAGAGGGAACTTTGGATAGCGTCAGTGAGCCAGTGGATGGACTGGAAGGCGCCCTCAGCTGGAGACCCTCTGGCAACCTTCTTGCCGGTATCCAGCGCCGCGAAGATAGAACTGACGTGGTCTTCTTCGAAAGGAACGGCTTGCGCCATGGAGAATTCACTCTCCGCCTGACGGAAGAAGAACGGTCGACATGGGCTTCGAATATTCATTTGAGCTGGAATGTCGACTCAACGGTGCTTGCGGTGCAATTCCACGACAGAACCCAGTTCTGGACAACCGGCAACTACCACTACTACCTCAAGCAAGAAATTCCGATTGGAGTGAATGCAGAATATCCGTATCCATTCTCCTTGAAATGGCATCAGGAGAAGGCCTTACGATTCATTGCAGGGGCTTCAGGTAATTGATAAGTTGCAACTATCTATGGTCAGTTTTCTAATGCGTTTCAGGGTCGATGTTGGATGTGGACTTTGTTTTCGACGTATCTCAGGGATCCACCACCAGCCCGGATGATGTTGGCGCTGTTGCTGTCGTCGACGGAAGTAAGTCTCTCCACCATACATGTTTGACCGAACGTATTCTAACGGGCGGAAGAAATCCTCAAATTGACTCCTTTGAGGCTGGCGGGAGTTCCTCCTCCTATGGCTCACAATGAGCTGACACTAGACTCAAACATCGTTGATGTGGCATTCAGCAAGTCGGGAACGCGGATGGCTGTTCTTATGAAGGATCGGTTTTCCATCTTCCTTTGGTCTCTCAAATCGAGACCTGTTCCATCTCCAATCCTTGAATCTAGTTATCCTTTGTCGGACGCGCCTGATAGCCGACCCCGACAGATTGCCTTTGTAAACGAGCATGAAGTTTACATCCTCAAGGACAGTGGCCCGAACAACACTCAGATTGAACGCACTGCTTTGGAGACACGCACGACTCAAGTTGCTTATCAGGCAGAGAATTCCGAGCAAATCTTGTCAATGTTCACCTCCCTTGGGCATGAAGCTTTGTGGTTCTCTCACGTTAAAGCGCCTAACCAGCCGGTTACGTACTCCTATGTTTCCATGCCTTCCTCCGAGGAGTTCCAGATTTTGCCCTGGCTCGAGAGCCCGACAGTTGATACTTACTGGGCCAAGGCGGCGCAAATCTCTGAGGATGAGGTAAATCCTTCTTGAAACTCAGATTACGTTATGACTAACTTTTTGAAGCATGTTCTGGTCTCCATGACAAGATCCGGAGCCCTGTATGCCAATAAGCGGCTCCTTGCGAAGAACTGCACATCCTTCCTTGTAACCCAGGCCCATATTATGTTTACAACCTCCCTTCACCTGATCAAATTTGTGCACTTGACTACAGTGGAAGGTGAGAAATATGGACAGCCTACCAGCCCTAATCACATCAGCTAATCCCATTCTACAGAGATGGATATTCCTCCCGACACCCCCGAGACGGATGAACGATGCAGAAGTATTGAACGTGGCGGACGTCTGGTGACAGTGATGCCCACAACATTTGCTGTTATTCTGCAGATGCCCCGTGGAAACCTCGAAACCATCTATCCCAGAGCCCTCGTTCTGGCCGGTATCAGAAACTTCATTGACCGTAAAAACTACCGGGCTGCGTTTTTGACCTGTCGTAGTCAGATGGTGGATATGAATATCATTCACGACTATGCCCCGGAGCAATTCATGGACAACATCCAACTGTTTGTGGACCAGGTGAAGAAGATTGATTTTATTGACGAGTTTATCTCCCGTCTTAGGTATGCACATCACCTTGTATTCAAGGCATGCTGGCTGATTACTTTCCAGTGAGGAGGACGTTTCCCAGACTCTCTACAAAGACACCCTGAAAACACCGAAGGCAGACAATGCGCCGACCGGAATTGTTGCAGCAGCACCAAACAAGGGTAGCAAAGTCAACCGAATCTGCGACGCCTTTTTGTCAACTTTGGAGAAGCGCATTGACACCAACCTGCACAACCTGATCACTGCGCATGTCTGCAAGTCACCACCGGATCTTGAGTCCGGTCTGCAACTGGTTGCGCGCTTGAGAGGTCCGTATTCCAGACTCCCAGGTTCCTACTCAATACTTACCTCTCCTGCAGAACAATCGCCCGAACAGGCAGACGACGCAATCGAGCATATGTGCTTCCTGACGGATGCTAACCAGTTGTACGATAATGCGCTGGGGCTCTACGACCTCGAGCTCACCCTGCTCGTCGCCCAACAGGCCCAACGGGTGAGCAAGCATCCTTATCTGAAACCTTGTCGCTCGCACATACTAACCAACCGCACCAGGATCCCCGCGAGTACCTACCGTTCCTGCGCAAGTTGCAGCAGCAGCCCGAACTTCGCCGCTACTTCGAGATCGACAACTACCTGGGCCGGACATCCAAAGCCATCAAGCATCTACACGCTCTGAACGCCCACGATGAACTCCGCGCCTATACAATCAAGCACGTCCTTTACAAGGACGCCATCGACCTCTACAAGTACCAGGCGGAGCAACTGCGCGAGATGACGAACCTGTACGCCGACTACCTCTTCGACCGGTCCAAGTACAAGGAGGCAGGCATCGGTACGTACCCAATAACCACCCCTTCTCCCATTGCCAACACCCATCAAACTAACCACCACCACCACCCCGAATGCAGCTTACGAATCTCTGCAACTCTACACCGACGCCTACAAGAGCTACCACCTGGCCCATCTCTGGCGCGAATCCCTCTACTGCGCGATGCTCGTGCCCCTCACCCCCACGGAGCTAACCACGCACGCCACGGCCCTGATAAACACCCTAATCGAAGAATCCAAGGACTACATCTCAGCCGCAACCATCCACGCCGACCACCTACACGACATCCCCGGCGCATCACGGCTCCTCTGCCGAGCTTCCAAATTCTCCGAGGCAACGCGCCTCCTCACCCTGCACAACCAGGCCGCCTTAATCCCCGAGATCGTGGACACCGGCCTCGCTGACTCAATGGGCAGCATGACCGACCTGCTCGCGGACTTCCGCTCACAACTCAACGCCCAGGTGCCCCGGATCCGCGAACTGCGCGTCCGCCGCGCCACCGACCCACTGGCCTACTTCGGCGGCGACCCTACCCTCGGCGACGGGGCCGCGGGAGTGGATATCCCCGACAATGTGTCGTTGGCACCCACTGACGCTTCGACATTGGCGGGCCGGTCCATGTTCACGCGGTATACGGGCAACACGGGAAAGACAGGGAAGACGAGCTCGTCGCGGCATACGTCGAAGACGCGGAGGAAGGAGGAGAGGAAGCGTGCGCGTGGTAAGAAGGGCACGGTGTATGAGGAGGAGTACCTTGTTAATAGTGTGAGACGGTTGCTGGAGAGGGCGAACACGACGGTGAGTGAGGTGGAGGGCTTGGTTGATGCGTTGTTGAGGAGGGGCATGAGGGAGCGGGCGTTGGCGGTGGAGAAGGCGATGAGTGAGGTATTGAAGTTGTGTAAGGAGAGTCGGGAGGAGGTCTTTGGGGCTTTGGTGGCTGAGGCGGTTGGTGGACAGGCTGGGGAGGGTGATGCTGCGGAGGGGGAGAATGGAGCTGGTGCTGCCTTTGGGGAGGATGGGGTGCCTCATGCTACGGGAGGACAGAGTGTGTTTTGGGATAGTGTTACGGCTACGGCGAATGTTGGGAAGGGGAGGGAGGTGCCGGCGGTTAAGGAGATCAAGTTGTCGGCTTTGTTGAACTGAAGGGCTTTCCCTAGGTCATTTTTGCATTTGATAACGTTGTTATTCTTACTAGGTTTTACTAAAAAGTCATACATAGATCATTTAAAAATTCATGCAATCCGTCAAGTGTTTTGTTTATCATATTAAATGGGTATGGACTGAGAATAATGTTGAAGGGGCCCGAAAAGATGTCTATATTATATAGAGGGACACGACCTTCTACCATCGGAAGTGCTAGAAGGCCTGGTAGCCTGGGAAGTGTGCAATAGATGCAAAGCATATGGGTATCTTATCTCAAGGGTGTTCGGTGTGTGTGCGCGAAGACCCTCGATTCGTTTAGTTGCTGGTGTCTCAAGCCTCCCAGAATGAGATGAAGTCTCTAGGCAGAAAGGATATCGCCCTTCTCACTGACAAGATGCTGATCCACTGAGATGGGGCCCTCGCCAACACCGGTCAAGATCACACGGCTCACGCCATCCTTGAGCGACTCCACGGTGCGGGAGTCGATCTCATCCAGGGACACGCCGGGGGTGGTAACGTCCTTCAGAGGCGTGTAGAAGGGACCTTCCCAGCCCTCCGTCTTCTCACCAAGGATAGCCTTGACGGTACCGGCAACAAGCTCGGTATCCTTCTCAAGGTAGTAGATGACAGCGTTCGGGCCCGCATCGTAGGTGTACGCGCAGACGGTCCGGCCGATTGCGCGGTTAATATCATGGACGAGTCTGACGGCAGCGCGAGAGACGTCGTTCATGTAGAAGATCGGAGGCCAGGAGTCCAAGCAAGTGGCGTGGAAGCTGTTGGAGTCGCGCATCGTGATCTCTGCGAAGGCGGGGAAATCGCGGTTCTGGATGGCGGTCTCGATGGCAGCCATCCGCTCCGGAACAACAGTGCTCGCGCGGGTAGCAAAAAGGTTCGAGGTAGCGACGGTCGTCTGCATACCCTCAGTGCTGGGGACATCCTTCTTTGCGGCACTGACAACCAGGATGAGGGCACGCATTTCAGGCCAGTGAGACTGCGGCGCAACCTCCTCTGCCAAACTGTCGCTTCCATCCTCCAAGGATCCAGCGCGCCAGGCGACATAACCACCCATCAGAGAACGGCAGGCGGAACCAGAGCCCTGACGAGCGATGCGGCTCAGATCACGGGGCGACTGGGGCAGCTGGTAAAGGTCTGCCACGGCACGAACGAGGGCCGCAAACCCGGCAGCCGAACTGGCGAGACCGGCGGCGGTGGGGAAGTTGTTCTCGGAAACAATGCGAAGAGGGAAGCTGGACAGCTTGGGCAACGAGGGGTTTGCATCCTCGAGCTCGCGACGGTGGGCGCGCAGGCTGGCCAGACAAGCAAGTGTACGCTTAGAGGATTGGATGTCTTGGGGCTTGCCGTTCAGGGTGAGCTCGTCCTTGGCGGGGTAGAAAGGAGCGCAGGAAGCGGTGGTGAGCGTGCGGAGGGAACGCTGCGAAAGGGTGACGGAGAGAGAGGAGTTGGTAGGAAGGTTGAGAACAGCATCGCGCTTGCCCCAGTACCTTTTCAGTAACGATTAGAATCCACCAAGCGTACGTACTATCGGTGAGTGTAGAGGGGGAACATACTTGATGACGGCGATGTTGACGGGGGCGGTGGTGGTGGCCCGGAAGACCTGACTGTCAGCGGAGGCAGCCATTGTAGACGAATTGAGTCAAGCAAGAGTGTCTTGAAGACTTGAAGACCGAGAAAATGAGGAGGGAAGATAGAAAGAAACGTTCAGGGGCGAAGCTAAAGACGAGCGACGAAAAGGCGGGGGATTTCCTTGTTGGGAAAGTTCGGGGCTTTTGTTGTCGGGTTCCCGAGGCGGTGAGCGGCCAGAAATTTGTCCGCCTTTCCGTTCGATCCAATCGATTTGCAATCAAACCTCATTATCCCATCCATTCCTCTCGCTCCAAGTGTCGCGGCCGAATCTCCGTTTGTCTCTCCGTCCCGATCCTCACCTAGAACAATGGGTGCCGGTGCGAGTACTCCGTCACCCGAGCCGCCTGCGGCTGGTGTATGCCCTGTTGATCACAAAACCCGCGAGGCTTGGTTGCAGCAGCATCAAGCATCTGGCGGCGCTGCACCCCCTCATCCTCTACCCTCCGAAGATGGACAGCATTCGAAAGGCAAATCTCAAAGGCCTCTGTCGACCGACCGTGAAGTGAGCAGTATACCGCGCGCCATTGATACTACCTCCCAGCCGTCGAATGCCGACTCGTCAAATGCGCCCGCGTCACCCTACGCTGCTACGGCCGCATCGCACGGCACCCCATCCAATGCAGAAGCCGAAACAGGCCACGACCCGAATACTGGAAACTGGATCTATCCGTCAGAACGGCAATTCTTCGAAGCTCTTGTGCGCAAGGGCAACACTCCTAGCTCCACAACATCCGCCTCGGAACTGGCGACCACTGTCGCATCCATCATTCCCATCCACAACGCCGTCAATGAGCGCGCCTGGCAGCAGATCTTGCAATGGGAAAGTCGAGCTCCCATGTCGGACCCCGGCAGTAAAAAATGTGGAGGCCCAAAGCTGTATGCCTTCCGCGGTCTGGGTGTCGACCCGCAGTTCCTGAGCCCTCGCGCCCGTATAAATAACCTGATGGGCTACCAGCTCCCCTTTGATCGGCACGACTGGGTTGTAGAGAGATGCGGTGGTGAAAGGATCGAATATGTCATTGACTTCTACCAAGGGAAATCGTCGGGTGCAAACAATGCTCCCGGCCTGGCTGCCAATGCTGGGCCCGGCAAGCTTAGCTTCTACCTGGATGTTCGGCCAAAACTGAACACAGTAGAGGGCTGCCGGATGAGATTCAGCAAGTTTATGGGACTATGAAGCTCCCCAGTATTGTTCTTCTTGCGCTGCATCAGAGGCGAAAAACGGAGTTTTGGGAATGGTTTTGGGCAAGCAACGCAGTGTACAATTCGTGTATAACAGAAGCTATGTATGATATAGAGCATGGAAAGATAGAAACGGCAAATGTAAATAGAACATCCTCGCTCCTTATGCGCCTGAGAACCCATAGCGATCGACGTAACAGAACACAACAAGCCGCCTGCAGTAGCGAAAAAAGCACAAGCACATGCGTAGAGGTACATCGAGAGGATATCATCAAGATAGAGGACAGTCATGATGTGCGACATCCGGTGTCGTGGTTGCGGGGTGTGGAAGCGAGAATACAGAATTAACGCTCAAGTCTATCCCAGGGTTGCCGCCAGGACGATGATGGTAAGGATAACAGCAAGAATGACAAGCAGACAGCAAGCCTTGTTGCGCGCATTCTTCTGGTACCGGCTGGCGCTACGGAGCTCGACGTTTGCTCCACGAGTGTCATCGCCAACTCGTTCAACGTTCTCGCTGATAATATCAAGCTGTCCACCTTGCTCATGGACAATGTGAGCCACGTCCCGGAACAGTTCATTGAGTTCGCCAACGCTCTGCTCAATGTTGCGGATCTCAGCCTCGCGCTCGATAATGAGGGCCTCCTGGAAGTCCACTTCGTCCTGATTCGCAAGGCGGGGCTGTTCCTCCAACAATTGGTCTTGCTGTTGCTGCGGCTGATGGTCACCTCCGGAACCAGGCTCCGCTTCGTCTACGGCAGTCCGAGCTGCTGCTGCGGATGCCCGTTGCTTCTCCAAGGCACGACGCTGAACAGTCTGGAACTCTTCTAGGGTAGATTTAAATTCGGACGATAGCTTCTGCTGAGTCCATTTTTGGGAAGGCTGGTGTGAAATACATTAGTATTGCTTGTTCGGTCGCAGCGCAGTGGAGGGGTTATATATGGGCGTAACATACACTGACATCCTCCCATGTCTGGACCTTCTTAATCCCTTCTGCGACATCCCTGAAACCCCCCCGAGTATCCTCCAGGAGCTTGTGGACTCTCTCGCGCACACGCTCAGTGTCTCGCCTCGTTCCCAGAAGGGCAATCTGATCGGACAACCGAGTGATGTTGGAGGTCAGGGTAAACAGTTGGTTGGAGAGACCCTCGGTCAAACGATGGAATTCGGGGTCATCGCGATACTGGGGATCGTCGGAGCGACGGAAAGTTGTAGGCTGTGCCTCTAGCGAGTTCAAGCGATCAAACGACATGGCGGAATGAGATGCGACAGTGGATGGATGAAGGTGGGATCATTCGGCCGATGCAACCGGCCGGCTCTCTCCCTGCTAAAGTAGTAGTACGTTATCGCTGTCAGGTGTCGACGGTTGCCTGGCCGCATAGATGCCATGATTCGCAGGCTGCCACTCACCTGACGCCATCGATGGCTGGTTGAGTGTCACATGACATGCCGTTTGTGGCTGGTGCGTGTTTTGATGCTTTGCCCGAAAAGCTTCACTTTATTGTCGCATCCGACGCCAACACTCCTCCTTGAAGCTCCACTTGCCCCCCTTCGGAGCTTTCCGTTCTGACAGGCTGACCGGATACCTCAATTCCTCCTGTCATCTGATCATGCAGTGAAATTGCTGTGTCTCTTCTCTCCCTAGAGATCTCACAGTCCCTCTTCCACCTTGCACCATGGCTGCAGCACAGCCTCGCCCGTATCGGCGCATCTTGACTTCTGCGCTGCACAGACGATTCGTTCATGCGTCGGCACTGGCGCTTCTGGTCTGCTATGTAGTGGCATTTGCTATTGGCGATAAGTCGTCTTGTAAGTTTACACCAACACCGAGCGGCGTTTGACAAGCTGTGATCGCTAACCAGCTGTGATATCCCGATAGTCTTGTGGGCTTGGTTCCCCATTGGAGGATGTGGAGTTCGCACAGTTCTTCTCTTCCTCTGCAGTCTCGTTGTCTTCGTCCTCCGTGTTGGTCAGATGCACATCGGTGCCAGGACAACCTCCTCCCCGCTTAGCACCTTCAAATACCTCGTTCCCCTCGACGTTATACAGACTTTTGGCTGGTACTTGTTCTCCGCCTGGTGGTTCACTGAAATCTACAGGTGGTCTTCTTCAAGTAGCGCACACCTGGAATTGGTGAACCGAGCTAGGTATGTTTCCTGCGACGACGAGCTCAAGCGGTTCTCTTGAATTCGCCTAACTAGTTATGCTAGACCTCACGAACGAGCAAGCTTAAACGAAAGAGCAATCTACCTTTATACCTACCACTTTCTCCTGGCAGTCGCGCAGTCAGTGGTTCATCTTTACTACGACTACGATCGCGTCCCTCTTCCCGTTGCCAGGAGGGTCGCTGGCTCCGCTGATGAAGATAGCCGGCAGGAGCAATCGATCTCTAAACGCCTCCAGTCAGCATTGCCGCAGCTCATCAAGGATGGGATGAAACGGAGTATCTTGGTTGCCATTCTTTGCCCATTCGCATACGCCTTCGTCCTCCGGCGCCCGGCATGGAGCACTACACTGTACTTTGCAAAGCTATTCTGGGATTTCCCGAGATCCGCCGCATCCCCTCCCGGCATTATCCCGCCAATCCTCGGAGTTATCGTGCGAACTTTGATTTCAGGAGGCCTCCTGGTTCTCTGCTGGCAGACAGCTAACCTCTTTTTCTCCGTGTTCCTCAGCAAAGAGCCGCTCAAGCGAGGCCAGCCCTTGACGGCTGAAGCCAAGGATCCCAACGGCAGCTTGCTGAATGGACTAAAAGCAAAGAAGGAAACCGTTCGCGCTTTTGCATTCTGGGAGCTGTACTTCATCAGCCAGAGATTCCCTGACCGCCGAAAAGCCATCTTCAACGACATCGATCGCGAGGAGGGTGCAGCTTGGTCGCAAATCCTGCAAGCCGCCACAGATGTCATCACGGGCGTTACCACTCGCATCAGCGAGGCTAAGAATCCATCATCTGGCCCTAAGCCTGCACCAGTCCAGCAGTCCGAGCCCGTCCTTCACTCCCTGCCACGGCTGACGGACCCCCCTAAGGCGGACAACATCTTCGCTCCGTCCCCCAAGGCAACAACTCGCCAACAAAAGTTCGGCGAAGCCCTCACCACCACCGCCAGAGCCTACGGCAACTCCCCAGACTGGACGCCTACCGCACGCGCCAAAGCCCGCGATGTCTTGGACCGCGCCTCCTCCGCCATGCTGAGCCCTGAACGCAAGCAGAAGCTGCTCGGTTCCTCCCAGGAGCTCAAGATGCTCACCGCGCCATCAACTAGCAAGCCCGAGAACCTGCACCCCTTCCTCGCTCAGCTCCTCCGCTCTCCACTAGGCCGACTCTTCCGCCAAACCTACGCTCGTCGCCTCTCCGGCATTGTCCTCGGCACACCCCACGCCAACCTCTGCTCCGTCATCGACGCCACCGAATCCCTCACCTGCCTTCTCATCAAGAGTCTCGCGGAGGACCAATACGGAAAGGTCCAAGCCGACGTAGCCACCGTCGTACGCCTACTGGCCGATACCATCACGACCCTCGAACCTTTCATTAACGGCGGCCTCGATGCTCACTGGACAGACGTCAACTTCCCCCCATCCAGCAACCCAAAAGCACAAGCTGCGGCTCGCCGTGTCCCTGATGTCGACCTCGTCCTGGACACAATGAAGGCATCCCTCAAGGACCTTCTGTCTTCCTTCGGCCCTTACTTCAAGAACCTCGGCCTTGGAGCCAAGGACTTACGACTGGCCAAGGAAGCAGCCGGTGTCGTGGAAGAGGATCCCTTTAACTAAGGGCAGTGCGCGTGGGGCGCATGTAGTGTACGTATTGATTGGGGGCCTGATTCGGGAGTTGGAGTGTGTCCTTGATTGTTTGCTTGCTTTACCGCTTTTATCACATCACCCATTCAACTTCCCACAAGAGATGTCCCTGTTGTCCTTGTTGTATGGCACATCTAACTGACTCCATCCATCTAGCGCGCCACGGTCACGTGCTCCAATGGATAGACACAGTTAGCTTTGGTGTCGCTTTCTTCACTACCTTTCGATATTATTGTTGTTTGTTCGTGGCTGGTATTTCTTTCATAATGCCCCCTTCCCTTTGGAAAAGTTACGACCTAGACTCTGTGGGTTTTGGCTATGCATTGCTCTGGCGTTAAGTGGGCAGGCAGTATAACTGGCTGTATGTATGTATTATTTACTTATTTACTTCATTTAGTGAATGAGAGGGTTTAGAGTTCATTTACTATACTTACTACCAACACGAACTTCCTGGGGTGCGAAAATATTCTCTATGTGCCACTTGGATAGTAGTTAGTAGTTCGAAGAGTGTCTATATCCGTCCATAGATGGAATTTAAGTTTTTTCTTAATTCTACTTTAGGTATATACATATACCCAGCACGCAGCCAGGTTCAGAGATGTTCTAACATGGACATACATATTCCAAGACAACAAGACATGTAGATAGATAGGCGCATTCAAAGCAGGCTGGTCGAATCGTCATCGCCGTATAATGCTCGGAAAGGTGTGAATGAGGTTGAAAGAAAAGGTGACACAAAGGGAAAAAGAAATCAAGCAGGCCATTAATGCAAACCCAAACTCACGATCAGCCGCCCCGCCAAAGATCATCCCGTCCAGGACTCCGAGTTTTGTTATCGCCAAAGAAACAGATTTGAAAAGAAAGATGTTTCCGTCATGTCACATCAATACCACTGTGCCCCGAGATCCGTTTTATAATCCCCCCCTTTTCCCGGTGTTATTTTGATACCCAGATTCCCCGTTATATGCTAAATGCGTCAAAGATTCAGGACCACAAATGGAAAATCCCCGCTGAACGCCAGGTTGGATCATGGGCGCAGTGCTGTAATAGATAGGGAGAAAGGTGTGTATGTATATAGAGAAGGTTAAGTGAAGTATGCTCTTACTAAGAGCATTGTTCTCTTTCAGCAATCGGCCGGCGTGGGCGGAATTAAACCCCACAAGGCACATTTGCTGTCAGCAACCACTGAGGACCTCGTTGATTTTGTTTGATGCAAGCGTCCCACTTCCATTGCCGCCAGAATTTTTGGGCTCGGGAGGTGCCTCTTCCTTCATGCAGGCGTTCTCTAAAATGTTGGTCCACTTCCCGCTCGTACCAGCATGGCTGTGTTTCAGATGTTGTCGGAAATGGTCCGCACGATAGAACTTCTTCGCATTGTTGCACTCTCCAAACTTGTGCACTGCAGTGAGATGCTCGAATCTGCGGTCCCAGTCTGGCTGGGGGAAATTCGGGAATTCTTCACCACAGTATCCGCAAATGTCGTGAGAAGGCCCAGAGCTCGTTTGGGCCGAAGAAGACGAAGGATGGAACGCTGCTTGGTATCCCGGAAGTGCTGCACAAGACCAAGAGTGACGCCGCAAATGGAGAGAATTCTGATGACGCTCCGCCTCGTTTTTGTTCTTGAACCGATTGTTGCAATATAAGCATGAGTACTGCTTCTCCATCTCATGGGCGCTTTAAAGGTATTAGACGAGACAAATAAAAAGCAAGAGGCTAGACGAAACTTACCGGAGTTCCTCTGGACTGTCGAACTTTTTGGGCTTCTTAGGACAACAATCGCAAATATACAGTCCACCCATCTTAGGACCTGCTGGCTTTGGCAAGGCAAGTGACGTCTGCATAGATACTTTCCGAGCAGTGTCGACACTAGATGGTTCTAAGGTGCCGGTACTTGGGGGATTTCGAGAGATGGACGAGCCCGGAAGATTCACAGGAGAACTAGGATTGAGAATCGACTTGTCATGGAAGGTATCAAGATCGGAATTGGGCGACAGTCCCCCGGGTGAGCGATCATAGCTCGTCATGCTGCTTGCCCCCAAAGAGAAGGCCGCAGAGGAGTAAGACCCAGATGTTCGTAGGCTCAATGATGAAGCAGCTGAGAGGCTTCCATGACTGGGTGCATAAGGAACATTGACCGATAGAGAGTTGCCAAATGGATGGCCGCTTGTCCGTCGCTGGGAGAGGTCACCGTTACTCGTGGCCACGTTAAGTACATGCCTATCGCCATTAATCGGCTCACGGGGAGGAGAGGATGCCCTCCGCTTCGTGCCTGGCTTAGTAGCTTCCAGATAAGGTGGCGTTGCTTGTCGGACATTGAAGATTCGTGGAGGCAGAGATTCGTCGGTTGAAAAATCACCTTCTATATCAGAGAAGACGCCTTGATCGTAGCTTCCTCGGTTTGATCGACTGGGCAGACTGGTAGTTTCATCGAATAAGGGAGTCGTTCCACCGCCGCGACGGCGCGACAAGTCGCGCATGTACCCTGGTTGGTCATAGTCCACCGCAGACGATGGGGCACTACTCTCAACGCTTGGACTTCGCCCTCCGACATAATCTTTCCAGCCGATCTTGGTCCCAGGCGATACCCCACCTGACTGGTAGCTACTCGGCCACCTGACATCAAGGCTAGACCCCTCGGAACCACCGGGAGAAGGGAGACCACCAAAATTCCTCGAGGGTATGGTGAGTGTCGAAAGTAAGCCCTTGTTCTCGCTACCGGAGCTGATAGACTGTCGTGGAGAAAGCGGTTTCCCTATTTTCGACAAGAGGTGTTGGTCGTAGGCATCTGATGAATCCTTCACGCTTCGTCGAGAGAAGTCTCTTTCTCCCTTCAAGATCGGGCTGGGACTATTGACTGAAATGGCATTCCGGAACCCTTCATCCATCGGTGGTGGGGGTTCGATTCTAATGTGAGCCTCGGGGCTCCTAGAGAAAGGTAAACCGCTGTGTCGACCATCTAACTCGTCGATAGCCATTCTATCACTTTGAGGCGAAGCTTCCGGGCGACGGTGACCGCCGAGGAGACTCGAGTTGGGATTTATCGGTGCGAGTTTGTGTGGCCCTCTAACATTCGCATGTAGCCAGCCAGCGTCATAGCCGTCCTCGAGGTCACTGATTCGGGGTGGTGGGGGTAGTGGCGGAGGAGCGAGATTGCTCATTGAATTCGTTGGAATAGGCATAGGTCCCGAGAACGATTGCCCGGGCATATTACAGGGCGACCTGGCGGGGGAATTCTGACGGTCGAAGCTACCACTGTTGAAGTCATACACGTTAATCGAAGGAGGCGCAATTCGCGGAATGTCCATCGTACACAGAAGGTGGCGAGAAGCTGTTCATGGACAACAGAAAGGAATGGTCAAGGCTGTGTAAGTTTGCACTGTCGTAAACGACACAAAGCAGTGTATATCGCTCTCGTGAATGGCTCGCGACGCCGGTGCCGAAAGCTGTGCCGAAAGATGGATGTTCTCGACAGAAGAACCTGCTTCTAGACCCCGTTCCAGATGCTGCGGGGGATGTCGGTAAATGAGTGGACGAAGTCGAATGGTTGCTCAGCAGCAGGGAAGTGGCAATTCGGATAGATTAAGCTTATGTCCTGGGTAGTCAGGTGAATTTGATCACAGACAGAATATCGAACGAGAGCACACTACCTGACTAGGAAAAGCTTTAGAGTTCACTTTGGAAAAAGCCGTTGAAAGTACCAGCGATCAACTGTGTTGGTGCCTTTCTGTCAGTTGCGCACAAGTTTGCGAAACTGTCTGTGTGCCATGAAATTGCCGGATAGCGGCAACTTAACAACGAACAGCGCAGGGACCACAAAACATGCTGAAGAATATTGACTGGATTAGAATGGCGCTCGAGGATGGGTGCGAATTTCAATGGGTCGAGAATGAGAAGAGAATCAGTAAGAAACGGGCTGATTATTCAATGCCTACACTTGGAGGCTTGAAGTTGATCGACACCTGAAGATGCTTTCACTAAAAAACCGGCTACTCGTAAGTGAGCTAGTTGGCGCGTAAAAAGGATGAAGTAAGAAGAGAAGGAGAACGAGGAGAAAGAGGCGAAAATGGGATGTTGTCAGAGAGCTGAAAGTCAGCGACCAGAAGGCGGATTGAGGCGCAATGCTAAAGGCGGCGGAAAGAATGGCTTGAGGGCGATGGCGGGCGGAGGTCGCGGAGGCGAAAAAGAAGACCTGCAGAACCCTGTGGTGGAGGTACTGGAACTGCCGTGCTAGGCGCAGTGGATATGAGAACCGGGAACGGAGGTGAATATTTGTGGTAGCGGATCAAGAAAGTAAGAGACGTGGTGTTGATGTAGTAGATAGATAGATAGATAGGTGAAGTAGAATGGCAGAGGATGGTGGTTGCAGACCCCGGCCTTACTTGTCCCTACAAGGCTCGGGGAAAGGAAATGGGCTGTATTTGCAAGGACTAATTCCCTGTTTTTCGTTTGTCTCACAGTCGGAGGGTCTCGATTTGAGTCTCAACTTCGGAGGCGCCCAGGAGACTGGCAGGATTCAAGGCTGGAAGGGGGGAGATGAAGAGAATAGTGGTTGATACGCCCAGGCAGAGGAAGTTGAAGAGAGGAGAATGGAGGGAAGAAGGCAAGAAACGCAGATAATATTAAGGTCGTCTGCGATGATGATACAACATTGGTATTTGAACATCCGTTTCAAACTGGAGTTTGGTCCGGGTGGGCACCTTTGAAGTTGGGCTGGCCAACGGGAGCAGCGTGCCTTTTCCTTCAATGTCACGGCGGTAATGCACGCAGCACCAGCGGCAAATGAAATTTGCAAGGCCAGAAATTCGAAGGGGGGCATGTATGGAGTATAATACCCTTCTAGTAATCTGCCTACCGGGCTGAATGGAGCAGAGAAGCTCCAGTGAAGGAGACAAAACAGCAGAGCCAGGAATAATAACTAAACATTTATATTTATGATTGAAGCATTGATCGCAACTACTCTTAAGGCCACATTGTTCCTCCACTTGTCAGCACTTCCTTTTCCCCATCCCCTTTTCCCTCGTTTTTATTATTTCTCCTTCCCCCCAAAAACCCCCTCCTTTTGCCCTTGCCTTGTTTGACCATCAACTGCGAAAACTACTTGCCGCTCGTCAGATTACATGTGGTGGTTATTGCAGTACGGCAAACCGTAAAATTACCCGATACATACATGACAAGGCCCTTTCTCCCAAAAGTCAAAGCAGCCTGGAAGGAATCATAACATCCAGAAAGAATCTAATCAGACAACAAACCACACAACCAGCCGTTCAAGGCAACTGGGAACTGTCTTTCTCCTTACCGTGAATTTGACATTCTTTTGATATTCCTTCAATGGGGCCTTGTCCAGTCACTCTTAACCTAATTTTCTGGGCTCGAGAACCGCGCCGTTGCCACAGCCCACGCGGGATAGTAGAAAATCGTCGACCAGTTTGTATGGATCAGCCAGGATATTAATTAATCGGAGGGGCTTTAAAGGTAAGCAAGCGTAATCGCATGAATCATTTAATATCAGCTTCAAGGGCCTCATTTATCAAATCTTTAAGTGAGGTGCAAGCAGTATGACACGGCCAAACACATGCTCACTCACTGGAGCTTCCGTAAGCCTTCTACGCCGTCCCTAAACGATAGTATAACCTACCTTCCCGTTTGGGATTTCCCTACGAAAGTTTAATCCGCCTTATGTCTTCAGACCATGCTTATGCGTGTCCCGTATCGACCTCTCCACCTTGCATACTGCCATGCAGGCGGAATTCCGTAAGGCAAGTGCCTCAGGAGGAAAATAATTCGCCCGCCTAAAAGTAGAGGAGGGGGTGGTATTATGTGTGTGGGTTTTTGGGGTGATACCCCATAGTCCTCGATATCCATTGTCACCCGGGTTAATTAAAGGTGAAGCTGGTCAGTCCTCAAAGTGATGAGAGTACAGTACTATTGACGGCAGAAGAGGGGACACGCATTGGATATCACAGAACTAGGAGTCCCCACGTGTCTGGTTTTCTTTCTTATAACTCCCTTCCCCCTCTCTCTTGTCCCCATCCGCAAGGCGGCAAATAATAAACACAGGATCGTTATGACTGAAACCCGAGCAGGCATCTATGTACCACAAAAGGTATCTTGTTCAACCAGGAGCTACAGAAACATGAATTAGGAAGCTTGGATCCAACAGACCGAACCGAGTCAGGGAACTGCAGGTGGAAAGCGGCCAGGACTTATTCCAGATGCAGAGCGGTGAAGCCGCGGGCTAACCGGATTGGTTCTGACAGTGCAAGGACGACTGGAGACGGTTAGATTGGAATGAGGCAGTGCTGGTAGTTCAGCTTTTAGTGCCATGTTGATTCTTCGGCACTCTGCTCAACTTGTGTCCCACTGGATGCCAGCCATTACCTCTGACAACGTCCCATAGGCCCGTCTTGCTTCCCCTTCTCCAGTCAGTGCTCCATCACTATTACTTACACCATTGGGTTATGGTGGTAATGGTGGGAAAGCAAAAAGGGAAAAACAAGGGTTTTTGCCGCCATCAGATAATGAGGGCGTGAAGTTTCCAGGACACAATAATCAATCAAAAGTGGCAGATTGAATACGTTAAGAGGGGCCCGTTCTCCACGGTGGTAACTCCTAGGCGAATGCTCCCCATGTAATTGTAAGCAATATTCTCATTTTCAGTCCAAGGCGACCAAGTTCTTGTCAGGTACCTCTCATCGGCTTAGCGCTCATCCAGACGTTCCGGTGATACATGCCCCCAGCTACAAGATACTGCGTCGAGCGACTGCGGGTCATACTAGATACATACAGTGGTACACTCTTCATTCTGAAGAAATGAACGTTTCGAATTTGATAGGGGAGACTTAAATACGGAAAACACCGGGGCTGGCTAGCCCAATCTCAAGTATATTATCACAATCATTATTATGTCTGCTTGTTTCTTACTAAAACCTTTCTAAGGTGTACCTTCAGCCCGGTACACAGTTACCTAGAAGTTGCCAAAAGAGTGGTATGCAGCAAGTGTGGTTGCTTTGCTTTGCCCATTATTTTCTCCGTCGCCTTACCCGCGCGCGTCCATTTTTCGACAAATACAGGGACAGCATCAATTTTTAGGTTTTACGAAAATTACCGCCACCTTTTCTTTTTTCCCTTTCATCATCATCATCCTCCTCCTTCATCGTCATCACCATAATCATCACACAACTCTCCTCCAATTCAGGGATAATTCCAGAAAAGAGGACCATACAACCATCCAGGGTAGGCAATAACTTACCAGCGGCAGGGGCCCTAAAGCCGACCAGGCCGGAGTAGGGTACCGAGTGCATCCTAAGCCCAAGTACTTTTCCAACCGACTCCAACTTTCCATGGCGCCCCACTGTGAGTTGTTGCGGAAGACCGTCACAATGATTATTAGTGGCCCTGTTGGGCTTGACCCACTGCCAATCATGGTCTAGCGGGATCCACTTTTGGCCTTAGATACATGCACTGCCACATTGCTGTCATTTGGCATTTCCCCCCGTCGCACCTTGCGATCCGAGGAACTCCCTGGAAACCACCGGATAACTGGCATAAGGGGATGTTGTGTAGGGAAAAGAAGGGGGGGAAAGGCGGGCCATGATTTCTAGGTAATTAAATCTTTTATTTTTCATTTTCAAAGGGCTGAAAATTAAGCGAGCAGTGCTGGCTCGTGGAATTCAACATCAGAGGGGTGGGTGACCATCGATACTTGATAAGTAGATAACGCTCTACGGTGAAGAATAGCAACAATCAAAAGGCACAACGCCAAATAGTGTTAGACAAGGAAATAAAAAAATGAAAATAAAAATAAAACACACCCTTCGGACTGGGCAAAAGAGAGACACGAAAATTCTGAACATAACTCGCGGAGTAAGCCAAATTTTGATTTAATTGATCTTGTTTCCTGCTTCCCTGTGGATCATCAGTTGATTGTCCCTTCCCCCTCTCGTCCAGTTTTCCCTGCTCGCTCTGTTTCTCTCTGACTCTCTCTCTCTCAAACTGCCAGCCAGCCGGCAAGCAAAGTCGGCCCTCGTCTCGTGTCCAGTGCCATACCAAGTAAAGTAAGTAACCTATAATCCGGACTTAACGGATCGGATGTAACAAGCAAACTTCTATCCGTCCTCCGTCTGAGGTACCAGAAAAAGGGATCAGGAGTAAACTGTAAAAAAATAATAAAATAATGACGACAATTATAAAATCAAAAAAAAAATTAGGAGGGGCAAGACGGACCTACGTACACAGTACAAGGCAACCTTTTTTGCAAACCCCAAGTACGTAGTCTAGTCCATCAGACTCTAGTTATAGTTTCACGGAATGAAAGTATCTAATTCGTAAACAATTCAACTAAACTAACAAGTAACGAACCCCATTTTTGCCACAATCAGCCTGAATTCCTGCCTGGACCATATATTTCACGAATCTATTGTGTAAAGTGCAATCAATCAATGCGCACCACACACACGGCATCGTCTGCGGTATTAATGACAATCCACCACTCAATCTCTACGGCCAAGAAATGGGGCTGGGGAGGGGACTCAATAAAACTTCTTTTTCCTCTATAATTCTAGTAGCGAACTAGCTATAGTATACATATTTTTGGGCGAATCTTACGCGCCCACCGACAAACTCAACCCAACTAAACCCAACCGTCGCACAGACTGAACACGCATTCATGCATCCACAGCTTAGTTAGTCGTTACCCAGGTGGTAGTGGTGGTTATGGTGGTGGCAATTCGGGGAAATACACCGTTTGTGTGGCCCTTCGGGTTTCCTCACAATCAGTTACTAAATATCCATCTACTACTATCTGGGTAAGTAAGTCCTTCAAGAATTTCAATTATCGGACTTTATTGGCCCGATTCGTGCAGGGCAGCATGACTATGGACAACTAATATGGCTTGCAAGGCCAATGGGACCCCCGGTCGCCCCTGTGTCCAGTCCGCCTACCTACGCTACTGATCTAACTCCATGGGCACTTAGTGCAGCAGGGGTGGAACATCAGATAACCATGTCTCCTTTAATTAGTTACTATACTACTGTAAGTAAGTAGGTCATTAATGCGCTGGTTGGGATGGTCGCCCCGTGTATTGTCACCCCCATGCTGTAAGGCGCCAGAGACAGTGAGACAGGTACAATCAGTTGGAAAGAGAAAAAAGGATTAAGGCAACCCGCGCAAGCAAGGAAAAGAACACGAAGGAATGAGTGGTAATAATTGTCCGAGGAGAAAGGTCGGGTCAGGCTTAGTATCTCTTGTACAAAAAAGCGCCGTCAGCCTTAAGCCCTAAGGGGCTGCAGACTAAATCTCGTGCACAGGCCGTGTCTTGAATTAGTGGTCGATAGTTGATAGGTATCATGATAGTAGTTTCCGACCCTGCAAAGCAACGATCACCTACCGCACCTATTTCTGGTCATATCAAATGATTTGGTCTTATTTGGCATGCTTCAGTCATGCCGGGAATCAATTTAATTTGTAAGGCTGCATATGCACTTACTAGACGAAAAGCCAAGTCATCAGACAGTCGACAACCCACCCTGCAATATGGTCACTCTGCGGGCTTCTGGATACGTAGGGATGGTCGGTTACACTGCGATAATGAGATAGACCTTGTTTTCTGCAGGTGGGTAGAATGTTGTTTCTAAATGCGGTTCATGCTTGCTTCTTCTTGTCCATGTTTTATGGACTTCTTGATTGGTCACCGAGGACAAAATCAAGCATTATCTAGACTACCTAGCAATTACCTTTGCATGCACTGCGGACCAAGAAACCTGGTTGTTTCTTGGCCTGTCACCGATTGACGCTTGCCTGGGTCGTACCTATGCAGTACCATTCTCGGCGACTGAGACTGGTTGGCATCCAATAAATGCCAGTAATAGACTGAGTATTGCTGGATGGGTGAATAGAACACGTATTCGATACGCACTACAGGTAGGACTCTGCTTTGGACAGGCAAATCACGTCTCACCGAATATGATACAGTCAGGCGCTAGGGGATTCACACGCCAAATTATACCTGCGCATAGACCATATAATTGGAGTGCCTCTCTTTTGACCAATTGATATCACTAGCATTTACCTCGGCCGGACTATAGTGTGATTTCCATTCCAGACCAGCTCTCGGAGCCTTGGCAGCAAACAAGGTCCAAGCGATGAGCTAGATCGACGACCGGAACCGGTGACTTCAAGTTGTTTGGGTAGGCACTAGACTAGTATAGCGAGCACTTGCATCTGAGCCTGCCTGACCGAGGACTATCTAAATAATTACTGGAGATGGTTTGGCCTCCTCGGCTCTAGATGTGACGGATCAAACGATTAGTGATCCGGTCGAGATCGCCTCGATGATTGCAGTAGTAGTACGACAAGGCCTTTCCCTGGTTTCCTATCAAAAATTGCCGCTTCGGTTAACCAGACTGATATCAGGCCAACATTGCTCCGGGCATATAACACCGTCTTAGCCAGCGCTTCTGTGCCACCAGGGGACCTATGTGAGGATCACGCTGGCAGCGGGAGGGGTCTTCGGCGATTCAGGAGCCGGATGTGCTGGCTAATGGTGAGCCAATTGCATGTCACACATCTTGTAGACTTGCGGGATGGATGAGGGGTAATGGAGCGATTAGAGAAACCAAGGGGGGCTGTGCAGCGTGTTTCTTACTACTCTGGAAAAAAATACTGCCAATGATCGTATAGAGGAAGAGAGTGATACGCTGGGCCAAGTCCGTGCTTACATGCCAAAGCCGGCCGAAGGAATGACCGTTAGTTATGCGGGGGTTGTGTCTTAATGCCTCAGGCTGCCAAGAGACCTGCTGCTGTTATGTTACCCTTACCCTTGCCCTACACCCTAACTGTCTACTTTCGTGCCGCCATTTGCAGGATTGCTGCCAACCAATCAGACGGCGTGACTATTTCTTGGCACCATACTGAATGTTCAGGTCCGATCTTGGCTATCATTCATGGCCACTCTGCCTCTTATCATCGTCATACTCTTTTGCATCGGCGACCTGATCTAGAGCCATCATTATCCACCTAGATCGCTGCTTTGATAGATTGTCATCATGGCGATGAATCAGATTCCCGGGCAAAACATCTATGTTGGAGGGTTGGTTACCTTGTCCCCCACTTTCTGTTACCATACTAAGCCTGCCTTTGGCCCGTCATATGATGGGCCAGGGTCTCAGAGGAGGTATAGCGCTTCGCTCTCACAAAGCTTGCTAACGTCGAGTTACATAGCATACTGGCACTCAAGAACAAGGCAGCCTTGACTCGAGCAAACATTACACATGTTGTTTCCGTGTTACGCCTCCAGCCAGCTGATGATGTCTTCGAGTCTTTTCAACACCACTGCATAGAGGTCGACGATGTCGACGATGAGAACTTACTAGAACATTTTCCAGCTGCTGTAAAGTTTATCCAATCCGGTCTTGATGCCGGCGGAGGTGTACTTGTACATTGGTTAGTTTGTCCTCGGTTCATCTGCTCTTTTCGGACTATATCCTACACCGTTTCTCCTCATGTTTCCTTGGGATGCCTTCTCCGGGCTCTTTACCTAGGATCGGTACTCAACCTCCTTTCCCCAATCCTGTGTTTGTATAATGTCGCTGCTGAAGCCGTGCTTTGATATTACGGGTTTACTATTGTTCACCTGACCTTGTGTAGCAAGGATGTTCTATTGTGCTTCTAGCATGAGAAGCTGTGCTGACAGTTGATAGTGCGATGGGAAAATCCCGATCAGCCACTGTTTGTATCGCGTATATGCTCAGCCGTCAGCCTAGTGCACTGACACCAGAGTCCGCCCTTGACATCATCAGACAGAACCGACCGCTATGTGAGCCGAATCCTGGGTTCATGGAGCAACTCTCAGTCTACCATCAGATGGGATGTCCAGATGATGTCACTAGCCACCCACTTTACAGCCGGTGGCTTTACCGCCGCGAGGTGGAAGAGAGTGTAGCATGTGGTCGAGCACCTGAGTTGAAGTCCGTGCTGTTTGAGGATGAGCAGCCGCGCCAATCACAGGAGCCCGCGGGTCGTATGACAGAGATCAAATGTCGCAAATGCCGGTTAGTCCCAGTTACGATCATTATTAAAGCTTATCTATGAGCTCCTCCTGACCACATCACCAGGCGCAAATTGGCGACCACGCAATTCATCATCCCCCATACCTCCCAAAAGAACGCCAGAGCATCCACGGCTGATTGCGCTCATGTATTTTTACACCCACTGACTTGGATGCGCCCGTCACTCTTTCCTGGTACTGATTCAGAATCTTCCGGCTCACCTTATGGAGCGCCGCCAGAAGATGCCCCGTTGTCTGGCCGTCTGACCTGTCCCAACTCGTCCTGCGGAGCTAATATTGGCAAATTTGCCTGGCAAGGCATGCAATGTAGCTGCGGCGAGTGGGTTGTCCCTGCGATTGGCCTTGCAAAGGCCAGGGTGGACATTTCCGAGAGGGTCAACATCATCCGCGGACCAGGCAACTTGCCAGCCGCGATGGGCATTCGTCTGCCGCCTGGAATGCGGTCTAACCCCGCGGATGAGAGCAACGGACGCGGAAACCTATAAACTTTGGTAGCGCTACCTAACGTTGACTCCGCCAGGGGTAGATCACGGCGCAGCAAGGCTCCGTCGGAAGTCTAAGCATGCTCGCTCGTTGATAGGCTCCCCTTAGCCATGCCTTTAAATGACGAACCAGCGGGTCATAAAGCCAAATTACGTCACGTGGCATTAGAAGCGGCGCCATCTGATTCAAAAGTTTAGGAAGCAATAGTTGAACTGAAAACAGAGATGGTCCGTGAATAGGCGGGCCACGCACGCAAGTGTGGCGTTCAGAGCTTCTGCTATGGTATGGTATGCGGAGGCTGGCGGAACAGCCCGAATGCGTACACTATTGAAGGCACGAAAGGAAGGACACAACGCAGTCATGCACAATATAGACTCGGGTCTAGACTAGATTTGGGTATGGTCTGCGCTCGACAGGTTTCAGACCCTGATGCCGATCATCCCGCGGCAAGTTGGACCAGAGCAAGGTCGAGATAGACATACAGTTTTACTACTACCGGACCAGCAAGCAGAACCCAGCCAATAAGAGCAAATGCACACCACTAGCTTCAGCTATCTCAACCCAAGCCTCGGCGGCTACAGCCAGATGATCTTATCAAATCAGTTAGCCGAAGAGACTGATTGGATTCAGCTCGTGTCCCGGGGGGGGGAAAGAAGAAGGGAGGGGAATTGTAGACTCTAAGCGCTAGGACCTGTCAGGATCCAGGGCATAACCCCACCGACCCCACGAGGCTGTTTTAAGGCAGCCCCACGGGCCCCAGCGATGCAGCATCCAATCAGGCGGTGACGTAAGACCCGGGATCTGCGAAGCCAGAAGGGCAGATCGGGGAGAAAAACAGAGTTCTCGGGGCCTGGCACAAGTTCCTGGGCCCGATGACTAATGCACCCGGCGCGACAACTGTAACTGCCAAGCACCGCTGCTGCTTTTGCTCAAGTCCGGCTGGGTCTCATTGACTGGGGAGGGGGGGCAGACTAGCGAAGGTCTAGGCTGCTTCACTAGCGCCGGCTCGGGGGCTGTGCAAACTGCTCTTACGCAACTGGGGCGCGCTAGCCATGGATGAGCTGATCCTCGGCTGGTACATACCGTATTCTAAGATTACTTCTTTATTACTTCTTTCCGGTATTATTTGCAGTGAGAAGAGTATATTCCGTATTTTTCATTCCTCTGTATTCATGCCTTGTATTGATTGTATACACACTATGGATGGAGTTATTATACCGACCTAAGTGGCAAGCCTGCATATTCATCATTCATCATCCATCAGTAAGTAACTTACTTTACCTGCCTAGATAGGTAGGGTATGTAGCTACCTAGCCGGATAATCATTCTTTCCCCCTCATACCACAAGATCCTTACTCTCAGATACTCCTCAAACATCCTAACCCCCATCTATCAAACAACCTAACCACAACCCCCCCCTAAACAGTGTATACTACTTACTATACCTCCTACCCTAATAAAACAACCTTGTACTTTGTCCAGTATGCTCACACAACTACTAATACCCAAAGTATTCTAGTCTCCGCCTTACATGACGTCAACCTCATCTCAGGCCTCATCTTCACTTAGCTAGCATAACTAACTTACTATCCAACCGATAGATAGTATAAAGACTCAAGTTCGTTGTCGTTAAGACTTGGCGTTATTTGCAATACACAGACTAATTCCCACCAACCCAACATAAACAACAAATAGATTAGAAATAACATTAGCAATAACGATAGGGATAGATAGATCCAACCCGCCCTACAGGGCGGCCAGCCTAACTATCCATTTAGTAGTAACTACGGGCTGAAAAATGGGGTTCGGTTCCATGGACAACAACCTGCTATTTAGTTTCAGGAAAAGCTAACCGAACCCAGCCCAACCCCCTTACTATGTTCTATAAAGAGAGTGGGTGGAAGTGTATAGCTGAGTGCATTAAGGCATGGGACACGGACATGGAGAGAAAGAGAGAGGGAGAGAGGGAGGGGCTAAGAATTAGTCCTGGAATGATTGGATGTGGTGGTAGGCATACTAAGTTGCACTGCCTCGTTTGGGGATCCACTGCTTTGCATGAGGGGGTTTTTTTGCTAACTCGTCTTCTTTTAGGAGGGGTGTTAGTATCTTGTGTTGTTATGTGAGTTATCTATCTGCCTAATATGTGTATTTACGGGATAGAGTTGTTGATGGATGGATGGATGGATGGATACATTGTCTGTTTTATTTCTATCTACGTTGTAAGTTGAGATGGAGGAATCTACAACCACTGCATGCATCAACATCGATGCTTAATTTATCGCTTATGGAGCATAGTGCATGTGACGGTTTCTGGGCATGGTCCGCGCGCAATTCCTCTTTGTCTGGTTCTGTTTGGGCGTGCTTATTTTTGGGTTAGTTGTAGCCCGGGTATGGTTGTTCTTCGATACGAGCAGTTCGCTTTTCTGATTGAGACACAACACGGTCATATGGTTGTTGTTCTTTGAGTACTACAAATTCCGATCGGGTTGCCAGATTAGGCTGCAAACCCCTGTTTGTAGCCTTGTAGGTTTTGCATTGCGTAAGGCTGTCAGACGCCTTGCGTTCGTTCTCCGTTAGGCAGGCAGTTCGCTTCTAGAAGCTATTGTACTTCCGGAATCCGTTAAGGCTGTGCAAAGTGTGTTTCTTGAGGCTTCCGTGTCTTGCCGGAACTGTGAGACAGCATAATCTGCGTCCGGTGAGCCGTCCAGTTGATGGCTATTCTCTAGTGGGCCAGGGCGGATATGAGTTTCTGAGTGACGAATATGTCGGTAGAGAGCTGAGCGATCGTCGCTTGAGCTGTGTAGTAGCAGTGGTGTAGTGACTAGGCAGAGCACTGAAGCAAGAGTAGCAGCTGTATCGACAGTCTCTGTATTGACATAATGACTTGGTCGTGACATGTGGCGTTCGCCTTGCAAAGCGCGGTGACAGTGTCTCACGCACGAGCTGATGTACTCGCGTCGCGAACCCGTATCCGGCACACCCAACTGTAGATGTCTGAGACTGAGCTCTCATTCAGTCAGACAATCATCAGGTGATCAGATCCCAACAAGCCCGATACAGTCACGGTAAGCAACGAAGGATCCAGCCACACGCGTGGACATACCAGGCGACCCAGAAGGTGAACTGTAGGCAGTAGGCGCCCATCAATATCGTCAGCATTCCGACATCCAGCCCACAAGCACATCATCATCTTGAGGCTCCAAGTCCAAGCTCACAATCCTCCTGTCGGCACAGACGGGAACAGAGAAGGATCCTGCAGGCGTTGACGATTCCTTCTAGCCATCTCAGCATTGCGCATCCTGTCAATGCGCATCTGATAGAAATTCCTACAAGAGTTAGCAATCATCACCTAGAAACCATACAAGAGAGAGAGTAATACTTATGCAACGCAAAAACCCTCGGCGAGTCATCCGACAAAGTGGTCGATTTCTTGATACTCTCGATCTATCAAATGTCAGCGATTACATCTAAAGCTTAACAAAAACAAACGAGAGGGGAACCAGAGATAGAAAATGTAAATTGAAGAACAAACCTTATCATCCCGTTCCTTCTGCATCTTTTTATCCTCCTCATCACCCTTTTTCGTAGCCGACTTATCATCCTTTTCTTTATCCTTATTCTCATCGTCCTTCTTCTCCTTCTCTTTCTCAGCATCCTTATTCTTCTTCCGCTGCTGCTTCTCCTCATACTCCTTCTTCACCTTCTCAATCTCCCTCGCCATGGCCTCCTCTTTCGCCTTAGCGGCCACAGCTTCTGTATCGACAATAGGAGAACAGAAGTGACGGTCTTGAAGGTGAGAGGGGCAGACGTAGAAGTAGTCCTGAAATCGATCATCAGTCATGACCCAGACATGAATCCCATTCAGAGGATGAGGATAGAGATGATAATGAGGGACATGCATCTATGATAGGCAAATGAGACAAGGAAAGGAGAGGGGATATTCATACCCGATTATCAGGCGTGATTAATACACTACTCGATGGCTTATAGCAAATGTAACATGCTTTGGCGGCTGTATCTGCTACTCGGCGCAGATGCCAGATGTTTTGGATGGACATTGACATGGTGTCTATTCTATGTATAGATTCGGGGCTAGAGGGGTTGTGTTGAGCTTTGTTGAGAGAAGTGTGGGAGGAATTGTTTGATAAGATTAAGTGTGGTGTTTAGTTTGGTTAGGCGGGGAATTGGTCGATGATGTCATGTGACAGGGGTATTGGCTGCATATATATATGGATATTGATACAATGTGAATCATACTACGGTGTAGCTATGCTGTAACTATTGAACTTTGTTAAATACATTCATTATCGGATGGTACTTTGTATTGGTAGAATAGTACGTGAAGGTTCACGACAATCATTTAGTAATGATGGTGTGAATGTGTTGACATGAACTTAATATATCCCGATATGATACAGAGAGACCCAATGGAACCAAAACACAAAGTCTATCCAACAATTCCATCTACTCAGTGACACTATCCTTCAATCCTCTCAACGCACTGGGCTCCTTCGACCCATGCAACATGGCCGCCGCATTTTCCGACCGTCTCCTAGCATCCGTCCAGATCATGAACTCATTATAACTCTTGGGCATGACCTGCACATCCTTCTCCACCAGGAACGTATAATTAAACATTCCTGTGGGCTTCTTCGTCCCATGCTCCACATCTCTCACCTTCGTGTCCACCCGCACCCGCACCTTCGTGTACTTGCTCTCCACGCCCTCGCGCTCCAGCGGTTCCGTGTACGCCACCGTCGCGCGCAGATACAGCACGCTGCCCACGGGCACGGAGTTCTCGAACGTGCTAGGATCCAGGGAGATGAAGTTGGGGCGAGCGTGCGCGAAGGACGCGGCACAGCAGAAGGCGAGCTCGAAGGTCTGTTTGAGAAGGAAGCCACCGAAGATCATGAAGTTGTGACGGTTGCGGTCTTGGGGTTGCATGATCATGGCGGATTTGAGAACGGTGTCACTCATGAAGACGTTGTTGGAGGGTCGTTGGGCGGGGGATTCGGGGTCTGTCGTTCGGTTATTGCTGAATTATATTTTGTATGGGTGGAGAGGACACTTACTGAGATAGGACATCTCCTTGGTCCACATGGAGTGAATGAGATTACTCTCTTCCGCATCGGGGGCTTTCTCGAGGAGACTCTTGGATCGTAGTGCCTTCTTGGCTTGGTAGTTCTCTTCGCCCTGCTTGAACAGGAGGCGCTCCTCGGCCGTTTCGACGACTAGAGGGGCGATGTTGACTGGCCTGGATTGCCAAGATCAGTATTCAGACGTAAAAATAGAGCGGCATGGAACTAACTTCTTCGTCGCAGGATCCAGCGACACCATTGTGAACGCACAAGTGATGAGCACATCCTCCGGCTCAACCTGCTTTCCCGGAGCAGGAGCCTTGGCCACCTGAAGGGAAACCTCCATACTCGAGCGACCTGTCGCATACGTGACCTGGCCACTAAGTTCGAGATCGCAAATCTCCATCAGCGGATGCTCAATGGTGATGCGGTCCACGGCCGCCGTGACCGTAGTGACCGAGTCACCAGTATGTCTGTAGGCGATGACACCTGCCAGCGCATCGAGGTCCATAAGCAGGGACCCCAATCTGTAACTGTCAGTAATCCTCATCCGCAAGGATCGATATCAGAGACACGCACCTAATATGTCCCGAAGCATTAAGATACGTATCAAGCAGCCATTTATCCTGAGCCAGGGGCAGAACCTAAAAGAAAGACACGTCCATCAGCAAAACTCCCCCCTCCAAGTCAGTAAATGCACCTACGGCGCTGTAATAACTATCCGACATCTTCTTCGGCGTCAAGTCAGGTTTCGCCGAGGGAGCAGCAGCCCCCTGACCAGACTTGGCAGTCTCGCGACTTTTCGTGAGCGCATCGATCCAAGGCGTCTTAACTCTCATAGGCATCCACGTAGGTCGAAATGCGGCATTGTGTGGACTGGGATGAAAGTCCCGGGCTGAAAGCAACGACCGGTGCGCAGGTGAGCGGACACTGCTACATAAGCTGGTCGGGGCATTGGAAAGACATTTGGAGCGCGTCGCAGCGGACCGTCTTGTACTTAAGCCAAACATGGTGGTTCAATTCCAAAATATAATAAGTGTCTGGAATATGATGTACAGGAGCAGAAGTGAAAGATGAAAAATGATATGGATTAAGATGATGCGTTGAACACGAAGATGACTTTCGGCTTCGGTAGTTGAAGCGAATCTCCCGACGGCTGTTCCGGCTCCGGCTTTGGATGCCGGAGCAAGTCGGTAACGCGACAAAGTATATTTCCCTAGGCTGACATGTCGGGTTCGGTATGAGCCAAGTGAGTCATTGACATTGTATTTACATGCTTAACATATGAACTGGAGGTAGATGATTATTCTGTTCAAGAATGGGATCGGATGCTGAAGTTGAAGTAGAATTGAAACGCGATGATCCCGGGCTGCTGTGCAATGACATCATCGCGGCTGCTCTCCTCCGATATCGACCATCTCATGCACTAAAAGGGGGCATTAACAGGAGGAATAAGGGCCCCTGAAGGAGGAGCTGCTCTGTACCTGAGAGTGTGTCCAGGGAGGGCCTGCGAGTCAGGCAGAAGCTGATCTTCAGGCCAGCTTGCTCTGTGGCCTCAGGAACCAACTCGTCTCTCGCCCGAGAGCTGCGTCAAGGTGAAGTCATCCCAAGTATAAATTCAACTTATTTTGTACAGTTGTTGTGGTTTTCTTTTTGCATAGTATCCATTGTAGATTATCTTTTGTATATTTCTGCAATTCGTCTATATCAGATAGACTCTCTTCCATTTAGATAATCTCTGTCTCCCATTGTCTCCATACAATTGCAAGAAACATATTGTTACTATACCTCAACCATGAGTGACCCAACCAATCCCAACATCGAGAAGCGAACAACCCCCCAATGGGCTCTCTATCAGCGTGAGAACTTCTGGAAAGTAAACGACGGCCAAACCGTCCCTTTCAACACAGGTACGCATCCCATCCACACCCCCAGTCCATCTCAACCAGCTCGCTGACCAAGGCATCCTGGGCAACAGACCCCAGAAAGCTCGAAGAGGAGGCACACAAGAAATTAAGTCAAGGGGGCTGGTATGCATGTTCCATCCCCCGTAGATGCCCCATTAACCCATCCCTAGGTTCTATGCATCCTCCAACGCCGGCATGTCCAACACCCACCTCGCCAACCGGCAAGCCTTCTTCCGTCATCGGATCATCCCCAACCAACTAGTGGACACCAACCTCCGTGACACCACCACCGAGATCTTCGGCCACAAAGTGTCCGCCCCAATTGGCTTCGCGCCCATCGGGATCAACAAGATCTACCACCCTTCTGCCGAGCTCGCGGTAGCCAAGGTCGCCGGCGAGCTCAACCTCCCCTACTGTCTCTCCACAGCAGGAAGCACCCCCATCGAGAAAGTCGGCGAAGCCAACGGCCAAGGGCCCCGTTTCTTCCAACTATACATGCCACATGATGACGAGCTGACCTTGTCCTTGCTCAACCGAGCCTGGAACTCTGGGTTCGATGCGCTGATTCTCACAACGGATACCTGGCAACTGGGCTGGCGACATGACGACGTCGCCAATTCCAATTATGCCTTTTACCGTGGCATCGGGGCAGACCTTGGCTTGACGGATCCCGTGTTCCAAAAACGGTGTCGTGAGGCTGGCATCGACCCGGAGAAGGATGTGGTGGCTGCGTCGGCCAAGTGGATTGACTCTGTCTGGCATGGACGCGCATGGTCGTGGGAGAAGATCCCATGGTTGATTGAACAGTGGAAGAAGATCTCTGGGGGTCGGCCGTTTGTTATTAAAGGAATTCAGTCTGTGGCGGATGCGAAGAAGTGCGTTGAGTATGGGGTTGATGGAATTGTGGTAAGCAATCACGCGGGGAGACAGGTGGACGGCGCCATTGCGAGTCTTGATGCATTGGAGAATATCGCGAATGCGGTTGGTGATCAGATTTACATCATGTTTGATTCTGGTGTTCGTGGAGGCAGTGATGTTGCTAAGGCGCTGGCCTTGGGAGCTCGCTTTGTTTTCGTCGGCCGGCTCTGGATCTGGGGCCTCAGTATCATGGGTGAGGAGGGTGTTCGCCATGTGATGAAGTCGCTGTTGGCCGATTTCGATATCCTGATGGCTGTGGGAGGGTACAATAGCGTCAAGGACTTTGATAAGTCCATACTAGGTAAGGAGATCAGGATGAATCCTCAGGATGGACGCTAACTGTCATGTCAGAATCGTACCCGAAGTCATACACACTGATCCCGGACAAGGTTCTTTAGATGTTCCAGATAGTGGATGCCATGTTCTATACCAACTTTTTCTTAGACAGGGTTAATCGCGAGCCAGAACTGGTGGAGTAAGAATGAATGTTGATTGATTAGAGAAGGACTTCGAATGTAAGGTAATATGATCCGCACGCCGTCCAGGCTCGAAGAATTTATGCAAATACAAATCAGCAGCATGTGTAAATAATGCATATGTTTCCCGAGGTTCAGACGTCGAGTAAGATGCGGTTAACTAGAGCCAAAGCATGAAGGAAGCAATCGCCAGAGCAGAGAAGAAATACTGAGGAGCAGGAATGGTCATGCTACTTCCTGATTCAGCATCAGATGAACTACTAGAGCTAGCAGAGCTCGTCGTGGTCGTTGAGCTGCCCGTTGTAGTGGATCCCGAGGTGCTGCTTGTTCCAGAGCTCGTAGAGTTCGACGCAGAGGTGGTGTTCGAGGAACGCTCTGCAAATCCGACCCGTAACTCATCGTAGTCAAACACAGCATACACGTTTTTGAGAAACGTGTCACCCAGGAGCCAGATGTCATCACCAAATAAGTCGTAGCTGATAATGTTCGAAACGCATCCAGAACCTGAAGTTGCTCCCACGTAGTCCTTCGGCGAGATGGTGTAATTCACACCAGAGAATGCCACTTGTAGCTTAGTAGTTGTGTTGCACGGAATAATGTGGTAGCTCCCAGAAGATTTGGCGCCGGGAATGAGACTGTGCAGCGTCTTCGAGTCGCTTGAAGGGAGCATAGCATAAGAAGTTCCGGTATCGATGATGGCTGACTTGTTGGAGAAATCGCATGAAGTGCCGCCAACATAGACATCGTCCACGGGAATGCGCCAATAGCTGTCCGATCCGACGGTATCGGTGTAGGTGATATCGCCGGTGTACTTGTCCTTGTCAGTAGTGCCAAAGCTGACCGTGCCATCCTTGGCGGGGCTACGCGAAAGGGCAAAGCCAACGATATTCGACTTGAAAACGTTACTTTCTGCAACAGCATCCATGAATGTTGGGTTGTCGTAGGAACTATCGTTGGTTCGACCGAGACCGAGAATGCCGTCCATTGGGTACGACTCGAAGTTATCCGATGCGTTGGAAGCAAGTCCAAAAGTCATGCGTACAGTGACATTTGCAATCGTGAGCTTGTCTTTTCCTAGCAAGCCGCTGACAGACCCGGTTCCATAGCCCACACTCCACTCTTCCGATGTCATTTCAAGGGTCGAAGAATCGTCCGAACCGAAGGTATTGTGCATCGTGCAGGGCGTGGACGTGCAGTTGGAACCGAAAACCCAGGTATCAGAGCCGCCTGTGTCGAGCAACATGTACATAGATTTCTCATCAGACCCAATGTTGACGACAGAGATGTATGAAATGTCGCTACCATCTTGATCGAGAGCGGCGGTGTTAGACCAAGAGGGAGTTTCCGCTACCACAATTTTGAAATCATTGTCACGACGAACGGGAATCCTTTTGATGTTCAGTGACAGGGACTCATCGCTGGCAGATGAGGTGGAATCGTCTGCTAGAGCATCGCTTGGTTTTGGTACTGGCAGGAAACGACGAGCTAATGAATCACGGGCTGAGATGTCGTCCGACGTATCGAGTTTGATGGTGTATGGGATGAAAGCCGTGGCACTGGCGCAAAGATACGCTGCTGTAACGAGACGCTGTGGGAGATGCATAACTTGGAAGAATCAATAAACAGGTGCAAGCAATGGATTTATCGCAATTGTCTGATGCAGACGATGAGGTGCCGGACTCTCCTATCTCAGCCAGATCAGGTGATACAAATGTATAATGATAGAGTAGAATTTGGTTTTAATCAGATTGAGAATGATATTTCATAGACGGAGTCAATGGCAGAATGACACAATCAAGACAATGCTCTAGAAAGATCAACGATAGATTGCTAGCGGAAAGGCACAAACAGTTGAAGATAAAAGAGACGATCAAAAGATAAAGTGCTGATAAACGAATGCTGAACACAGAGAGTGAATAGGAAGAAACGAGGTGAAGAAAAGAAAGTATAAGAAAAATGTGATTTGTAAAGGTCGACACAAAGAAGAAGAGCAAGGGAATGGAAATGAACACGGAAAAGAAAGAAAGGAAAAAGAAAATAGCACCCAAGTGCTTTTCATGCAGTTAAGAATTAAGATGCAGCCTCCAACAGGAGAATTCACACTCAGGCACAGAATGATTATGCTTACATCGTGGGGAGACCCAAAGCCTAAACGGCCCACTCGGCAGGTTTTCGCGGCGCAACGGACGCCTGCGACTGGCTGCTGCCAATGATCCAGGCCTCGATCTACAGGCCTTTTTTGGCGGCGGTGGAGCCCAGGCACGACCGGTCATGTTTTTCCCCTGAGCACAAATGAGAGCGTACAGGCAGAAATGAGTCCGTGAGACATCAATTTTCCATTCTTAGTATCACACCCTCCTACTATAGGTTTTTAGCAGTGATAGATTAGATATCCGGTACCCTTGGCGGAGGAAACAGTACATATATATAGTACAGCCTACCTACTTACGAGTTCATAATCATAATTGCATTCAAGCCACATCCTGGAAGATAGTAATTTCGTCGGCTAATTTTGAAGAAAGGCCCTCCTTAATATCATCCAAATGACAACGACCAGGCCCGTTCATCTCGCATCTTACCTAAGAGGGGTTGGCTACTTATGTGTGGTGTCCAGAACATGCATCAACCCTCGCGATGACGACTCCTGCGCCACTGAGGGGATTCGTAGTCGACGGACTCTCATCATCAGCCCCCCTCCAACTGTAGCTTGGCATTTTAGTGGATCCGTAAGGCGTCGCATTGCAGCTGCAATAAGCCAACGACCGCCGAAATTGACCCAGTAGTCAGTTGGCTGGGAGCGAACAACCAAAACCGACGAGTCATCTGAAAACACCCATTGGTAGATCGGTAGCAAGTCTTCTCCCTCTTTCAGGCTTCCAAGTTGCGAGATGACGATGACCGATAAAGCTTGGTATTCCCAGGCATCCATTGCTTCTCCCAGCGGGACCTTTTTGAGGGAAAATATCACGGAGGAGTTCGTGGGCTGATAGATCTGAGACACTACCGTCATCGAACGACTATATGAAGAATGCTGTTGCATAATGCCGGAGTTCTGCAATGCCGGGGTTCCGTGCTCGCTGTTCGTTCAAGTTGACGGCCACAACACCACCCATGAACTCCATCACCGCGAAGGTCGGTAGGCGATCAACCCCACAAATGCGATCCAAGGAATGAGAGACAATCTCATATTCAATATCCGCTCGCGTTCCCAGTGAGTATAGAGAATGGCAAGAAGGAGAAAAGATGAAAAAAAAAAAAGGCGGGGGTGTTCGATGAAAAACAAAGAGGTCCCCAATTTCCAGCGAGGCTAAACATGAAACAACTCAGCATAGCCGAGGCAGCCACAGTGGCCGGGCTAGGCCAGTCTAAGCTCTGTCAATTACAGCAGCGAAATTACGCACCCATAAGAGGGCTTAACAATCAAATCTTGTGCTGGAGTACTATTCCCGAAATAAACATAATGAATATTAATGTCCCTTGCATTATGCACACTATAAGCTACAAGTCTGGAACCAACAGCAGCGGCTTTGCCCGAATCTAAAACTGTCCCCGGACATCTTCTCCCCTGACACACCCGCCGCACCCGAAAGTCAGGAACAATAACCACCCAGACTTGCATCCGCAGAGAAAGGATCAAAAAGTGCAGTGGGAGCCTCGTTACTTCAATATGCGGTATTTGTTACATTCTGTCACGGTGTAAGACACCAGTGACCTCTCAACAGGCCTTGAGGAATTCACATGGACCGATCCCCAACGGTTGGAGGTCGGAACATATCGGGGGACAATTCATCAGCCCACGACGGTTTACTGATTGACTTTACCCATTTCCGGGTCCCCGGGAACGGTTTTTACCTAGGTTAGAGCGGAGTGATGATGATTATGCCCGGCTCCGATCTGATAAGCCCTATTTCCCCGGCGTGCACAAGATGCGCCCTACCATGCATGATCCGAATCATACCTAGGTATTGATCGTGCTTCACCCGATGGTCCACTTATTGCATCATCCGGGGAATGGGTCGTGTTCTCTTACTGGACTATACCAGGATGGTTACATGACGAATTGGTATACTGTAGCGTATATCCTTGGAAAAAAAACCAGAATGGATTTGATAGACCCTTCTACAGAGGATCATAACTATGTTTCAATCCCGAAAGACATTGACAAAAAGACGGCAATAAGGGCCCTTTGAAAAGTAACCATCACACATCGCTAGAAACGAGACAGAAGACATAATCAAACATGAAGGCAGCATTAGTGTTTCTGAGCTTGCTGCTGTTTGGAACCTAAAAGATCTTCCAAGAAACCACTCCAAAGTTCCCGGACGACTCCTGGTTCGGAGGTACCGTTCTGTTGCCTCTTCAGCTCCTCGCCGAATCTGGACTTCCCAACCGTCTCGGTTAGGGAGAAGGGATCGATGTCCACGGAGTGATTGTCAACAACCTCGGTCATGGGACTTGCGGAGATGTCACCAGCACCCCCGGACACGGTATAAACCTGGGGCCTCATGGGGGCCTCTTGCGACTGGGTCGGGTCATAGTGGGTATAGATGTCGGAAAGGATCGGGATTTGCGGATCGGCACGAGCAGCAGGTGCATCGATCTCTGCCATAGATGGCATGTAAGCGAAGTCAACGGTGGATGAGTCACCGACGGCCTTGCTAGAACGGGAAGTGTTGAATTGGCGGCCATGGTTCTTCCTGTGTTGAGCAAGAATGTTAGTTCCGAACTGGCTTTACCCGAGGTAACGGGCTGTCATGATGATCAGATCTACATACTCAGCGCTAGAGCTGCCGTTGATCCTCTTCATAGCGATGCTGAAGGCACGGGACTGAAGAAAGTCATGGTTGGAAAGGCGTTCGACAAGCTAAGCGACACAAAATAATGATTAGCCATACAGGTGGTTTGACTAGGAGTGTAGATGTCATAGATAGCATACCTCGGACTGGGAGCCACTAGATCTCAAGGACCGCTTCGCACATTCATTCTTCAGATCCGCCAGAGTGCGGCTGGCATACAGAGAAGCCCTGTCCGAGACATTGGCGGGTTGTGCAGACTGGGCGCCGGTGATGTGCAAGCCCCGACGGATGGATGGGGTGGTAGAGTGCTGCTGGGAGAGCACGCGGAGAGCGCGCAACGAACTGGAACGAGGAGCTGCCATTGGAGATGTGATGGGAGGTGGAACGAGGAAGAGTTGAGCTCGTTGATATGTGGTGATTTGGTTGACGGGGACAATTATAATGGTCTGGGCAAATAGTTGAGCTCAAGAATGTAGAGCTAAGTATTCAATAGGGCGGAGCCAACAATTCAAGCAAGTACTGTAGAGGGAAGTGACCGGCTATGTACAGCAGAGGGGGGTTAAAGGGAGTTTAGGCACCAGAGATAAAGCAATGGAATGTGAGAGAGAAGAAGGAAGAAAGAAAGAAGCAAGACGGGGAAGCAGGCCGTACTTGAAGGACAGCCGGACAGGCGTTGCTTTGCAGGAACCAGTTGGGGGAGTGATGAGCAAGCGACCTTGCCTTATCCACACGCTCCCTGCTGGGGTGGACACTCACTGGGGCCGGCGGTCTGGCCAAGTCTGCCGGCTGTAAATAGTAGAATGGAACCACTTGGTCCCGACCGAATAGATCGATCGATATGATCCTCCAGGACCCCCAAACAGGTAATTCTGCCCTTCGGACTCTTACTTTGATCGGCTTTCGTCTGGAAAATGATCGTCTGATTATTTGTTTTCCATGAGTTGGCCATCCTCAACACCCCCCTATTATCCGGTTTCATTACGAATCTGATTCAAACAGAAAATCAACTCTTCCAGGGAAAAATAAATGGAAATGATAGTCATTTAGCTCGTGAGGGGTAGAGAGATGTGTCAACCACGGTAACAGGTACGAATTACCCGTCCCCCCAACTCTCCCAGATCATGATATCCACCATGTTGTTCAAGGCTGTCTGCAGCCCATACGGAGAGGTTACTTTTACCATCTGGTGCAATACGGATGGGATGGGACTCTCCAATCGCAGCCTGCATAATCACCGGCGCCATCATGCAGACTGGTGGTCGGAGCAGCCAATGAACTGAATTCCACGGACATTTCTATTACTACTCGGTACACCGGAGTCACTGGTCAGTTGCTGATCGAGGGGCATTGGAAACACGCATTGGCCTGGCACAGTCTGGGATATGCCGTTCCTCGAATGGCAGATAGATTAGCTTCCCCTCATTGCAGCAGTAGCATGTCCTTCCCCTCCTCTGCAGCAGCGGTACAACATCCATGGAGATGCGCCGTGAATATATCATCGAGCATTAATTATCTAGCGCGATGCGCGAGAGGGGCAGGAGATGATCCCTTCTTTTCTTGAAGGGTTCTACAGTTTGTCGTGGGCATTGCTTCTTCCATGCCTGCTAGACTGATAGGTAGTCTCCCGCTCGTCACTAGCAATCGGAGCTGGTGAAACTCTGCGACTGTCTCGTATTACATCAACCACTTTTGAGTTTCATCCCCCATCCGGACTTTAGTTGCCCACTTTTAAACCTGAAGATGGTCTTTATCTATCCTCATCAACAAGATATTCGAAATCCAACACTTGAGTGTGACAGTATTACGACAGGATAAGAGTTGACTGTTTCTCTGTAAGTGACTTCCTAAAGCAGTAGTCCGTCCTCCTGCGACGACACCTTCTATCTCCGTCCGTCGCAACCTGCTGGAACTCGGCGGCCGTGACGCAATGAAGAAACAACCAACGGCATTCGAGAAGCTTACTAGCGCCAACGGGATAAAACCAGCCAATACCGTACTTTACTATGCCTTTTACCGAGAGGGATGCGTGTACAGACCCAACAACCGTCCCTCATCCAACCTGCCAGGTAGGCTGATCTTTAATCGGGTGATTCTAAGTGGAAGCGATGATTGGCAGGTTGGATGGGACGATGGATGCTTACTTCACAGAGCTGTAGCATGATGCGACGCTCAAGGCTGGAGATGACTGGCTCGGGGGGTGCCTACTCTCAACTGTTGAGGAGCGGTGAAGTGGAGACGGACGGGATGGGGCACGTGAGGTCGATCTGGCTTGCCCGGCAGCTTCCCCGTGGATCCTTCCCCCCGACTAAAATTAAGGTACTCTGATTTACGCTGTAGTCCCCATACCCTACGGAGTCCCCTTTCTCCTCCTCCAGCCCTTCCGCAACAAGGTACTCTGATATACGCCGTAGTCTACATCCTCTACGGGGTTACTATTCCCCCCCATCTCACTTCAGCCCCTGATCCTGCTCGGACTCAACAAACGCAGCGTCATCCATCATGACTTGTTGGTGCTTGCATCGGCAAAAGTAAAATTCAAGGAAGTTGTTTCGGTGACTCCCGTATCCTCCGCAGGATTCCGGTCGTTCCCTCCATCTTCCATTCTATTCTTCTTGTTCGTCTGGATGTCGTACTTCATGCATCATCAACTGATGGTGCCCTTCTATGGCCTTTCCTTTTTTGGGTTCCGGAGAAGCACATTTTAAATCTGGCTAGATACACGTTGATAAGTGCTTATCAGGCCCTGTCTGTTTGCTGATTGCATCGACCAGGCTAAGCCATCTAGTCATCGGAGTTAGAACGTGCAGAAAGTGCAGCTACGATAATCAACTCGATATGACCTCTCCACTGCGACTTGGCTGTCGCGTCTAGGAGCTCTAATCTATGGTAGGAATTTCAAGAAACCATGACTCTAGCCCCGCATAAGTCTGTTTTCATATGCATTGATAACCCCTCCAAGCATGTGAATCGCTTCCATCGTCTTTATTCGAACCCCTAATGCGGTATTTACCTTGCGGATCCTACGTCCCCCTGTCCAGGCATACACATTTTTAGTTACTTACCTACCCTTTTCGTTTAATGGTATATACATCCCTTGCATGCATAGCATAGCGTGGACTCGAGAGGCAAATGGAAGTCCTTTTGGCGTTTCTTTTCACAATAGCTAGAAAAGCACACCATCATCTGGATCCACGCAAGCGTCGTCCGACTACTTCCACGTATCTCAAGGTCATATTCCATGAGTCGCACTGCCTATCTATGAACTCATGGTTGGACACTGATAAGTGTGGCATTCTGGTCGCTCTGCATTCTATCTCTAGCATGCCCCTCGTAACCCAGGGACTGATGCGACGAGTGCTATCAATGAAGCATGAATCATGTAACTCGTCGACTGTCAATAGCTAGCTTTCCTTGTGGATGCGTCTTGAAGCCTATTCCGAAGAGAAGTGGCCATTTGACGATCTATTCTTAATCAGTTCGGAGAATAATGACTCTACGTGTATGCTCGGGCTGCGAGAAAAGCACCTCTATATGCCACCCACCGGCTTGATATAAACACGGCCGTTAGTACATGGTATAGTGCTGCTTAGCAAATAGCACACTTTATGGTGCCAGTTCATCCACATACTTTCTATCTTCATCTTGGAACGCATCATCGGGGCATCCAATCCTGAAAGTACGATAGAGACTTGCTTAACTTATACAGTTGTATGCCGTCGCCAGGCTATACTGGCAGTCGTAAAATTCATCAACCACATGGCCCAAATAAACTTCACAGACCAAAAGCATGCAACTTCCTACCGACATGGATGCCACGAGTCACAAACATAATCTTTATGGTACAGCGCACCAGCAAGCGCATTCGATGGATCCAGCATCCTAAGTTCACTACCAGTAAAGCTTGAGCTACTTTGTTATCTCCTATCTATCTGCCTATCTATCCACCGGGGAACCCAGACCCTTCTCCGACGGCGGGGCGGCCCTACATAACCGACAAAACTGACTAAATAATACATCCTGACATAATCAATTCAATTCACAATCACAGCCACACAAATTCGATTGATGACTGTGGCTGTTCCCAAGCCTCATTAATCCTCCCCAGAATTTCAGGCACCGTAACCGCAATCCTGTGAGTCAGTCAGGCATTGGTACTTTTACTTAACTAGCTATTTTTGTTCTATCCCTGTCCCACTTTTACTGCCCCTCCTCTCTTGCCGCTATAAGGCTTTGTGCGTGTGTGCGTGTGCACTTAGGGAAACACTTTTTCTCCAGCTAAAAACGCATACTGATGCAACGGGTTACTACTGGCGTAGGGTATCTCGTGAATCAGTTTGGGACCGCTGCTACCATCAATAGTAATAAGTCTATCTGGCTGGGGAGTCGTTGTTATCGTCGTTCTAGTTCACTATTAGGTATGTTACGGAGATCCCAGATTATATAGGTTTTGTCGGGCCGGGGTGTTCCTCTCCTTGCTTTCTATTTTTTGACTTGTGGAGGCTACTAGCGGGGAAAAAAGGGTTGATGCGGATGGCGACTGACTGACTTATTTGCTTCATGTTAAGATCTAGTGACTTTGGGTTCTAGTACTGGTACTAGTCGGGTGCTGCATCGCCAGCGTGCTTCATATTCTTCTTATTGTTCTGTATTAGGCAAAAGAGGCTTTTCTACTACGCTTCGTTATAGTCAGGGATACCTGGCTGAGGGCTCGATCAAAATGGGTGACTCTGAGCCTGTGACTACTGCTACTGCTACTGCTACCACTAGTAAACCTATCAGATATGTTGATGTAGGTGGACAATCACTGCTGCCCTGTGAAACCCTCTCTGTTTGTTGTCCTAAGTAGCTAATGGAGAGACTATAGATTGGAATCAACCTGAGTGATCCCGTTTTCTCGGGTAGCTACCATGGCAAACAGGTTCACGACAATGACCTGGACGACATTGTACAACGTGCAAAGGACATCGGGTGCCAGAAATTCATGGTGACTGGCTCTGACTTGAAGGAGTCTCGGCGGGCAATTCAACTTGCACATGACTACCGTAAGTTGTTATCGCCCCTCAAACAGCAGTGATTTCCGTCTGACTTTATCGTGCAGCTGGATTTTGCTATGCAACTGTTGGTGTCCACCCTTGTCAGGCGAAGATGTTCGATGAATACCCCGGTGGTCCTTCCAAAATGCTAGACGAGCTCAGGACGCTCGCATTGCAGTCGAAGGAGAATGGACAGGCTGTCGCGTTCGGTGAAATCGGCCTAGATTATGATCGCTTGTTCCTGAGTGCGAAAGAACCTCAGCTGAAGTACTTTGAAGCCCAGTTGGATCTTGCTGTGGAAATTCAACTTCCTCTTTTCCTTCATTCTCGTGCTGCTAGTGAGGATTTCGAGAGACTGTTGGGGCCGCGACTTGCCAAGCTTCCGAAGAGAGGACTTGTGCATAGTTTTACAGGGACCCTGGAAGAGATGGAGCGGATGGTTGCTCTTGGACTTGACATCGGCGTGAACGGCTGCAGTCTGAAGACAGAGGAGAACCTCGAAGTGGTGAAGGCCATCCCGCTGGAGAGACTTCAGATCGAGACAGACGGCCCTTGGGTATGTCTCACTTTTCTGTCACTAAATGAGTACATTCACTGACTCCGAACTCTAGTGCGAAATTCGTCCTTCCCATGCCTCGTCGAAATACCTCAAGGGTGCGCCGGAATTGCCAAAGGCCGTCAAGAAGGAGAAGTGGCAGAAGGGTCTCATGGTCAAGGGTCGCAATGAGCCTGCCGCGATAGCCCATGTCGCCTACGTCATCGCCCAGATCAAGGGAGTGACCGTTGAAGAGGTCTGCGAAGCGTAAGTATTTCCTCATATCATCGGATATAGCCTGAATCTGTCGCTAAATTATCCCATTCTAGTGCTTGGAATAACTCGATCAAAATGTTTGGACTTGGGGAAGATGCATAATGATCCTACATCTAGAAATTGTCTTTTGGTGCTCCGTTACAAAGCTTTCACTAACCTCGCATAGCCCCTCCATGACTTCCGGCTACCCGCTGAAGAATATTCACTGTCTAGGATTATTATAGATAGATATAATGATGGAAAATTATCCCTTTAATGATGTTATGTTGGTGCCTTTTTGGAGTCGCGCCCGGCCACAGACCCGTTTCCAGACGCTGAGTCAGTCGCCCCCAACCATGGTTCCTCACAACGGCTAGACTCTGCTCCTTGTCACTGCTGCTGAACGCAAATTCTATACTGCAATCTCCCACCCCCCTCTGTTTATTCTGTCATGAAGAACGAAAAGCACAACTGTCGTCAGCCTTTCTGGTAGGTGCTTCCAGGGAGTTACCAACGTGAGTAGCTATCTGGCTTTGCTCTGCCACTAGACGCTCGCAGGGGTTCCTTCTTGCTTCACTTGAGCTGCACCTGAGGTGCGCAGCACGTGTCTGTTCCTGCTTAAGCATTGTGCTCGCGTGAGGTCTGACGGCAGAAGCTAGCTCTCTTCCTATTGACCTTCATTTACATCAGCTCACCGCCTATACCTGTCCCCAGCACCATACTACTCGCACCTTATCTCTGGCCCTAGGCTGTTCGTTGGCTGCCGAAGAATCCCTTCAATTTATTTCAGCATCCCAAACAGACGGATTTCCATCATCGTCATTATGTCTCCTTGTCGGATCTTTTCCGTCTGAGGCTTGCGAGTCAGCCTTACTCGTGTCTCACAAGCTTCTTCTCGCGCATAATCCCTTTCTTCTCAAGGCTGTTTCCGTTTATTGAGCTCGAGGCTGGTTCTTCTTGCTCCTGGTGGTCTTCATAGCACCCCCCCCACTACTTTCCCCCCTCTCTTAAATTCGAAGTTGTGAGACCTTTGAGTCTTGCTACTTCTCTACGGCGGTGTTGAGTCATACAGCCGCTGGGTGTCTAGATAGTCAGTATCCCAGCATGGCCTGTCCGTTGACCGAGAAAAGTTCGAACAGCTCTCTTAAGAGTATCAATGGTGAGTGATTATTTCGCTACAACAGTGAAACATACCGGGCCTTCCTGATCCCTTTATTATGGTCTATCGCTTACAATAGCTAACCAACATTTTAGATATAGCTCGTCATAAAGCCTCCTCTCTGGAGTCTGAGTCTGTACAGTCAGAGCTACCTGCTAATTTAGGAGAGGTCGTGAAAGGGATATATCGCTCTTCCTTTCCCTATCCCTGGAATCTTACAGCACTCAAGAAGTTGGGACTGAAGACCATAATGTATGTGTCTCTGCGGAATTGCCTACCCATGACACTTAACTAACAAGGCCTTAGCACACTGGTTGATGAACCGTACCCTCCAAGCCATGTGATGTTCGTCAAGGAGAACGGCATTGCACATCATCGTATTTTGGTTCAGGCAAACAAGGACCCTGCTGTTAAGATACCTGACTCTGTCATGTGTCGAATCCTTGAGCTTCTGCTTGATAAAAGCAACCATCCTATTCTCGTCCATTGCAACAAGGGAAAGGTAAGCACTTGTTCTTATTTATGGTTGACGCGTAACTAATTGCTCTTGTAGCATCGTACTGGATGCGTGGTTGCCTGTTTTCGAAAACTTCAAGCCTGGGATTCATGCGACGTCATCGAAGAATACCTTCGATATGCTTTTCCGAAACCGAGATTACTTGATGAAAACTACATCGACGGATTTGACCCATCCAAACTTCATCAACTTGCTCAGTCTTCCGGTGTCAAGACGTGGCAGCCATCTGGGCTCTTCAAGATGCCATCGGCAGAACAGGATAGAGATAAGGAACTCACTAACTGCCACGTCCCTCCGTCTCTTTAAAGAGATCCATGCGGTTCTATGAGTCACATTATAGATCTAACCAAACCTCCACCCTCCGGCTTTCCATTGGTCAAACGACCTCCGTCCTGGCAATCGATCCTCCTAGTGGCGAATTTGTCAGCCATCTGTCCCTTGCTTAGGGACAGTAGGAATAATCACTTCAGGACCCCGCACTACCTCGTTCCTATGAGGACTACTCCCTAACTGTTTCTTTCCTGCACTGAAAAGCATAAAATATTTGTCGACGACTGGATCGTGTTAAAGAAGCTTTAATGCTGTGTCGAAGGATTCTCACTCTTGCTATACTCGCTTATTTTATACCCCCAAATGTCTAAGATAGACTGATGCCTGGTGCTTGTTGCCACTCCGCCACTAGTGTACTATTTACTGCGGGAGTAGATTGGGTGATTTGCAGTCTTCAACAGGGCGTGCGTGTCAAGGGAAAGACACGGGAAGACAAGAAGCCATATTGTAATGGCTAAAATGTATTTTAGACAATCGTCCTACCAAACTTAAAAAGGGGTGATTCTTTGTTAGTGTTAGAAGTACTACTATTAGTAGTATCGTCATAAAGCCCCACAATGTATAATAATGATATAGTATCTGCTGTATATACTACTAAGTAACATGCATCCTCCAACACGCAGATCCTGATAAATATACCGCTCAAAAACTACCGCAGAGCATATCATCGTCATCGTTGTCATCTCCAAATTCTTCAAATTCTGCCATATCATCCGAAAACAGGGTGTAATCCATATCATTTCCACTGAATCGATCGGACATAATATCATCATTTTCATCTTCGCAATCATCTTGAGAAAACGGCAGTGACCCGCATGATGAAGAAGGTGCAGCAGCAGCAGTAGTAGTAGATAACATCGCGCAGCTACTATTCTCGTCGGGCTCACTGAACCGAAGAAGTTCCTCGTCTCCATCGGGAGAATATATTAGATCCCTGGAAACTCTTTCTCCGATTTGCGATGGCTGGTCCTTGCATTGAGTGTTAGGTGATGGGGTCTGAAAGCGCAGTTTTCGGGATGCTTGTGGCTTGTAGAGTTGTTTCTGGGCGATGCGGAAGAGTGCTGTACTTATATTATTCCTAATACTGTTTGTGTCTGTTTCTGTTGTAGAGGGTCGGGGCGTGCTATTATGATTTAGATTGCTTAGTTTGGATTGCAGAGATTGATGGTTGGGGAGTTTGAGTATGGATGAAATTGATTTCGTTATTGAGGGAATTAGATGTGACCGTTGACTCATTTCCTGGTGGAGGGGTGAGTTGGTATTTCCTTCAGTGGTAGTGATGAGCTTACCTTGTGGTAGTTCGGGCTGAAGACTGAAGGTGCAATTTGTGAAAGAGGCTGCAGGGTCCTATTTTGGGGATCGCTACGGCTGGTTGATGAAGTGGGTCCGAATAGAAGCGATTCGAGGCCGACCTTGAAGAGATCGTATAGCTGTTCATGCTGCCCAGCTGGAGAAGCTCTCTCGAAGAATCCTTCTTGAGGGGTGAGAAGCGAGGAGACTTGTTCACTTTCATGCAACTCTTCTAGCTCGTCGACGAAGGATGTGACTTGAGTGTCTTCGGAGTTTTCTTTATATACGCTTTGTTGGGGACCAAAGAATATGGTGTCTTGTGTGTGCTTTAGTATATAGTTCTTGTAGTAATAGTCTCCTACCAAATTCGGTTTTGTCAAAGAGTCTGTATCTAGTATATATAGCTGTGCGCTTTCGGTCTTGAAAGTGAAGGACATGAATGCGTTGACTGTAGACAAATTAACAGTCTGAATGTGGACTGGAGTCTGGACATCGTCGAGGTGATCGAACAAAGCTGTCTTTCGTGCAGATTTCGTCTTCGATGACTGTTTTAGGTCCCTTCTTATCCCGATAATGAGCTCGAAAGAAGTCAAATCGCTGTAGTGGAAGTGATTACAACTTTTGAATAGAGCGACAAGGCCAAGATCTGACCAGAGCTTGATAAGGAAACCAATTGTTAGCTCCTTTCAAAAGGTGAGTTAGCTCATAGGCTGACCCAGAGAATACCTTGGAACTACACAGCATCTCCCCGATCTGCGAACTGAAAGACGAGGCCGAAAGGGCCATCGACGCACCGACACTGATCGAGATGTAGAGTTTGAGTTCAGGGGCATGGGACACCCATAGATCTTGCGATTCAAGCAGCCTCTTGATACAGGTTGCATCCGTTAAGCCGGTGTCTTCGGGGATTAGTACCTGAGCTGAAGCATGCATATTGAGATCGATAATCGAATCAAGAGAACTAAGTCGGTCGTCTCCAAGAACAAGTGTCAAAGTCATCCCGCGGCTTTATAGAATGGGTAGTCAGTATGGACATATTTTCCTGTGAAGCAGGTCCCCGGTTAACTGAGGAAGTGCTTGTAGTAGACGAAAGAGGAAAGGGAGGCGGGATCTATGACTGTGGAGACGCGCGGGATAGACATCGCCGATCTCAATTCCCTGCATTTCTAGCTCTGTTCACCTTCACTATGTGGAGTGTATGGTCTCATGGCCGAAGCATGTTAGCACTACGACAGAATAAAGAGATCAACAAAGACCAGAAATCCCGTAGTAAGCTAGGAACTACCCTCAAACATGAAGAGTCAAAGTCTCCACTGACCTTGTGTCACAAGCGCGCGGGATCGGAAGTGCGTGAAGCTTATCGCGAATATACTCCTAGAAGGAAAAAAGGAGTTGTGCATCACCAATACAACTTCAGCGACTTGAGTAACCATTCCACAGACAAATATAAGCACCGTAATTGCCAGCATTGCAGTTGCTTACATGCTAGGGACGATCGCTGCCCGAAGCAGTAACTATTTGGGTGTTATTGACTGATCTATTGACATTTATTTTTAGCCGGCTTATCGATAAGGAGATCACGTGCATGGGGATTGATTACCTGGCCCCTAAGCATCCTCCGCATCAGGGATTCCTAGTTTCAGGAGCTTCACAATTCAGCGATGCCCAGTGATGAAGGACAGCGCGCTCTCTTGGCCGACCAGAAAGGCCCCGATGGGCCAGAATCGCAGTCACTTCTCTCCGAGTCGCCGACACAGGACTTCGAGCTTGTGAACCATGCGGTCCCGACTAGCTCGACTCCCCGCGGACAGCCGCACCAGTCTTCCATATCACAGCCGGTACCAGAAGGACAGCGCCGCACCCCTCGAACGATGAACCGAGTTCGCTTCGACCTTGACGACGAGACCGAGGACGAGGGCCACCCCAATGGTCGTCGCGACTCCGAAGACTCATGGCTGGAGGAAGAGGACTATGGCCGCGCGGACCGCAACCGGTCAGCAAGGCAAATGGTCCCTCTGTTGACAGACATTGAGGCCCCGAGTGTGACCCTGGCTACTTCCGATGAATTCTTTCCTGAAGAACACCTAGAAAGTGCGAGGCCGAGGAGTGGGATGCGCATGGCCTTTATGAACATGGCCAATAGCATTATAGGAGCGGGGATAATAGGACAGCCTTATGCCCTCCGACAAGCTGGCATGTTCATGGGAATAACGCTCCTGGTCGTCCTCACTATTGCCGTGGATTGGACAATCCGTCTGATTGTGGTCAATTCAAAGTTGAGCGGTGCGGATTCTTTCCAGGCGACAATGCAGCATTGTTTTGGCAAGAGTGGACTCATCGCCATATCGGTTGCGCAGTGGGCGTTTGCGTTTGGCGGCATGATTGCGTTCTGTATTATCGTTGGAGATACCATACCGCATGTCTTGAGTGCCTTATTTCCTTCCCTTCGAGATATGTCGTTCCTCTGGCTTTTAACCGACAGACGCGCTATTATTGTTCTTCTTGTTCTTGGTATTTCGTATCCGCTGTCTCTGTACCGAGATATTGCTAAGGTACAGTATCAGTAATCCACAAAGCTGAATTATACAGTGCTGACTGTTCAATGTAGCTAGGAAAAGCGTCTACCTTCGCATTGATCAGTATGATAGTCATTGTGGTAGCTGTGATAACCCAGGGTTTTCGCGTACCTCCGGAATCACGCGGGGAAGTGAAGAGCCTGCTCCTGGTTAATGATGGCTTCTTCCAGGCTGTTGGGGTGATATCATTCGGTATGTTCTGGCCATTGGTAGACTATGCAATCAAAGAACCGTACTGACTGTTTGCAGCATTCGTATGCCGTATGTAGCATTGTTCCTTTACATGACCTGAGGCTAACAGATACAAAGATCACAATAGCCTTCTGATCTACGGTTCATTGAAGAAACCGACAATGGACCGATTTGCAAGGGTAACCCACTACTCGACCGGTGTCTCACTCTTGATGTGTCTAGCTATGGGTATTTTTGGTTTCCTTTTCTTTGGATCACAGACTCAAGGAAACGTCCTAAACAATTTCCCATCCGACAATATCCTGGTCAATATCGCACGACTGTAAGATCACGGCCCATGTTTCGCGGATTTTCAAGCTGACCCGAAGAAGATGCTTTGGCCTAAACATGCTCACTACTTTGCCGCTCGAAGCATTTGTATGTCGATCGGTAATGACAACTTACTACTTTCCTGACGAGCCTTTCAACATGAACCGACACCTGATATTCACGTCGGCATTGGTCGTGTCCGCTATGGCTATGGCCTTGATAACGTGCGACCTGGGTGCAGTGTTCGAACTGATTGGCGCGACTAGCGCTGCTGCACTGGCCTATATCTTTCCACCTCTTTGCTATATCAAGCTGAGCAATGCGTCGCACAAAGCCAAGATTCCCTCATATGTGTGCATCGTATTTGGCATAACCGTAATGGGAGTCAGCCTGTTACAGGCTGTGATGAAGATGATAAGTAGTAGGTCCAAGACCCAATCGATTTTATGGCCTCCGGAATGGCTTTGCTAACAAGTACCACCTGCTGCCATAGACGAAGGCGGCGCAAGCACCTGCAGTGCTTAGTGTAAAAACTTACCACCCGGTCTTCGAACATATTCATGTTCACTTCCCATATGATAGACTCCATTTCTTTCTGGCTGCCTCGATAAAAATGTACATACTGTCGTGCCGCCATCACATTTCTTCAACCATTTCTTGCCTCCTTTCCATAACTTTCTTGTTGCGAAATCGGTTTCTATTTCGATCGAACTGTGTTAGCTGTGTTATGCCACCCGCGACGCTGCAGAAGGCAATACTAGGGACGGAATAGGGATTGTAGTAAAGTTGCTACCGATACACTTGGCATACGAAGACTAGCACCTGATCGATTGCTCCAATTTGAAACTTACTCAAAAGTCTCAAACATGTCCAATCAAGCCGTGCTTATCTTTGAGTGGCTGCAAAGCTGCGTTTGCAGTCATCCTAGTACAGCAGCTAAGTACTCACCCACAACACTGAATTGTTTGTTTCACTTAGCCTTCATATGATTCTCGTATCTTCCTTCTGTTAATCGTTCTGACTTCTGAAATATCTGTTCAAAGCACCAGTTGTCATCATACTTGTTTTGTCTTCATAACCTTTACACCTGTCTTTCATCCAAACCCCTCATTCGTCTCCCAAAACTCAATTGCAATACCTACTGTTATTGCTTTATCCCCGCATTGTGATTCCCCTTCCAGTATTCGGAGTATCTATGCTGCTTTGACTGGTATAGTGGCGACACTCTTTCTACTAGTCCTCCCGAACAAAAACATTTTCGTACCGTATCCTCACCCTCGCCTTCCTGACTACCTCTGCTACCTTGAGAATGCCATTCACTTCGGCCTACTAGTGATGCCCGGTCAACAAGATTTCCCCTCGAGCTACTTCACTCTCTGGTAAAGCTAACGCGTTTAAAAGACGCGTTCCCTTCCTGAGTGAACTCATGGAACTTTCCGTCCCAACTCATTCTTGAGCAGATATTCGAACATCTACTTGCTTCTACAAACGCAACATCATCTCTCTGAGAAGATGGATCCCAATACTTCAGATCGCCTCAAGAGGCTTCAGATGGTACGTTGTGCAAGAAAACAGGATACTCTTTCGTCGCACACGCATTTCGGAGTAGGTTCCATGGCTAATCGAGACTTTCGCCCGTATAGGAAGACCTTGGAACCGCACGACGGGAGTATATCTCAACTGCAGATGACAGGCGACACAAGAAGGCTAGGTTGGAAGACATACAGGCAATACGAATGACAAACGTTCCTGGGTCAGCTGCTCAACGCATGGCCACTGTAAACCAGGAGAGACTTGAGGATTGGGCAAGTAAGACATCGAAAAGAAGGAACTCCCAAATATCAAGCCTGTTTCATCTTGCTGAACTTCTATACTCCAGATGTCCACAAGACGATAGGTGATACCGAAGACCTGGAGAACCTCGACAGCCTCCTGGATGGACAAAGCCATCGACTTCAGCTAAGCGCCATCATACGTGAAAGTGGAGGGCAAAAATACATAGGGAGTCAAAGGCGCTCTGGTTCTGCTCCGGCTACCAGGTCGTTGCATCCGGTCGGTCGTGGCGGCGGCGTGATAGGCACGCGAGGACGTGGAACAAGGCAGAGCTCTTTACCGTGAGTCTCAAATTTTTTTTTCTATACCTATCACAGATTCCTGGCTAAAATATACGTGATATGCAGGCCGTCCAATCCTACACCCAGAGGCCATGTTACTCAGCCTCCGAAGCGATCCCATGGAGATGCAGCTCTTGATGACAATGACTTCTACCGAACGGCTCGTGAAGGAAACGCTTCAAGGAAGGAAGAAGCCATGAGAGCACAAAACAGACGGTCTTGTAAGCTATCGGTATTCGCATTTATGAGATACATGTCGCCTAACAGGATCCTTCTAGCTGTGCGAAGGCCTACGTCTTCTACGACCAGACCGAGAAGACCCGTGTCACAGTATGTTGCAATCGCCTCCCCCAAATAAGATCAATTTGACCCTTACACTTGGATACAGGGTTGACTATAGTAGCATGCTCAGTCAGCCACAGAGTTTCCTTGCTGCCGCTCGCAGTCTGGTTAGCGCTAGAACTACGCCGGCTGCTCCTACTCCTGCCCTCCAAATCTCTCGCGATGGCGGCAGATCTGAGGCCAGCCAAAAATCTTCAAGACCAATGGATACTACGGATAGGCCTACCGTTCAGAAAACGCAGCAGGAACCGAAGCCCCAAATGGCGGAACCTCCCAAGCCTTTTACCCGTCCAGTAGTTCAGCTACCGGCAATTCCCCCTCGGTGCACAGCTGTGCAGCAAGAGAGTACAACCAAGGCGGACGAACCGCTTCCAGTCTTGCCATCCTCAGCCGTACTTGATGCCACCAGTCAGGATCAAGGGTCTGCATCTATGAGCTTGGGGTCGACTGAGGATGAACAATCTATTTCTGGAATACCTGAAAGTCAAACTGGAACACAAGAAAAAGTTAACTCTGACCTGTCTACAGCGGCAGCTCCCGTACCGGATATTAAAGATACCAGTCCGAAGGCAGCGACTGATGTCAAGGAAGCCATCCTGCTTGACTTTAGCTCTACACCACCGGAGCAAAGCATCCATGGCCAAAGTCCTGCTACTACGGAGGTGCTAACCCCTTCGCTTGAAGACCTAAGAGGCCTTGACTTTAAACAGGACCTCCACCCCAAGTTTCCAACTAGAAGAAGAGTTGACTTCGACATGTCTACTGACAAAAGAGAAGCATCCACCAATGTGCATGATCTCATGCCTACGAAACAGTATGATAAAGCTGAAGCCAGCGAAGATCTGCATCGACAGATCAATATGCTGTGCGAGCTTTTGCAATCGACCTCTCTTTCGGGTGAGCACCGTGAAAGCCTGAAGCAATGCAAGACAGCGCTTGAAGGGAAGTTGCACGGCGCTTATAACTCCACAGGTAAAACAACTCAAACACAAGAAGACCCTTTCCTTGGAAAGCCGGTCCTTGAAACTCTTGAAGCGGCAGCTGAGCCAGACGAACAACCTCAATCGAGTATCAGTGGTCTAGGTATACAGAATGTATCCATGGACAACTCCACCCCTAACAAATCTGAGACAATAGTCGAACCAGACAAACAATCAACACCCAGCTTTGGTGAAATGATCATGCCTACATCCGTGGAAAATGCCAGACTAGCAATGGCGAGTCCAAGCCCTTCGAGCCGACTGAACGTAACCGCGCCGCCATTTGTCCCAAAGACGCCCTTCCGCGCCCAGTCGAATAGTTTCTCAAGCGATTCAAATGCAACATGCGTGCCTGAAACGCCCTGCCCACACCGCCGAGTTAGCATGCCAGAGGGACACATAATTGGGGATCACCTGCTGCCAGGCAGGCGTAGAGAGACCATATCCTCTGGAACCGAGCCGCTGGCGGCAAAGCAGCCACCGGCCAAGGGTAAGTATCACCTGTGGTTCCTCTATATAACTTTCATGTCTGATGCTAATTTCCACTCCAGAGGTCACTGAACCCCGTTTCAAGTTCTCGATCCCACCGAAAATCTCACGCAAGTTGACCATCAAGACACCAGTCAGGGAAGGATTTGGCAAAGAGGAGACCCCCGGACCAGTTGCTCCACGACTTGCATCAGGAAATATCCCCAAGCCGGCCCCCAAACCTTCAGCTGCTCTGCAGCAATCTGTCCACGCTCCAAAGGCCAAGCCTTCTTCCGTCCTGGGCGGTCTTGAGAGCTCTAGATACGCGTCGCCATCGAGCAATAAGCCTTTTCGATGACTCTAATGATTAATCGGTGAAAATCAGGTTGTTGTGCTATTTACTGTTTGATCATATTATACATAGTACTACTACTTAGATAATAACTAAATGTCAAAAGACCGCATATTGTAGGATTAAGCGGGTTTGCTTACGGGTTTATACTTCACTACTTGTTTCGGTAGCAATGAAATATCACACAAGTAACATTTTCCACATAGATTTTAAACGGGACTCAGACTTCTCATAGTATGAAAGACATTCTATCTAGATAAAAAGCTACAAACCACATTCTTACAGCTTCGCTTTAACCTTGAGCATCGCCTCTGCCACTTTCCGTCGTTGAATCTTACCAGTCGCCGTCTTGGGAATCTGCGGGACCAGCCACACCTGTTTGTTATTTGAGATCAGTCAGTGACCCATCTCTCATCAAAGCAACAACAATGAAGAGGCAACTCACCTTCTTGGGCGTCTTGAACTTAGCCAACTTTGACTCCACCCACGCCTTCAATTCCTCTTCAGTAGCGGCACCATGACTCTTAAGCACCACCGCAGCCCCGATATCCTCCCCATAGTGGCCCTCATCCGGAATAGCGAAGCACACAGCCTCCGCCACCTTCGGATGATGCAAAAGCGTATTATCCAATTCGATCGGACTGATCTTCTCACCTCCCTTATTGATAAGTTCCTTGATACGGCCCGTGATGATAACGTAGCCATCGGCATCTTTCTTGCCCTGATCGCCTGTGCGGAAGAACCCGTCCCCAGTGAAGGATGATGCATTCGCGGACGGGTTGTTCAGGTAGCCCTTTGTTACATTGTCGCCTCGGACGCAAATCTCGGCTTCTTGACCTTGCGGCACTTCGTTGCCGTTGTTGTCGAGGATTCTTACTTCCACGCCTTGGCCTAGACCTACGCTGCCGGGTTGGCGCTTTCCTGGGGGAAGAGGGTTGCTGGTCATTTGGTGGGCGGCTTCGGTCATGGCGTAGGCTTCGAGGACGGGGGCGTTAAAGGCCTTTTCTAGGTCTTGGAAGGTTTTGGGGGAGAGGGGTGAAGAACATGAGCGGATGAAGCGAATTGGAGGAACCGGGTTGGGGAGAGGTGTTTTGAGGAGGATTTGGTGGATGGTTGGTACTGCCGTGTACCAGTTTGCTTTGTGAGTGGTGAAGTCGGTCCAGAAATCTGTTGCGGAAAATCTGGGAGGGACTATTACGGAGCCTCCGGAGTATAGAGGGGCTAGGAATGCTGCGAGGAGACCGTGGACGTGGAAAAGTGGCATTACGAGGTATGTCCGGTCCGCTGGGGTGAGGTTGTATGTTGCTTGGATGTTCCCTGTAGTATGTTAGTGGATCTGTTCAGCGACTGTATACTGTTGCTTCTGAGTGTGTCTATGTGAAATTGTACTGCTACTTACTCATTGTAGTTGTCAAGTTCTTGTGGGTGAGTGGGACCTGCATGGCAAGTAGTAGATCGGAATGTTAGTGATATGAGGTATCCAATAGGATGTGGGATAGTCGATCGAGCATACAGCTTTGGGCCTGCCAGTCGTCCCACTGGTATGTAGAACGAGGGCAATGTCATCGGGCTGAGCTTCCTGAATATCTGCTCCCCCATTGCCGGCCAGTTTTCCATGTTCCTTGACGTCTAGAACGATCTCGGAACCGTTCCAGTAGCACTCCGCGATAGCAGCCTGGTACTTCCTGCCTGCGCGAACGGCTGGTCCATCCTTTATGTATGACCCCTTTGGAATTAAAAGCAGAGTGGAGCTCAGATCGTCGATGTAGAATTCAAATTCCTCTTGCTTATAGGCCGGATTCAAGGGCGCGGCGATGGCCCGCTGCCAGGAGGCGGCAAGAAAGGCGACTATGAACTCATAGGAGTTAATCAGAGCCAGCGATACCGCAGCGCCATGAGTGACACCCAGTCGAGCTAGCTTAGCCTGGAAATCGGCGATATGGTTGTGTAGCTGCTGATAGGAGATCGACAGCGGAGTGGGTATATTGGGGACTAGGACAGCAAGGTCAGCACTATCGGAGGAAAATGACCGGGCCAAGGTCGCCATCGTCGCTAGTATGCTGCAGGATAGCAACGCTTAGGGTCTTGGCTTGGCAGGGATGCTGATCGGAATTGAATCAATAGTATTGATGAAGCTCAATTGCTTATGACTCTTGTGAGATGTAGAATCGGAATCCGAGAAAGTATTCACAACACCACGAAGACCACTCTTCTGGGGATTTTGCTCAAGGGATAGGGATCCCCTTTCGCCTGCCTCCTCAATGCGGCCTCGGGATCTCCTCTTTGGGCTCCGCTTCCCCGTTGATTCCTGTTTGGGACAGCTGATTCGGGTTAGTCACCACCACATGATGTAAACCAGACAAACTATGTAAACTAGACAAACCTCTCCTCATTCTATCGGCCCCGTTCACATTGCTTGGATGAGTGATTGATTGCACGCTGGGAAACTGTCACTTGAACTGTCCCTTGTTGGATCTTGATCTACTTTCATTTCATATCAGAAATGGCTTCTGATTCCACCCCCGCAAAGCCAGGGGGCACCTTGTCACTCTACGCCAATCTGCTAGATCCCTCTGCCGATAACTCTCCAGGAACGATCGCTCGCGCCCCGGTCGTCTTCAAGCAGAGTAGTACTACCGAGAATAATGACTCTCAGTCCGATGAATCCGCTGCCAAAAAGCAGCAGCTCAGTGCTGGTAGACTCATACCCTCTTCTGTTAACTGAGCCATTTTATCTATATTTGAACGATCTGATTGCTCACTTGTCCGCTCGGTTGCTCTCGTCGGTGGTTTCCAGCTTCTCTCAGATTTCAGCCTACTAAGAGGCCCCAGCTAGCAGCTCAGAAACCGAAACCGAAGCCGACGTTACCAAAGGCTGCTGCTGCACCAGCGGCTCCGGCAGCAGCCCCTGTCAAGACTACTCTCGCAGATTGGGCAGCCACCGAGGATGACGATGTCAATGGATTCTATGCCGGTCCGAAGAGGCAACGAGGTGGGCGCAAGAAGCGCAAGAAGAATCGCGAGGCGCAGGAGTTCGTACAAAACTGGGACGACATCTATGACCCGTCGCGACCGAACAACTACGAAGAGTACAAGCACAGTGACGAACAAATAGCTGAGGTGAGGGAGTGGAAAGACCGTCTTTACGCACACCGCATGGCCAGATCGCCCAGCAGGGACTCACAAAGTGACGATGATTATGCACGACCCATGAACCGTAAGCTATATATTCTCAAGAGCGAGATGTCTATTTGCTCAGAAAACGTTCTAGGTAAATTTGCTCCTCCGAGCAGCTTCGCACCGCCTCCCAATCTCAACGATATGCCGCCCAGGCCACCCATCGAATCACCCCCAGAACGAACAAGCGAAACCCCAGGCGATATTTCAATGTCGGATGCTCCTCCGCCGCCACCCCCGACCGATGAGCCGCCCGCACAAGTTCCGGATGACCCTACAGGCGAAGATGCCTACTTACGGCGTCTCCAAATGTCGATGGGCAACCAGCCTACAGCAGCTCCTGCTGCGCCACCACCGCCCAGGCCCCTAGAATCCCTACAACCAGCTTCCGCAACTATATCCCGCGCACCGGTTCGCTACACGCTACCTCCTCCACCCGAGGACATACCTGCGTCAGAGGCGGAACTTGAAGAAGTCTTCGCAAAGGAACAGCCAGTGGAAGATGAACCGGAAGATGAGGGCCAGCGTTCGCTGCGGCCAGGACAGAAAGGGTTTGCTGAGCGACTCATGGCCAAGTATGGCTGGACCAAGGGCTCTGGCCTGGGTGCCACGGGCTCCGGCATTGTCAAGCCACTGCAAGTCAAGGTTGAGAAACAGAAGAAACGACCCGACTCTGAAGGTGGAGGCTTTGCGACGCCCGCTGGTCGGGGCAAGATCATTGGTGGCGCAAGAAAGAATGAAGAGGAGGGGAAGTTTGGTCCAATGAGTGAAGTCATTATATTGAAGGGTATGCTTGATGGAATGGACTTGGATGCTGAGTTGGCTGGGGACGGCGAGGGCGGTGGTCTCATGCAAGAAATTGGCGAAGAGTGTTCTGAGAAGGTAGGTGGATGTTTACTCACTACATGGCATAAGCTAATGCGGTACAGTACGGTCGTGTTGAACGTGTCTTCATACCCCGCGACTCGGCACCTCCAGTGCCAGTTTTTGTCAAGTTTACCAATCAGCTCTCGGCTCTACGTGTAAGTGCTGCATCCATGTCCCATGCCCATTTCAAGGATCCGGCTAAGAACTATGCATAGGCTGTCAACGCTCTTGAGGGTCGGATCTTCAGTGGAAATGCTATCACTGCCCGGTTCTACGATGTACATACTTTCGAACAGGGGATATACGATAGCTAATAGCGGGAAGGAACTCTGTATATGATACCTCACAAGTTTTGAACTGAAGAATACAAGCGAGAGACATTTGTCTCACATCTATCCACATCTAGCATGTTCGTCTGGAGTGCCACAACAAGACTACTATGAGAATGGATACCTTCCAGCAACTCCCACCTATTAACCAGGTCACTGTTTGTATTACCATTAGTGCTCAAGAACCAGGTAGCATGGTTTACCCCATGGGTATCTATACTACTTTGAAGTCATGTAGCATCAAGCGTGAATTAGACTTGCTCCCAGAAATGGGTTCGGACGGCTCCTTGCACAGTGATTGTGGTCTAAATTCACAATCTCAACGCAAGTTGTACGAGATGGTTTATTCACCTTGACAAAAAAAATATTCGCCGTCACCATAACGCAGCTACGCAATAAATCATAAAGGTGAGGAAGTTGCCGTCGTGGTTGGAGAGTCTAAAATAGCTGTCACTTAGTGCCAGTAAAGTTCCCTCGTTGGGGCATTGGTATCTTCTACTATGTGCTTTGAGCTGGCTCACGGCGATCTTCTGAACTATTTACTGCATGTAAGCTGTGTCTACCCAATAAACTACAATGTACAATGCAAGGACACATGGAAGATTCCATTGGCCCTGTAACCCAAGGCAAAGGAATTTAGTAAATCGAAGACGGGCCGATGGACATATCGACCCAAGTACGTAGTTCGATGCGGATCTATGAGGTCATGTGACAGCGATAACCTGCAGCGCCGCCGGGGACTGATTGGCTGTGGGGCATCAAACCCAGCGATGAGCAGCTGCACGCCCAAGACAGTGTTACTTCGTCTGCGCATTCACGGCCGACCTTAATTTGCCTACCTCACTATCCTTTAAATACCTCAGACCTTGTTCTCCCCGCCTCACCACCTTCTCCTCTTCCCCTCTCCCTCCCAACCCTCTCAACCCTCTCGCCGTCAACCCAGCCTTCTTCGGTTCCAGCCCACCTACTACGTACTCCGAAACCGCATCCCAAAATGTCGCTTTGCCAGAATCGTCTGACGGAGGAGAGGTATGTGGCTGACAACGTTGCATATACCCCTTATGGCGTGTCATGCCTCGAACTAACCCCAAACGCGACTATCTACAGAAAGCAGTGGCGCCGAGACCACCCTTTTGGCTTCTATGCAAAGCCGCATCGGACTCCTCAAGGAACACTTGACCTCAAACGATGGGAGTGTGGTATCCCCGGAAAGGCGCAAACCCTTTGGGAAGGCGGGCTTTTCAAGCTTGACGTTACTTTCCCCGATGGTGAGTGAAGCCTATCGACTGGTGCTTTATGCGACAAACCTGCTAACCCGCGTTCTATCGCAGAATACCCCACTAAGCCGCCGAAGTGTAGGTTCCCCTCTCTGCCGTACTATTCCCAACGCCACCCTTCTGCGCTATTTGGTTTCCCCCTCTGTGGCACTTCTCGCGCAGTAAGCTAACCAGACTATCCACATTCAACAGGCAAATTCGTGCCTCCGCTTTTCCACCCCAACGTCTATCCATCCGGCACTGTGTGTCTCTCGATCTTGAACGAGGAGGAGGCCTGGAAGCCCGCAATCACGATCAAGCAGATTCTCCTTGGTATTCAGGACCTGCTAGACGACCCCAACCCTGAGTCACCAGCTCAGGCTGAAGCCTACAACTTGTTCAAGAAGGATCGGCCAGCGTATGAGAAGCGAGTTAGACAAGTCGTGAGGGAGAACCCGGCCCTTTAATACCGCTCAACGACGGCATGACAAGTTGTTATCTTACCATGAAGCTACTCTCCCCCTCGTCGTGTGTTTAATTCGGCCCCCGATCTCATCCCATGTCTGCGAATTTCACGGCGGATATGGCGGCTTGATAGTCTTAGACCAGGTGTTCCCACGTGGGGTAGAAGGACGGGAAGCCTTCCAAGAGGGAGAGCGCAGGTACACCCACCCGGGATTTCACGATAATGCTGAGAGCGCCATACCTGTCAAACGGGTTTCGAAATGTCGCATTGGCGCAGGTGTGTCTTCACTAATTCCTGTCTTGGAGGGTGTCGAATACTCGGGTTTCTTCTTAGCGAGCAGCGTGGCGTACATAGAACTGACAAAACTGGGCGGTTCGGGACGGCGTTTGACACTCTAATGCGATTTATCTAGCTTATGTCTCTTCTAACTCTTGGGATGCTCGCACACTTCTACGTCTACCATAGGGGGTGCATGTTGGTGACCGATTTTCGGATGATCATACCATAGAAAGACGGCTTGTGCCCCCTGGGTGGGGGGAAGGGTCCTCTCTAATCGACTCCAACTCAAAGTGTCTCCAATCTGTCATCCTTAGTGCGTAAAAGTAAAACAAGTTCCAGAAAGATCAAAAATCTGGAGAAAGTACTTTTAGTAGAAAATGTGGGGGATGTGCAGGCTGTGAAGGGAAAATGGACAACAGTTGAACGTTGGGACCAGAGACCAGACCCAACCTGTCAGGGCACAACCAATAAGGATGACATAGAAAGAAAGTAACCGTTGCAGAAATTCAGTTTCTGTGTACGAGTTTCGCGGCTATCTTATCGGAAGTGAGTCACTGAGATTTGTGGCCGAAATCGCCCCTCGGGTTCCGCCCCGCCGCCGCGAACGGGTGTCGCTTTTCCAATCCATATTTAAGATTTCCCGCTTCATCTCTCTCTCTTCCCCTTGGTCTCCTATCTTCGATTAGTCAATTGCTTCCTTTTCTTTCCCTTTTGCTGTCTACTTGAGTCGGTTGATCAATTGATCGTAGTCAGCATGTGTGGTATCTTCGCGTGTCATCAGTATGTGGGCTAGTTTTGGAATCTTTTCTCTCCCCCCTCTCTCTCTTTGACCTTTTTGCGGGCCCCGCGCCAAAATCGCTCTCCATTTGAGTCACACCCTCTGATCTGAACTGCCATAGTCACCCCGATGTGCAAAAATTCAAGCCTACGGCCCTGCGCATGGCCAAGGCGTAAGTATAATCCCTTCTCTTTTGGTGGTGAATTTGGTGCTGATTGCCGTTGAACAGTTTGCGCCACCGTGGTCCCGATTGGAGTGAGTCATAATGCTCTTTTTGACCGGCATGCTGGTGGAGGACCTTTTTTCTGACTTGTGTTTAGGTGGAAGCTGGATGTCTGACAAGACCAGTGAGTTGAGCAGCTTCGTGGCTGGAAGAAGGTGGTGACTAACTGTCTGGCAGTCCTCGCGCACGAGCGTCTGTGTATCGTCGGTGTTGGTATGTGATGTTTTACCCTGCCGCAGCTTTTTTTTCTTAGAAACCCGTGCTAATTTGGTTTCCTTTCAGACTCCGGTGCCCAGCCCCTTGTCAACGACGATGGCTCCCTTGCCTTGGCCGTCAACGGCGAGATCTATAACCACCGTATCCTCCGGAAGGGACTGAAGACCAAGTATCAGTTCAAGACGCATTCCGACTGTGAGGTCGTCATTCCCTTGGTATGTGCAAAGGATCCTAGATGGCATGGCGTGTATCTGTATAGGGTTGCTGATGGTTTTAGTACATGGAACACGGACTCGATGCTCCCAAGCACCTGGATGGCATGTTCTCCTGGGTTCTCTATGACAAGAACCAGGACAAGGTTGTCGCCGCTCGTGATCCCATCGGTATCACCAGCTTCTACATTGGCTGGTCCTCTGAGACCCCCGGAGCCGTCTACTTCGCTTCCGAGCTGAAGTCTCTCCACCCGGTTTGCGACAAGATCGAGGCTTTCCCTCCCGGCCACATCTTCGACTCCAAGACCGGCTCTTTCACCCGCTACTTCCAGCCTACCTGGTGGGATCCCGCCAACGTTCCCTCCGCCCCTGTCGACTACAAGGTCATCCGCGCTTCCCTCGAGAAGTCTGTTCGCAAGCGTCTGATGGCTGAGGTCCCCTATGGTGTCTTGCTTTCCGGTGGTCTCGATTCCAGCTTGGTCGCCTCCATCGCTCAGCGGGAAACTCTGCGTATGCAGGAGGCCGCCAGGGCTGCTCAGGCCCAGGGTGCTGAGCTGAACGAGTTGGTCGGCATTGACGACTCCAACGATCTGTCCACCGTCACCACCTTCCAGCAGCTGCACTCCTTCTCGATTGGTCTGCCTGGTGCCCCCGATACCGAGGCGGCTCTCAAGGTGGCCAAGTTCCTCGGAACCAAGCACCATGCTTTCACTTTCACCGTTGAGGATGGTCTCAACGCCCTCTCCGACGTCATCTACCACCTGGAGACTTACGATGTCACCACCATCCGTGCTTCCACCCCCATGTACCTGCTCAGCCGCAAGATCAAGGCTATGGGTGTCAAGATGGTTCTCAGTGGTGAAGGTAGTGATGAGATCTTCGGTGGATACCTTTACTTCCACGCTGCTCCCGACCGTGAGGAGTTCCACAAGGAGACTGTCCGCCGTGTCAAGAACCTGCACTTGGCGGATTGCCTGAGAGCCAACAAGTCCACCTCTGCCTGGGGTCTGGAAGCCCGTGTTCCTTTCCTGGACAAGGAGTTCCTTGAGACTTGCATGGGTGTTGACCCTGCCGAGAAGATGATCACCAAGGAGCGTATTGAGAAGTACATCCTGCGCAAGGCGTTCGATACCACCGACGAGCCCGACGTCAAGCCCTACCTGCCCGACAACATTCTCTGGCGCCAGAAGGAGCAGTTCAGTGACGGTGTCGGCTACAGCTGGATCGATGCCCTCAAGGACCAGGCTGAGGCGCACGTCACCGACGAGATGATGAAGAACCCCAAGCCCGAGTGGGGTAGCGATATCCCCGACACCAAGGAAGCGTATGTTTAGAGTTCTGTATCATTGCATGATTGAAGACAAGGACTGACATTTGATTAGCTACTGGTACCGCACGATGTTTGACGAACTTTTCCCAGCTTCTTGTGCCGGCACTGTTGAGCGTTGGGTACCGACCTGGTCGAAGCAGACCGACCCGAGTGGCAGGTAAGCATATGATGCATCAGAACGCAGAAGAAAACAGACAGCTGATATGTTTGACCTTTTTTTCCAGAGCTATTGCGACTCACAACGCCAAGTATGAAAACGCCGTTTAAATGTCTGGGTAATGAATATTGCGTGTCTTAACTTCTTGCGGAGAGTTTGGGTATAGAAACATGTATAGATGATTTACCAGGGATACTCATTGGGACGCAAAAAAAAGCGAATTTCAGTTAGATGCGTCGGGATCACCGCGTATTGACTTTTCCTTTTCTTCATCTATGATGTCTTCTTCCACTACTGTTGTTGTTTCTTCGATCGGCAAGATTTGTAAGAATTGTAAAAATGGTAGAGAGTGGTTCGGGTGACCACCCCGGCGAATTATGAGTAAAGTGCGGATTCTGCTGATCAGGAGGGACATGCGTTGTCATGGCCATACGAACCCCATGTGGTTGGGCTGGGTTCCATGGTAGGTCCATGCATGCTGTCCCGATGGGGGGGATGCGTGACAGGCATCCAGGATGATACAATTGCTATCTTTCTTCCTTGAGAAGCGGTCAATTGCAAGATATGACGGTCAAGAGGCTTTTTTCTTTTTTTTTTCCAAATTATTGAGAGAGGCTAAGGAGACGATTATACTTTGTTTTCCCATAGACAGGACGAACGGAAGCCGAGGATAAGCAAGTAACTAACTACTCACTAGTCAGTAGTCAGTAGTCGTAGTAGTCAAACACGGCGAGCTGAACTCTCGGCAAACCTTGGAACTTGGAAAGGTTGAACTAGCAATTCAGGCGCGGAATCTCAGCCGCCAGGCATCGACATCACGGGACTTAGCGGCTTCTACCGGCAACCGAGCACCGACCAATCACGGTGGGGGGTTTCTCCCGTGGCTTCCCCATTGTTTGGCGACTCAACTTCGACCTTCTTTCCTGCCCGGCTTCCCCATCGTTTCCCTTTCCCTTTCCTTCTCCCCTCATCATCCTCAGCCTTTCCACTCTATCCTCTCTTATCTCCTTCTGACGTTTTCGTCATCTCTCATAACACCTCATTCACAATGTCTGCTCCTGCTGCTTTCTCTGACATCGCCAAGGCGGCCAACGATGTATGCTGCCCTCATCACCTCTGAAAATTGTTACCTTGGAAAGACAGCTTCCCGGGAAGGGATTTTCGTGCTAATACTCTGCACAACAGCTTCTGAACAAGGACTTCTACCACAACAGCGCCGGTGAGTTCCCTTCCAATTCCTGCGCCCCTGAATTGGGTTGTTTGCTTTTTCCTTTATGCGCGCGACTTGTGCTGACTCAAGTGTTCCTCTAGCCAACCTCGAGGTTAAGTCCAAGGCCCCCAATGGCGTCACCTTCAACGTGAAGGGCAAGTCCGCCCACGAGGGTCCCATTGCTGGCTCCGTAAGTTCCATACCCAATTGAACACCCCTCCATTATACTATGGAATATTGCTAACCACCATCCCTGTTATAGCTCGAGGCCAAGTACGTCGACCAGCCCACTGGTAAAGGCCCCCGAAAACGCAAAAAACAATGCGAACATCCCTTGCGCACACCACCCATCCCCTCGTCCCCAGCAGCGCTTGAGGATAAGCTCACGTTCATGTTTGCGTGCAGCCATGCCCCATCCCAGCGCTTCTTTCTTTACTTCATGTCCAGGATTGTGGAACATGCAGGAATGCTAATTATCCGTCCCCGCCCAGGCCTTACCCTCACCCAGGCTTGGACCACTGCCAACGCCCTCGACACCAAGCTCGAGCTCGACAACAACATCGCCAAGGGTCTCAAGGCTGAGATCCTGACCCAGTACCTCCCTGCCAAGCAGTCCAAGGGTGCTAAGCTCAACCTCTACTTCAAGCAGCCCAACCTGCACGCCCGTGCCTTCTTCGACCTCCTCAACGGCCCCTCCGCCAACTTCGACGCTGTTCTCGGCCACGAGGGCTTCCTCGTCGGTGCTGAGGGTGGCTACGACGTCCAGAAGGCCGCCATCACCAAGTACTCCGCTGCCGTTGGCTACAGCGTTCCCCAGTACTCCGCTGCCATCACCGCTGGCAACAACCTGACCGTCTTCTCCGCCAGCTACTACCACCGCGTCAACGCTCAGGTTGAGGCTGGTGCTAAGGCTACCTGGGACTCCAAGACCGGCAACTCCGTTGGCCTTGAGGTTGCCAGCAAGTACCGCCTTGACCCCTCTTCCTTCGCCAAGGTACGTAACCATTTGAGATCTTTCAGCTCATTCGTTAACCCCTTTTCTCTACAGGCCAAGATCAACGACCGTGGTGTTGCCGCTCTGGCCTACAACGTTCTCCTCCGCCCTGGTGTTACCCTCGGCCTTGGTGCTTCCTTCGATACCCAGAACCTGAACCAGGCTGCCCACAAGGTTGGCGCCAGCTTCACCTTCGAGGCTTAGATGAGTTTTCCTTGATTTCAGCACCCGCCCATGCCTAGTCCTTTGTGCTCCGATACTGCCTGATAGAGTAGATTTTGGAAGCCATTGAGTTCCGGGTTGTCTCTAGTCCGGCTGTTGGTATACGCGGGATAGGAGTTGGTGGGCGCGGGGTTGTTATATGGATGTTTAGATAATAATCATGTATCACACCCTTTCAACGATAGTGTATATCAATCAAGCCTATATTTCCTTGTTTCAAAGCCAAGCCCGTCTATAGTATATATACTCATGTGGATGCTCAGCCGAGTCGCGGGTATAGAACCAGCTATAACCGAATGTACGCCGAACTGACCTCCCAGCAAAATCCTGCGCCAGATGAAAGGTCTATGAACCAGGCAGCTACCCCCAATATAAAGAACCAACCCCAACCCATAAGGAGAGTACTGACCACACTCTAAACCCTGATCAAACCTCCTTCCGCCGCACGGATTTAGTCGTCGTCTTCGCACCGGCCCGATCATTGTGGAACGCCCCCGTCATAGCGCCCGCCCCCATCAATATCCCACAGACCACAATAAACCTCACGGCCATTGCCCCGGGACTCCCAAGATACTTGTCATTAATCGATGCCGCCCCCGCCATCTCCCTCGACCTCCGTTGCTGCCTCCTCTCATCCTCCCTCGTCTGCGTCTTATAATGCCCCTTTGCATTAAAATGCCACACGGTATTCCGATCAATAAATGACGTCGGATCGTCCTCCGACCCCTTTGCACCACCACCCTCCCCACCACCCCCTCCAGCAGCACCCGCTGCCCGTCTCCCCGTGCCCCCATACCCCCCATGCGCATAGAAACTAGGCGGCGGCCCGCGGAACTGTCCCCTCCGTTTACTCAATCCGCTAGCTGGTCGCGAGCCCGCGTACGACGCCCCCTTCGTGTGCAGGTTCGCGCTGTAGCTACTGTAGCTGCCCATGGGGTGTTGGCCAGGATTGGCGGTGCTGTGTGTGGAGGAGGGGTGGGCGTGGATGTGGTGGTCGCGGTCGTAGATACTGCGTTTTGTGGCGTTGCTGAGCGTGTTGTACGCGCTGGAGATTTGGGCGAAGCGGTTGGATGCCGTGGGGTCGCTGCGGTTGCGGTCGGGGTGGTGTTTCAGGGAGAGGGAGTAGAATTTTCTGTTGTTATCAAGGAATTAGTTGGTGATAGGGGTGGTGGAATTGGGTGGTGAGGGAATGGGGGGATATTTACTTCTTGATCTCGGATTGAGTGGCGGTTGGCGGCACGTCGAGGATTTCGTAGTAGGTTGGTTCGCGCGCCGAGGAGGAGGGCCTGGGGGATGTTGAGGTGAATGTGCGGTATAGTGGTTTGGTATAGGGTGTGGTGGTGGTCTTGGTGGTGATGGTGGTGTGTCGGAGGCGGGTGGCCGTGGGCCGGAGACGTGGGAGGGTCATGTTTCTTTTTGACGGTGGTTTTGTGTTGGTTTCTTTGGGAATTATGGGTTACATTTAGGTAGAGGGTGAAATTAGGGGGAAACGGAGGGTGCGATTGAATGGAGGGAGAGTTGTTGGAGGTGCGACTTTATCGGGATAAGATGAGAGGAAGGAAATCCGCCGCTCTTCGGTAAGGCGGACTGCGTCATCGGTCGGGGTTTATCTGATCTGATCTGCTGGTGGACCTCTGCTTCTGAGTACTTCGTAGGATATACTTTGTACTACGTTGTATGGTGTTATGCTTGGGTGTAGATTGTGTATCTTGATCTCGGAATAATGATGAGATGATCTATATAGTGGTTTTATCATTTAATTTCTTTTCTTTCTTGTTCTGGTAGTTTATTGGACTGGTGTGCATGTATCGACATTGGTTCATTTATGGTGGTTTTGGACATCATTGTATGAATGTACTGCTTAGCCCAACTCACTAGTCCATTGGGTATTTCATATGCATATTTCTCTTTCTTATTATCTTATACATTTGAATGGTCCAGTTAGGCAGGTTCCTGCAGGCTTCATGGTGCACGCGACCATGTGCAATGTTAGCGCACACTGATACAACCTATACATATAGGTCTCTTTTCATAACTGATATATAGTGATTAGTACTTTGAAGGCGGCACTCAATCAGGAGCTGCAAGTTGTACCTGTGCCTGAAGCTTCTCCACTACATCGAACTAGACAATCAGCATGGGCTAAGATACTAACCAGTTGGCGCCGCGGATCCCTGAAAGCAGCCAAAGTCAACCTCAGGCTTGGCATTGACCGTCTTTTCCCCGACGGTTGCCGCTTGCCCTCATTTTTCTTTCCCCTCCATCAGCCCACCACCAACCCACCCCGGTTTGCCAGCTTTTCAACATGGCTGCCCAGGCTAGCGAGAAGCTGCAGAAGCTCGACCGTAAGTCACTGAACGATCCCGTTGCTGATCTCCGAACCCTCCTTTGCCATCCGCTTGCAGTAAGCTGATAAGATTTCCCCGCTCGCTCTCTAGTCAACGGTCAAAGCGGCGACGCGAAGGCGGACGCTCCTGCCGCTGGTCAAGCACAAGCCGGAGAGGCGGAGGACGACTCCGATGACGATGAAGTAGAGGATGGAAATGCTGCCGGCGAGGGTGCAGCCAGCGGAGGTGCGCTTTCTCCACGGATACCTACCCCTCGGGCAAATTCCAGAATTCTCCCCGCACTGACCAAATCCGCGGATTTTCAGCCGCCAAGAAAAAGAAAAAGCGCAAGTCCAAGAAGAAGAAGAAGGGTGGCGCCAAGGTCCAATCCTCTCCTCCGCGCGTTCCCCTGTCGACTCTGTTCGCCGGAAAGGAATACCCCGAGGGTGAGATCGTCGAGTACCAGAATGAGAATTCGTACCGCACCACCAACGAGGAGAAGCGCTACCTCGACCGCATGAAGAATGACTTCCTGCAGGAGTACCGTCAGGCTGCTGAGGTGCACCGTCAGGTTCGTCAGTATGCGCAGAAGACCATTAAGCCTGGTCAGACCCTCACCGAGATCGCGGAGGGCATTGAAGAATCCGTCCGTGCCTTGACCGGTCACCAGGGTCTTGAGGAAGGTGATAACCTCAAGGGTGGTATGGGTTTCCCCTGTGGTCTCAGCATTAACCACTGCGCTGCCCACTACACCCCCAACGCTGGCAACAAGATGGTGTTGCAGCAGGGTGATGTCATGAAGGTCGATTTCGGTGCCCACATCAACGGCCGCATCGTCGACAGTGCTTTCACCGTGGCTTTTGACCCGGTGTATGACCCTCTCTTGGCGGCCGTCAAGGATGCTACCAACACTGGTATCCGCGTATGTTCTACCTTTCTGTCCTAATACTGGGTTTCTGGTTACTGACAGCTGCATGTAGGAAGCGGGTATTGACGTCCGCATGAGCGACATTGGTGCCGCTATCCAGGAAGCCATGGAGAGTTACGAAGTTGAAATCAACGGGACTATGTATCCCGTCAAGTGTATCCGGAACCTCAACGGTCACAACATTGACCAGCACATTATCCACGGTGGCAAGAGCGTTCCGATTGTCAAGGGTGGCGATCAGACCAAGATGGAGGAGGGTGAAGTGTTTGCCATTGAGACCTTCGGCAGTACCGGAAAGGGCTACGTGAGAGAGGATGTAAGTTTCTGACATCGATTGGCCAATATGTTCAATTTGCTAATGGTGATATGAAGATGGAAACCTCTCACTACGCTTTGATCCCTGATCACAGCCAGGTCCCCCTGCGTCTCTCTTCGGCGAAGAACTTGTTGAACGTCATCAACAAGAACTTCGGTACTCTTCCCTTCTGTCGCCGTTACCTCGACCGGTTGGGCCAGGACAAGTACCTTCTTGGGGTGAGTGAAGCCTCTGCTTCGTAAAGTGTAAATGCTTATCAGCTTGTGCAGTTGAACAACCTGGTTTCGTCCGGAATTGTCCAGGACTACCCGCCTCTTTGCGATATCAAGGGCTCCTACACTGCCCAGTATGAACATGTAGGTTATCTCACAATCTCAATCTCCATGGCCACGCAGCTAACCAGATGACAGACGATTGTCCTTCGACCCAATGTAAAGGAAGTCATCAGTCGCGGCGACGACTACTAAGGTGGATCTATCTTTGGTCGAGGGTTTGGGGGTTGTACCACTCCAAATAGCCTCCTTTGAAACGAACCAAGTATATGAAATGCATGTTAACTATTGACCAATGATGCCCATGATTATTCTATTTCAGCTGTAGAACTACTAAACTACACCGAATAATGGAAGCGTACAGGAATCGGACCATCCGTGGACCCGGGTAGCCCCACGTGGAAAGCATCCGCTCCGAAACTCACGTTGTCTGTTCCTTGCGCTCTCCCCCATCAGCCCATTCCTCCCTCTTACTCTTCCTCACTCTTCCTCCTCGGTCGCGGTCATCTATGGCGTAGATTGCCACCTTCAAAGTCTGTCATTACACCCTTGCTCGTCCCTCGTTATGTCTTCGTCCGTCATCGAAGCCACCGCGGATGCTTCACCGCATCTCCGCGTGTCCGCATCCAAGAAGAGCCAGGCTCCGCAAACCACCTCCGACAAAACAGAGCCTTCTACCAGAATCGATCCTCCAGAAGCCTCCGCTGTCGATGATCACTTCTTTTGGACATACACAGAGGAGCCGCATCGCTCCAGGCGACAAGCCATCATCAAAGCTCACCCAGAGGTATGCACATACTCCCCCGTGGCCTTTTCTACCAAAGATTCATTTACTGACATGACCTCCTTCGTGCTTCCTTCAGGTTACCAAGCTCTGCGGACCAGAGCCCCTGACCAAATATGTCGTTCTGGGCGTCGTCTCCCTTCAGATCCTCTGCGCCTACCTGCTCCGCAACACGTCCATGTTCGACTGGAAATTTCTCGCGACTGCATACGTGATCGGAGCCACCTCGAACCAGAACCTCTTCCTCGCCATCCACGAGATCTCCCATAACCTCGCCTTCCGGTCTGCTATGGCCAACCGTCTCTTGGCCATCTTCGCCAATATCCCGATCGGTTTGCCCTATAGCGCTGCATTCCGGGTACGTTGGACTATGACATCCAGAAGCATATAAAACCAAGTATACAAGAAGCTAACTTTTCCCGCTCCATAGCCCTACCATCTCACCCACCACAAGTCCCTCGGTGTCGCAGGCCTAGACACCGACCTTCCCACCGCCGTCGAAGCCTTCCTCCTCGACTCCCTTCTAGGAAAGGCATTCTTCTGCACCTTCCAGATCTTCTTCTACGCCGTCCGCCCCATGTTCATCTACAGCCCTCCCTTCACCTCCATTCATGTCCTGAACCTGATCACTCAGCTCACCTTCGACTACGCTTTGACCAAGTTCTGCGGCGGATCCCTCCAACCTCTTCTCTACCTCCTTCTGAGCTCCTTCCTAGCCGGCTCTCTCCACCCCTGTGCCGGCCACTTCATCGCAGAGCACTACTTCTTCTCCCGCGTCGACCACGGCACCGAGTCTATCCAAGAGCAGAAGAACAACCAGAAGAAGTCCCACCCTCTCGATTCCCTTCCCCCACCGGAAACCTACTCCTACTACGGCCCCCTCAACTTCTTCACCTACAACGTGGGCCTGCATAACGAACACCACGACTTCCCCGCTATCCCCTGGACAAGACTGCACGAGCTTCACCGCATCGCTAGCGAATTCTACGAGCCCCTCCCCTGCCACCACAGCTGGGTGTGGGTGATCTGGACATTCATCCTGGACAAGAACGTCGGCATGTGGTGTCGGGTTAAGCGTGCGCAGGGCGGTCGTCTCGTTGGTGGTGGTGGTGGTGGTAGCGGACGCGCAGGTGAAAGCATCTCGGCTTCGTCGGCTGGTCCGGAAGGAGAGTCGGGAGATGGGTGGAAGGAGAGTGAGATTCAGAATTGATTTGGATTATCGTCTGTTTTCTCTACTACGTGTTGTTGTATCATGTGTACCGTGTGGACGGTATCGCTTTCGTAAAACCTGTTTTGCTTCATGACCTGTGACATACTATACTAGAGATGATATCCCATGGCTTTGTTGTTTCCATGATGAACTAACCTGTGACTGGCTGACTGATTGACTGGGTGCTGGTGCCTGTTGATACTACGCTGGGATGGACTAACCTTATTTACATGACATGTCTGTTATCTACCTACCTACTTATCTTACAAAGTACATGTGACATAGTTGAGTATGATTTAGCTTGTGTATAGTTACTTAGTGTGGAGAATCAATTATTGTGTTTTCATCGCCGAAACAACTTTTTCGACACATACAAGTACAGAAACGCAAGGTGATAGACATTCAATGGCATCATCATGATTAGCTTTACTGCCTGACTGACTGAAACTATGGACGCGTGCATTCGTCTAAACGGTTATGTCGCTGGGAACACAAGACAGGACAAGGAGATGGAAAAGGAGACAAGAGAAAAGAAAGGGAAAGGAATCGCTAGGATAGAGTCAGGGGTAAGGCATCCGACCAATTGGAGAGTTGCAAGGGCAGAAAACAAGGGCCCACGCATGGACATTCCATGGAACGGACGGCCGGCCCTGCCTCCCATCTACTGCATCATCTCATCACAGCCGCCGGGAGCAATTTTAGAAGACTGAGGGTAAAGGTGTTCTGGTAACAGAAAATGGAAAGAAAAAGAAAAGAAAATTTCAAGTGAAAGGCCGTACCGAGGTGCCAGATAAGCCAGCTGTGAACGGAGCGGCAGAATGGTAAAAGAGTAGGTATCACATGGACACCAACATTGCCGATGTCGACAAAGCTGTTAATAGGAAAATGGACACTCCAGAAGAGAATACAGTTGGTTGACAAAAGCGGATGGCGGGTAAAAAATGCTAAGAAAAAGAAGAGCAAGCGAGCGCGGAGCACATAGAAGACGAGTCGAAAGACTGAGAAATTAGAAGAAGAAGTATGCGATCAGGAAACTGAGGAGGCACAAGCCAGCGACCATCTGCACTGGCACGCCTGCCTCGGCAGATTGCGGCTGCTGCTGCACCAATGGCGCCGGCGCCTTTTCGGTTTCACCTCCGATCTTCCGCTGCCTCAGGCCCTGATCTGCGAGCTTCTCCTTCAGCGCCAAAATCTGCGCGTTAGCCTCGGACAATTGGGCTTTCAGATCATCGCTTGAACTTGCTGCCCCGCCCATCATGGCCGACTTTGTAGACGTGGCTGGGCTCTCAGCAATCGCTTGTGGGGTCGACACTTCCCGCTTGGGCTTATCGCTGAAATCTGGCGGTGGGATCGGTGACGTGTCGTTAGCGCTTTTAGCAACTGCTGCAGCAGGTGTCTGGAAGTTCGCATTAGGAGGAGAGGTGTAGGCTGGGGGTTCTTCTTCCGGCATAGTCTAAATAGAACAATTAGTTATCCGATGGCTGGAGATCCGAAAAGGGGTCGGTGAGGGGTTAGTTACGCCATTCGTTTCGGTGACTTGTTCGGCAGCTGAGGAATCATCTGCAGGCAACCAGTTCACACGGATCTTGCGTTCTTGAAGCGAAGCCTTGGAAGATTTCTCGAACTATGGGATTATGTTAGATTGCTGCCGGTGGGGATCACCATGAAAACAGACATACAATCGAAGTAACATTGGCGAACTCCATATCGCGAGTGACGGCAACAGTCTGGACTAGAAACTTGTCCTTGCACTTGGCATCATCTGCAGGTTCTTCCTTCATGGCCTGGAGCAGAACTATCGAGATCGTCAGCCATTGCGCAACGGCAACAATCCAACGAGGCACCGAGAAACCAACCTTGAACGTCGACATTCTTTCCAGGATCTATCCGGCCCGAGTTCGGGCGAACACAGTAACTATTTCATGTTAAACCCTTGTTGCAACGATACTAGTATGGCTAATGACGAAGGGGTGTGGCCACGTACTGTTTAGGGGCAGTCGTTTTAACCTGGAGGGAGATTCGTTGTTAGCATAAGACAATCCAAAGACGTTCAGGGAAGTCGATATAACCAACCTTGAAGACCACCGGCTCAGCGTTGTCATTCTTCAAATGCAAGATCTGGCACACCTCACGATCGAAGGGGCCTGGGGATTTAGTCAGCTCTCGGATACTTCCAGGAGGGGGGTATATAGATCGATTCAGGACACCACGTACGCTTGAATCCCAACTCCGGAGGCTCGAGAATAATAGACATGTTGAGTAGAGGGTGAAGAGTATGTCACACAGGAAGGAAAGGGATGCGCGGGTGAAGTAGTGTACAGAAGATGGTCCCAGCAGTGCGGGAGAGGGTGGCCCTTAGAAAGTTAGAATGAGAGTGCGCCGAGGAAAGAGGAACAGTCGCGAGTGAACACAGCAGCAGGACCCGCAGAAGAAATAGATACCTAACAAAGACTGGATGATAAGGAGGGAACTCGGTCAGATGTAGTCAACGACGAAGTGGATGCCAACCACGAGGCAGAATGATTAACTGTTCAGGCGCAACTCTCCGTTTCGGGGGGAGCGAAACGGATCCAGTTGGTCTCGCCGTCGCAACTGCTGGTTGGGCCGGGGTGCTGACTCAGCCGCGGCCACGGGGGCACTGGTCAGGTGATGTCATCACGGGGTCTGGCAATGGCCGTTTGAGCCTCGTTTCAAGCCAGCAAGGTACCTGCAGAGTGCAGGCAATCTGCATCATCACCCTCTTTTCTCGCTGTCTTCAGAGATGGGCAACTGCCGGACAGTGCTCACTGCGGTCGCTGTCCGCTTCCATTGTCTAGACTCCATCCACTCCATTGCTCCGTACCTTATTTACTACGGAGTACTCCTGTCGGTTCTGGGTCCTGACTCGGGATCCACTATATGACATCGTCTAAAAATAATCAATCAAATGGTTCGAGCTAAGTGTCCACTATCTCTAGAGATGTGCGGATGTCTTGCATACCATTAGCCTTCTTTTTCTTTTTAGTTTGAAACGGAGATTTTCCAGCTGTCACATTGCAATAGGGTGGTTGCTCTCTTTCCAGACACTTTGCCAGCTGGTCAATCTTGAATCACGACGCTATCCACTGACTCAATACGAGGCTATCTAGTCAGTTCCCTTACAGTACAGCCATCCAGGCACGCCTGTCACACCGAACTTCTGAAGATTAGCAGGCGCCATGGGTACGAAACTTAAAATGTTGAAGTGGGCTACAATGCCAACAGTGATCCTCGATCCGGGGCGCCCTATGCGCTTACTTTCCAGGATTTGCGCCAATCGTGCTGAACAGCTGTTGTTCGCCAAACACCACGCAAGCAACAAGCCATAGGTACCCAATCTCTTAGATTGGTCTAAGACGGCTGTCAGGCGCCAATATCACACATCTTCCGGAGCCCATTGGTCGATCTGACTTGTACTGTCTGCTCTAACGTTTCTCGGGGGCCTTTTGAGGCATTTTCAGAATTCCATCATAGATCGGTTTTGCCGGCAATCTAACAAAGTCGAATCGCAGCTAACCGCAGCTCCCTTCTAATGACTGGCAATGAATCGTCCGATATGACGGGCGAATGAGTGTTACAAATCCTGCACGATCTGAAAATCAGACGCGACTCGGGTATCTAGATTGTCATGGGGCGTTTTGTGATATTGAAGCTCAACATAGGCGCTGTAAAAGTACGACCGGCTTTATACCGATTCTGAATTGTAGAATTACTTCTGCGCGACTAGTGTCCTGGGTGCGGATTTCCGTTCTGTTCAACCCGCACGCACTGGGCCTCAGACCATGGACATAATATCCATCCTGAACCGGGATTCAAAAACGTCTGAAGACAGGTACTGGTAGAAGACAACCATATGGGCTTCCCCAGCTGTACGAGCTCCAGAGAATGGCTGGAAAGGTCCAGAACATTGGTGTGCCTGATGCCGCTTGGGGGGCGGCCTATCTAGGCGGCGGGACATTCCGCAGCCGGCCATCTATCACTCTGCTCAAGCTATCGATACGTCACCCGCAAGCCCAGCTCTTCCCAACGCTCAAACATTTCGCCCCCGCTGTCGTCGCTTTCACAAGGCGCCATATTTGTCTATAGTTTTCATCAGGTCCGCTCGATACCATACTCACAACTCGACCAGACGCTTACCGAGCAAAGGCGATCCCTTTACCCCGCTTTTGAGACTCTACCACCACCTCACCCCGTCCGAACTCACTGGCAGCGTCACCATGGCCTCCTCCGATTTGGACCAGCTCATTGAGATGGGTTTTGATAAGGAGAGATCCGAAATTGCAGTGAAAAAGGGCAACGGCAGTATGTTACTTTTAAGCCCAGCTACATTGTGTCGACCGCTGACAGTCTTCTGTAACGCTCTACAGTTCAGGGCGCTCTCGAATGGCTGGAAGAAAATCAGGACAAGTCACTGGAGGAAATTAAAGAAGCGGAGAGCGAGGAGGGCCCTGCACTTCAGCCGGGAGAGGAAGCTCGCAGCTTGGTGTGCAACGAGTGTGGCAAGAAGTTCCGGAGCCATGCACAGGCCGAGTTTCACGCGTCCAAATCTCAACACGTTGACTTCTCCGAATCAACGGAAGAGATTGCACCTTTGACTGAAGAGCAAAAGAAGGCAAGGCTCGAAGAGCTTAGACAGAAACTAGCGGAAAAGCGGGCGGGACTGTCAGAGCAAGATAAGATTGACAAGAAGAGGAATGAGGTACGGATGCTTTTGACTACGATTGGAATCTAATTGCTGATTCTGTCTCAGGAAATCCGCAGGAAGAGCACGAAGGACTCCCAGGACGTTAAAGAAGAACTCCAGCGAAAGCAAGCGCTCAAAGAAGCTGAACAGAAGAAGAAAGACAAGCTAGCAGATATCGAGGCCAAGAAACGTGTCAAGGCTAGGATTGAAGCTGATAAGGAAGAACGGCGTCTGCGGGCTGAACGGGAGAGAGCTGAACGTGCAGGTGTAGCACCTCCTGCTCAGCCAGCACCAGCCCCGGCGGCCACCACGTCTGGACCCGTTGCCTCGAAGCCCGCCTCAGCCTACACGGAAACCCGCTTGAGATTCCAGACATCGAAGGGAAATATCATGAAGACTCTCCCAGTGACTACCACACTCTTTGAGGTCGCTGCAGCTCTGCAGCGAGAGGACGGCATAGAGGTACACAGCTTTGCGCAGAACTTTCCCCGGAAGGTCTTCGATGCGGAGTATTTCGGCGAGTCACTGAAGGACTTGGGCCTGATCCCTAGCGCGAGTCTTGTTGTCCAGTGATTACTCATACATCTGTGTTCCTTGCTGGAGCAAACCGAGCGTTGAAATAATGATACTCTACAAATCAGTAACTAAGTGGTGATGAGGTTCGTAATGATTTTGTTTGTGCCTTAAAAGCAAGGCTCGCATTAAGAATGTTATAGATTGTCAGCATCGCATGAGTTCAGCACAGAAGCTGAGAAGCAACCGAACGAAGTATAAGCATAGATTTAGCCTAGAAAATTGACATCATGGATTCTAAATTTCTGAGTTCACTAATTGCTGTAAATTAGGCAGTCATTGCATGAGTGATACGCCGCAGGCAGCTATATCATCACGTGATGACGTGATAAGGCGTGTCGGCATAGATCACGCGTCGACACGCCTGGAGCTAGCATGCTTGATTGTCATTCACTAAATAACTATCCCACTGGTGGCTTTCAATGACCGTCCGGATTGTTATCTCACTATTCTTACTGCAATAATGCCCGCGTAAGTGAGCTCGGTGACCCCATTTCTCCTCTCCCCTCGTCAGTCTCCAGAGGTTAACCGCGTCTCTAGTGTTGGCGACCAGCACCGAGGGAACCCAGCGTCCATCATGATGCCCAACTCCACAGGGGCGATCACCGCAAACCCATTCGAAGAGCCACAGCGACGGATCAACGAGTACACTGCCCAGGAAATCGCAACTTTGCAAGCTCGTCTCGATAAGAAGCTCGGCCCCGAATACATCTCTTCCAGGCCTGGGGCTGCGGGACAGAGAGTACACTACTTGTCGGCCGATAAATGCATCAACCTGGCTAACGAAGTTTTCGGGTTCAATGGCTGGTCAAGCTCGATTCAGAATATTCAGATTGATTTCGTCGAGGAGAGTCCCAATACTGGGAAGATCAGCCTGGGTCTCTCTGTTATTGTGAGGGTGACTCTGAAAGACGGTACATATCACGAGGTAGGCATCACTGTATTGCAGCGAGCTTGCCCTATATCTCAGCTAAGTCTCGAGTGGTATTAGGATATCGGTTACGGTCACATCGAGAACTGTAAAGGAAAGGCTGCTGCTTTTGAGAAAGCTAAGAAAGAGGGGACAACCGATGCTCTAAAGCGGGCTCTGAGGAACTTCGGCAATGTCCTGGGCAACTGTGTCTACGATAAGGACTATGTGTCGAAGGTCACCAAAGTAAAGACTGTTCCGGTATGTGACCGAGGTGTGGACAATCTATTCACGACGACTGACACGCTCTAGGCCAAATGGGATGTCGACGAACTGCACCGTCACCCAGACTTTGTTCCCAGGAAAGAGCCCGTAAAACCAAAGCCCAGCCCGGAAGACGATGATCTACCACCTCGGCCAACGGATGTTGGCAAGAACAGTAGTATCGACGATTCGATGGCATTTGATGGCGACGGGGAGTTCGGAAGTAAGCAACAATGGCATGTCACGATCCCTTACAACCGCTAACCATCACCTTAGGTGACCTATTTGATGAAGCCGACTTCGGGGTAGGCGGAACAGGCAACCCAGACGAGGTAGTACTAGGACCAGAAACACAGAAGCAGCCACCGACGCCTCTAAATGGACCCAATGTACCTCGACAGCCATTCAATAATAACGCCCGTGCACCGATGAGGCCCAACCCAGCCATGGTAACTCCATCCAAGCCGGAACGGCCCTTCAACCCAGCTCCTGGTGCCAGACAAAATCCCGCTCCTCAGCCCTTTAACAGCAGACTCAACCCCTCCGCAGCCCAAAATCAGCAAGCACCTCAACGACAACCCATGGCCCCTCAAGGGCCCCAGCAAAACCTCCCCAACAACCGAATGATCCCACCAGCACAAGCAGCAGCCGCCGCATCAACCACGGGTGGTGCCGTGCCCATCAAACGTGAATTCGGGGCATCGACCACCAACGAACCTCCCAGACCCCAAGACACACTGCCCGGCACGCCCTCCGCATCATTCTTCTCAGCTCGCGCAGTCGACCTCCTCCGCGACAACCCTAATGGGATCCCATCCGGAGCCCCAGTCTTCGACCCACACGCGGAGAGTCCCTCCATCCGCAAGACCGCAGGCATCGACCACAACAAGAGTCTTCCTGTCTCCAGGCCCATGCTCGCCGGTGCCGGCGCCGCCTCCCCAGCAACCAATAACACCCGAGACTTCGTCAACCCATCTCAAGATATGAATCGCAGGATCGGTGCCCCGGGCATGAACAGTCCCATGAACAGACCCATGTCCACATCATCTTACCGGCCCTTGACACGGCCAAATATCAATGCCCCGGGTGCAGCTGCGGCCGCCAATCGTGCAACTACCCCGGGCCTTGCACCGCAGAACATGAACGGGAAACGACCCCCTCTGTCTGATGTGACGAATGCCTCGAACCCGAGTGGCGGCAGCGGGCCTGCTCCACCGGGGGTCATTGAGAATGACCCGAAACGACCCAAGGTAAACCCGGGTCCTGCTGCTGCGCCGCCGCCGCCGCAACAGCAGCAGCAGCAGTGATGACCTGGTGTTGAAATAGAATATCGTTTATGATAGGGTCTAGGTCTAGTCTCGGTATTATTCAGTGCGTTATATATATCCATAGGGACGGCGTTCAAGGATGGGAATGGAATGGACACTGGCGGGATCGTATGGATGTTGTATCTTTTGACGAGATGGTTGAGCTAGCTTGAATCGAAGTTCTTGCCTATTTTCTTCTACTTCTTTACGTAGATTAGCCGTATTCTTACCAAGCACGTAAGTTAAAAGCTACTTACCTACATTTTCTTGAAGTACTGAAAGGAAGTACTAAAGCAACCCACGCCGTATTTATTCTAGTCATTCATAATCATAGTAGCAGCAAACACTCTTACCCTTGCCGTCAGTTTACTCCAAACAAACAAACAGGCGAGCGATCTAGCAAGCTATACCAAATCAACCAACCTACAAATTCCCCCTCATCTCCTGATCCCTCTCAAACGCCTCGAAAAGACTCTTAAAATTCCCAGCCCCGAAACCGTCAAAATTCTCTCTTTGAATAATCTCCAAGAATACAGTTGGTCGATCAACCACATGCTTAGTGAAGATCTGGAGTAAGTAGCCACCCTCATCGAAATCAATCAGGATGTTGTATTTCTGAAGCAGATTGATGTCTTCGGCTAGGGTTATGTTTGCAGATGCGAGGCGCGTGCGCATGTTGGCGTAGTAGGTTTCGGGGACGGAGAGGAAGGTTACGCCGCGGGTGGTGAGGTTTTCGACGGCTTGCAGGATGTTGGGGGTTCGGAAGGCGATGTGTTGGCAGCCGGGGCCGTTGTAGTATTCTACGAATCTGCAGTGGAAGATTAGTTAGTGGTACGTGGGTGGGGGGTTAGAGGGAGGGTTCGGCTTACTCTTCTATCTGGGACTTTTTGAGACCGGTGGCGGGCTCGTTCATGGGCATTTTTATGACTTCGTTGGGGGAGGCCATCACGATGGAGCGCATTGCTGAGTATTCGGAGCACATGTCTTTGTCGTCGACGGTCCAGTAGCGGTGGAAGTTTAGGGCGTCTTCGTAGCTAGTGGTTGTGTTAGTGTATAGTATACCCATGGTGATGAGAGATGATGCTTACTACTTCACGATACTGTCTAGGCCATCCCAGCCTTGATTGCCCACACAGTGGTCGATTTCGATCACGTCAATCTCGGGAAGAAGATCGTTCAGTCGATCCTGGCCAGATACGGCTTGGTATCCGGGGAGGAAGATCCCTTGGTACGCGGATCTGTTGATCAGCGTATGTGCTGTGTCGCCGTAGGTCTGGATCGTGGCGGAACGGACCTCGCCGCTTTGGTCTTTGAGGAGTTTTGGTTCTTGGATGGAGATGGCACCGTGCTGGACGGCGTGTTCCCAGACGCCAGTGACGTCGTCTACCGCGAACGCGATGTCTTTGACACCATCGCCGTGTTTGGTGAGGTGTGCATGGATCTCATCCAGTTGCTGGCGGTCTGCGCCTGAGGCCCGCTTGTCCCAGGTGTTGTTGGGGGAGGTAATGGGGGCTGTGAAAACGAATCGGGCGTTTCCGTTGGTGACAACGTACGAACAGCTTAGGTGGGAGCCCGTTTCTGGTCCGCGGTAGGCAACGATGTTGAAGCCAAATTGGGCGACGAAGTAGGTCGCTGCTTGGCGGGCATTCCCGACATACCATCTAATGTGGTCGAAGCCTGTGTAGCTGGGATTGATGTTGCGAAGTACGGCATTATTGCCTGCTTGTGGTTGACTCTCGTTGGACGGCATGATGAGGTCTTGAGTATACTGATGCTTGGGTTGCACGAACTGACAGTTCTAGTTTTGAGATGTTGAGATAGCGTCACATATTCAGATGCCTGCCACGTTTTGTTAGTGGTGGGTTACGTGTACATGCTCCCTCCGCCTGTAGGAATGCAGACATGTGGGTGCATGCATCGCCGTAGTCAGGTATATCAAGGGTGACGCAAGATCAGCCTTTCTTTATATGCGTTATAACGTTGTGTTGGCCTGAAATACACTAGCACTGACTCATCCAGTTATTGACCGCTTTTATTAAGAGTTTCAATATATAGGAGTCTCGCGGGTATATTAGCTTTTTGTATCTCTGCGCCGAGTAGTAGAATCTCATTCTGCCTTTATTTTTCGGAGGCAAATCAAGAGAAGTGTGACATGCAAGGCTCGTCACATCCATCTGACTAGGATCTAAACTGTGACGATATAATGAGTGTGCTTTCGATCATCAAGATTAAGTTCGGATCCAATCACGGAGAAACAAGTTGGCAACAGCCTTCAAACTAGAAGCTCAATCACGTCCTTTCTCATGTATACTCCCAAACCTAAAATCTGTCACGTAAGCATGGCCGATTAAACACCGGCCGAGGACGAACTTCAGCCATCCCAGCTCAACAGGGAAGCATCCGGACGATATGACGCATGATAATGAGCTACACATGGCTCAGAACGTAATAATGTCCTTCTGTAAGTAGACAACCGGGGACATGACCCATGGAGCATCGTGCCCCAGTCACAAACTAATCCTGCACATGCAAGTTGCCATACTCGACCCCTGAAAGGCACGATGACTGCCGAACTCAACATGACCAGTCATTTCATAGTGCAAATGCGTGCTGCCACCGCAGACTCGTACTATTGTTGTGCTGTCCTACCTTGCACTAGCCACGCGCAAAGCATTGCATGAATAAATAAACCCACTTACTCCAATAGTATCGATAACCAAAGGCACTATCACTTTCGCTATGCAATAAACTGAGTCATTCATATATACCATGAAATGTGATATGTGACAGGAACGGAAAAGATGATCTACAATGCCACCCGAACGGCAGACTTGAACTATAATCGCCCACATGTTAGTAAAAAGGTACGCATGACGATGGCCCTGCCAAAAGGGGAGAGAGGCAGAAGCAGGGAATGAACACAAACCGGAATAATCTGCGCCTTGTCCAAGTCCCACACTCCACTCTTCGTGTAGATGTCGTTCTTGATGAGCGCCTCGGCTTCCTCCTTTGTCTCCGCCAATACCATCATCATGCTTCCTTGGAAGGACATGGATTCGCCTTCTGCGGGGTGCTTGTCGAGCATTGCGCCTTGGTGGGGAAGAAGTCAGTAACGGAGAAGCGGAAGAAAATAGGGAGTGTGGCAAGTGAGATGTACCTCCCGCAACCACAGAGCCGGCTTCGACGAGGGGCTTGATTCCTTCCAAGTGTTGACTGTTCAGTGAAGCCGGTGGTGTCAGTATTGATGATGGGAATGCGCAGGTGAGGGGTAGTTCTTACGGGCGGACTTCCAGTCGCTTGGCCATCATGCCCGGCTTGTCCGGGAGGATGCAGAGGAATTCGTTCTTGGCAGGCATGGTGTTTATGTGTTCGTTTTTGATGATACGCAAGCAGGAAAGGTGTGTCAAGGGTAGTGACTGGGAAAAGTGAGGGAAAAGTCCGGCAAGACGAGAGATCCGATGGCGGGAAATGGAAGCGGGGAAAAGGTGGGGAGCAGGAGCAGCACTTATCCGGTGGATCTTCTAGATACTACTTACCACTATTCCTCCTGTTACGACTACTGCTACTACTCCTACCAGCTTATCGGGTTTACAGTCATAACAAGCCCACCAGATTGTAGCCTATATATGTATGTACATGGACGCCAAGCACCATGGCCCTGTTCATCTGCCTCTTTCGTCAACGTCCCTGAGCTATAAAGTAGCTCATTCCAGATACCGCGCGCTGCTCTAACTGCGGATGATGCGTCAAGCAGGCTCCAGAGATGAGCAATAGCATCAGAGCACCATGCCTGTGAAAGGAGCCCATGGCTTGGGCCTGGAAGAACAACGTAGGCTCCAACCAGAGCCCGCTCACTCGCTCTCTATGAGCTTCCAATACCGCTGAACACTGTCCCCGTAGCGCCAACAAAATCAGACATAACCCTAGCACGCAATACAAAGAAAGACTTAATTACCGGCGTCGTGAGATATCCGTCCCCGCGTCCGAAGAATGCAATCACGAAAGAAAAAGAAAAAACGAAGATAGAAGATTCAATAAAAGCGTTAAGAGGAAAGCCTCCATGCAAAGAACCGCTGCAAGGGCTCGGATGTACACGGGAACGGGGTATTCAGGCGTCAAAGGATGAGATGTGGCAGAGATCGTACTACTCACACCGCGGGAAAATGAGAATCAACTCAGGAATGCAGCTAGTATGCCTTGCGGCCTCCGAGGTTGCCAGGCTTCTCATCCGTATCAATGTGCCAGACGACATAGTTCGGAAGACCGTACACCTGGTATCCAGCGCGCTTAGCCATGCGGGCGAATCCCTCGGTTTCAGCCTGGTTCTCAAAAGCGTAGGCCGGGAAGTTGATGCCAGTCCGGTGAACATCGGCCTTCACGAGGATGTTGACACCACCGATACCGTCAAGCTCAACTTCCTCGTCCTTGTTCTTTCTCCAGTCACCCATGCCAACCAGGTAAGTCCGGCCAGTGTCGTACTCCTTGTAGCCTTCAGCCAGAACAGTATCAGGGTCGAGAGTCTCTCGGAGGCGGCGTCCCTTGTCCGATTCGATCCAGGAGTTGTAGTCAACTGCAAGAATTAGCAAAGCGAGTATTGTGAAGGGATGTTTGTTTACATACATCGACCCTCGACATCAACACCATCCCGGTAGCGATGGAACCAAATGTCTGCAACGTGGTTAGCACCTTTATTCGTGGTTTTCATGAAGGGCGTAGCAACATACTTGGAACCAAAATATCCCTGTCATGAGCGATGAAATCTTCAATGATGCTGTCAGGGCTGTCGAAAATGTCAACATCTCTCCAGTAGACCCAGGAGTGGTCAGGCTTGAGAGCAGAGTAGAGCAGGTAGTTGCGGGCGCGACCGATAGCCTTGCGGCGCGGGCCTTGAGCAGCAAAGGAGTGCCTGTCCTCGACGTTCATTTCGATATCAGCTCCAAAGTCCTTCTGCACGATTGTCGCGCTACGGAAAGCAATCTTCTCATCCACCTGGTCCTGGATCCGGGACAGCTCAGCGGTAAGAACAGCCATGGTGTCGTCACTGCAATCACCAACGAGGAAAGCCAAGTCAATGAGGTTGTGAGGATACGTCAGCTTGTAGAGGAGATCGAAGTAGTTGACCAGATGCTCGGATGCATCTCTCAGAGGGGTGAGGATGAGCACCCGCTCAGAATTCGAAATGGCCTGGGAAGTAGACTTGATGGGGTTGAGGTCGACTGTCTTGATGCTCGAGGAGTTCACTTCATAGGCAGCGTGGTGGTTGAAGAGGACAGGGGTCTGCGTGTGTGCGGTCCACTCGACCATTTCGTTGATGCTCATCTCCATCGGCGATTTTGAAGGGCCATAGCAGTAGAAGCTACATGCAGCCGTTAGCGTTTTCTGGTCGCGTGCCTGCAAGTCATTGCCAGGGACCGGGTGTTGCGGGCAGCCCGGCCAACGTCGAGTCAGGTACTCACCTCTGCATCTCGGACGCTGACTTGCTGATGCCACGCCATAGTAGGACTACAAGACCAGTAATGGCCAATGAGACCAGAAAACGGGTCCGTGTGACAAGGAACAGAACAGCTCGCCATGGAGGCAGCCTTGCTTTGGCAGACTTCCACGTTACACCACCCTTGGGGAGCAACATCTTCGCGACGGGGAGGGAGAAAAAAAGGGGAAATAAGATTATGAGTTGGCCAGGAAAGCGAGCAGAATACTCTCGCTTTTCGTAATCAGAAACCGTCGACGCCTACAGCTAGGCGACGATTTCTGGGGATGGGATGCCTGTCGCTGGGACACCAGGGTCCGAGGAGATCGATCAATCTGTCGTGGAGCGGACAACACGATGCAGAACGGGCAGCGGAAGAGACGGACCGTCCGGGGAAGGGAAAAGGAGCGGGTTTCGACGCGATGCTGATATTCGCAGGGACGATCACACAAAATCGAGACTGAAATCTGACGGATCAAAGGCGTCGACAGGGGATGTCAGAGTCGATGATGCGATATGGAGAAGGGGGGGGAGAGCCAGCGATCGCCCGGGGCAGGAAAAAGGGTAGGGAAAAGGCTGGCTGCGGGAGTGGTGCGGCACCGGAGGGCCCCAGCAAAGAAGGAGTAGGTTTCAAACGAATGTGAGAAGCGGACGATGAACGATCAGGACACAGAGTGATCCGACCAATTCTCAGTCAGCGACACAGAGATGTCCAGGGGAGGATAAGATGATTGGAATGGTCGTTCGACAGAAGAGAAGTTCCAGGTTGACAGGGAAGAATCGACCCGCCGAAGTTCCAGCCAGACTCAAAGTCCAGTTGGCCGCTTCGGGATTGGCCCGCCGCTTTTAATTTTTCTTTTTTATTTATAGCCGCGGGTGACTAAGGGACCCTTAATCAGCTGCATAACCCTCATTCACTGCATAACTCAACGACCGAGTTGCACTACGAAGTACTACTACTTAGTTACCACGTATGTACTCCGTACTCACAAGTCTACTCGACTATACAACAAGTAGATCTACTACCTTGTGCTTGAAGAAGTCACTGATCACTTACCACTCTGTGCCCCATTTGATTATACTTCTTTCTTGGTTGTAAGAATATTTTCATGGTCATCTCGCTCTATGCTGATAAATACAAATAAAACACCCCATGGGGACGATCCCTGAAAATTGACCAGAAGACATCACAAAAGAAATAGAACCGAAATCAGTCGTGTATGTATAGTAAAGAGAACAACGAAAATTCAACCCAAAAAGCCTGTCGCCACAATGCTCCAGATCCTGGCCAGTGAACAAGATAATTATAGCCTTCCCCAATATGAACACGGAAGAAAGATTGTACAGACACCAAATAAAACCATCCCTCATAAATGCCCAACAAACGCTCTTTGCCTTTTTTCCTTCTTTTCTTCCTCTCAAGTTGATGTACATTGCGCCTTTGCCGTGTTCAATAGGAGAGAAGCGCAGGAAAGCTCAAGTCCAGCGTGGACTCCATTTCAAACGATAAACAGATCACGGTACAGGAGACATCACTTGTCCCAAGTATATGTCAATGAAGAACGCTCTCGCTATGCCAGAAAACACAGTTTAAATGAGGTGAAAAACAAAACTTGGGCTGCACAACAGCCGCTCTAGGGTTAGACTCAAGGAGAATCATGACAAGGATCCTTCGGTGATCGTGAAGGAGATAGATGCGCCAATTCATGGCGACGGGATAATGGATTGGCGCCGAGATACAGGCACTGAGTGGGGCCCGTGTGCGAACACTGGCGACGAGGACCGCGTGATAGAAGGAGTATGGGTAAGGTATGCATGTCCGAAAGTGAAAGCTGGCGCTGTGGGATGAGACTCAAGCCGAGAGGATTCGGGGCTGCTGGCGGCAATCTCGTCGCAAAATACCCGCAACCCAGGGAGCATGTTGCGTGGCTTGACCTCAGCATGATGAATGATCGGCTGAGAAGTCAGGGGCTCGCTCTTGGGCGATCGGAACATGTGCTCGTATGACTTTAGCTGAAGCTCGAGTGCTTGGTTGCGCTCCTCCAACATCTGGTTCTCTTGCTTCAGAGCTTTGATCTGCTGCTGGGCACTTTGGTTCTGCTGCTGAAGACTGGACACCAATTGCTGCAGCTGCATACAGCGGATCTGGGGCTCCAGTTTCTCCGACAGTTGACGAGGCATCTCATTCTCCTGGCGTATCAAGTGGATGATGATCAGGAGCATGAAGTCAATGAGAAAGATGGCGGCCTGAACAATATGTTCCTTCGACTCTGGTAGGCTCTTGGATGGGTTCCAGCCAGCGCGCTCCAAGAAGAAATCATGGATGCGGCTGTCCAACTCACGGTGTAGCTGGCTGAGGTTCTTCCGTCGGTTTCCCTCTGCAATTCTGTGCTTTTCTCTCTGATCGTCTGAGTCCGCAGAGACCATGCTTTCCTTGCGCTTTCGCCCGCACAGCTGCTGCAACGGCGGCTTGCGGTTGATGTGCTTGGGGGCGATGAGGTTCAAAAGTTCTGCAGGGGAAAGCTCTTGCGGCCACTCAAAGGCCTTTTGTGACTGAACGGATTCTGGCCAGGAACTGTCGGCCGAGGTTGCTGGTGATGGGGGAGTCACGATGTGTTCCGCTTCAGGCCACGGCGACCTCACGGGAAATGCATCCTGGGAGCTTGGAGAGCTGGTGGTGGCACCGATGTTGGAAGTAAATGGGTCAAAGGGGCCTCGGGGCAAGGGCTCCACGCGGGGGAGCGGGGGCAAGCGGCGGTCCTCGCTCATGTCTGCCGTGCTGGATGCACTGGAGAGGGATCGCACACTGTGGGGAGCATGTCACGTCAGATGCTGCATCTGCTGGCACGGCTCAAGGACAACTTACGGGAGGGAACAACGGCGAGAAATGTCGTCAGCCATGGTGCTCATTTCTTCAAACATCATGGTGCTGAGGTTTCTTGCTGCAAGTAAGATGAAAGACGGGGCGCTGCAGCTAGAGTGCTGTATGTCTGAGGTTTGTCTGTATGCAGGCAGGAGGGGAAATGTCTCTGATATGTATGTCTGCACCAGCGCGGGGATGATTGGGCGTGAGGTAAACAAACCACACAGCCAAGAAGTATATAGGATAAGCTTCAAGGGGGAGAAGCAATAATAAGGACCACAAGGGGGTGATGATAGTAAATGAGAGTTCAGTGGCAACAATGACGCTGATACAATCAAGGGGGGAGAGGAGGAGAAGGGGAGTTGCTATGGATAGAAGCAAGACAAGAGGAAACAATTAGGATAATCCACGAGGAGCAGCTGAGATTTGATGATGAAGAATACAATGCTTTGGCAGAGCAAGACGGGAGGATCCCGCTGCATGTTTTATATGTTGGAAGCCGCAGGCGAGAACGAGGAGAGGGGGGAGGAGGCAATGGATGAGGAAGTCGGCGAAGGAGGGAGTGGGGAAAGACCAGAAAGAGCAGCAAAAGGACGCCATTGTGGTGGCGCGCTCAGACGTGCAGTTTGAGCTGGCAATGAACTGCATCGGAAGAGGAATGCGAAGGGTTGAGAGAGTGCGAATAGTACGGAAACAGTGAGTGAGTGAGTGGGTGAGTGAGAGACAGAGAGCATTCGGGATGTATCACCAAGTGCTTTCTTGGGATCCTCCCCAGAAGCTAAACGGATTAGCTCGATCTGCGACTGCCTCAACAAGGAAATGGAGCATCGACGATGACATACAGATAGATGGTCTGATGGTGGTGGAGTCGTTGGATTCTCCATTTTCTTTCTTTCTTTTTTTTTTCTTTTTGAATTATATTTTTATTTTAATTTTATTTTATTCTGATTTTTTATTTTTATATTTACTACTCTTTTTGACTTCATATTTTTTTTTAATTATTACTATTACTTCTTGGGAGTACTGTTCCTTGTGTCCACTAACTACTTCCCTGCTTCCCCTACAGATTATCTGCAGCCTCCATCTCCATCTGGACCTTCTCCTTCTGCGCCGCTTCCTCTTCTGGTCATCGCCTCCACTGCTTCATCATCTCTCTACCTGCTTCCCCCCCTCCCCCCTCCTCCTTCTCCTGCTTCCCTTGCTCCCTCCCCCATGAGGACACGCGGGGATGCATGAAGAAGCTTCCGGCAGACTTCGACAGCCCATCAACTCGTAGTACTTTTTTTTTCTCTTTCCATACCCCCCTCCCCAGAATGGGACATTGCTCTATCAGAAATGGGCACAGACGCGAGGCAAAGCACCGGATCGACGAATCAACGTGCCATGATCCCGATGAACAAGACGAGAGTCGGATTGGGGATCGCAGACCCTTGATTTGTCACCGCTGCAGCGGTTTTCGATCTACACGGGGCGAAGAAAGGTATCGACTCCCCTTGCATCGCGGTCATCAATAGTCTGTTCGGACCAATGGCCATGGTCCGTCCACCCAGTGTCCACTTCGGATCCTGGACCCAGACGGCGATGCATCCGCGAAACCCATAGCGTCGAGGCATAAAACGTTCCCGTCGTTTGGACAAGCGCGGCCTGGTGGCTGTTACAGATGTGGGAACTAGCTCTGCGGCGCTTGTCCGTCTGGCCAGTTCGAACACAGGCCCAATTCCGAACCGGGCAAGGTGCTGAAGCCACGGAGAAGCAAATTTAAACGTCAAATTATAGGGGACAGATCGGATCAGCCATCCGGACCATCCAGTTGGATGGTATCAAAAGTCGTCTCGATCGCCTCGATCTTCTCAGACTCAGTGCCACCAAAGACCACATACACGCCCCTCCCCCCTCCGGATATACTACTATGTATAGCACATGGTCTGCACGGGATCGAGGGCAAAGGTGAGGCCCACGGGAGCAGTCCCGGCCCGATCTTGTGTTTTTCTCGTCTTAGCCTGCGGCCCATATGAGGATATTTGGCCAGGAAAAGCAAAAGTACCAATAAAGGGTCATGAACGCCCAGAGTAAGAATGTACTATACATAATGATCCGATGCACAGGCAGATGCAGGTTCCCCGAAAGCAGATCATAGCTTCGGCAGGAGGTGGGATAGAACCTAATAGCACGAAGCAAGGACTTCTTAGAAGGAAGCCAAAAGTACCTGGTACCTGGAAGAGCTCTATGACGAGGCCATGGGTCGACTTTGGTCAGATTAGGAAGCAAAGAGCGGCCGCAATCTGTCACGAGTCTCCACGGTTCTAACCGGTCTTCGCTGGTTACGAATGAGGCGATTCTCCTTGGTGCATACGACAGAGCCATTGTCTCCATGAGAACCTCGTTTAACCGGGCTTTGGTATCATAGAGTGGCCTTGTCTATAATAGCACAGGTTATTACCGAACGGGCCCGAACGAAGGGGTCAAAACTCGGACAGGGTTGGGATCATCCACAGCCGACGAAGGGCCCATACGCCTGGGTCACTGGGAGATCCCAGCGACCAGGATGTGACGGCTGTCAGGCCCAATTCTGGACTGCTTCTTTTCTTGGTGTAGGCTTGGAGTAGTCCGTCGCAATAGGTTGGCTTAGACCTGGGCAGGGGATTTGGAATGCCGTCGGACGTCTCCAACAGACAGACGCTATGGGGAGTTGTTTCGGAAAACTCCACCAGACTATCGCGTGAAGAAGCGTGAGAAAACCCCATTTCCAGGTTTACAATGAGGAGTGCCGCTCGTTGGAACCATGGTACGGTGGACGGGAATGCAATCAGTGAACGGAAGATCCCCGGGGAAAGGACACGACTTTCTCTCTCTCTCTTCACTGGGAGGGAGCAGACCCCGAGAATGTCAGTGGAGAAAGGAGGGCCGGCGATACAGAGTACTGGGGTACCAAAGCCAAGAGCCATATGGGGAGAACACGACCAAACAGGACAAACCTTATCCCGGGTTCGCTGATAGATGGCAATCAAGGCGGCGGCCGGATCAGATCTGTCATATTCAGGTGCCCCCGGATCTGAGGATGCGGCATGATGAAGGAAGAATGGATCTTCTAGCTCCAGCCACGCCCAGGCCGCCCCACGTTGAGAGAGTTGAAGGAGAAGTGTGGACGATCATCATCTTGTGCGCCAAAAGATAACTATCTACCATCCTCTCGTATGGTAAAGGCTTGGGGGGAAGTTCCGAGGGCGGCGTGGACGCCATGAGAGTTGAATGATCAATTAACTAACATGGTTAGGGCGGACTCCGTTATTCCCGGAGAGGCAAGTCCTTTGCCCTAGTAGCCGAGGATGACGATGGCGCCTTTGAACGTTATCGCTACACTTAGCCGCCCTTTCTTCAGCATAGAGCGCCGCGCGGCGATACCGAGGATTGCCGCTGAGGATATTGTTGGCTCATATCAACGAGTATGTCCGATCGGTTTTGCCCCCTCCAAAACCACCAATAGTACCATAGTGGAGGCTCCAAAGTACCAAGCTCCATAGTGGTGAGTTGGCAGTACATACGTCCACCAGGACAATGTCATGAAACACTGGACACCAGTTGAAAGAACAGCCACCCCTGTTCGATCAGAGATCGCTCGCACGCAGTGGCCGCCAGGCACGAACTCACTCGTAAACTCTCGTTGAGTCTATGTCCATAGATGGCATATGTGCTTGCGCTTCTACATGCTCCCCCGGCTCACGGGCCCATAGACTAAAACCTTAGAAAATTGCCCGAGGGACACTCACTTGACAAGTTTCGCTTATTTTCCGAATTATCGGGGTCTCGAAGCATCCATAAGTGCCAATCTATTGGTTTCAACCAGGGAATCCCCAGCAGCGACGGAAGGGCAACAGTCCATCAATAGAGAGAGAGGAGCGGCTGAAGCGAACCTTAATGTGTTCATGAGAGATCCATAGCACGATTTACTAAGTACGGGGAACCGGTTCATTGCAATTTGGGTTCGACCATAGTACCCAGTCACCTTGGGTTTGATGATTCGAGGACCATCACCATCGGTATCTTTTTCGAATGGGGTGCAAGGCCATCCTGACTGGCAGGAAAAGGGAAGCCGAGGAGCGATTTAAGTTTGGTCTAGATTTGGAATTGGTTACACAGCGTCGACTGGCGGGTCCAACAGTCGAGAGGCAGCAAAACTGACACGGACTGCCGCTGACACTGACAGTTGACTGATTCCTTTGCTTTTGGAGGAGGCCCCCCTCCGCCTCAAGCCTCCCAAAGGTCACAATGAATACGGGGAAAAAAAAGAAAAATAAAAATCATCTGCATCGTAAAGAATCAGCAACATCAGTAACACTCAGAGCACTTCCGATCGCATGCCGATTACTTCAGTTGGACTCGGAGTGCTCGCAAGAGAGGCAAAAAAAGCCCAGCAAGAGCCTGACGCCCTTGCCAATCATTGTCCCCAGGTGATGCATCACAGAAGCAACGACCCTCCCCGCCTAGACCCCTTCGCGCCCCTCAGTGCGTTGTCCAAACCCGGTAGCCAGTCGTCCGGCTCGCAAGCTACCCAGGCTAGTCTACCTGTCGACTTGCTTATAGCAACTTCCCTGTCACTACCGGCTTCCCCCAACGCACTTACAGTGCAACATTATTAGACCCGGTCAACCCCAGTCGGGCTACAGTAGTACGTACGCATCTCATTGAACGTACATACATAGTTAACCCATTGAGAGGCCTCCGGAGGATACGCTTATGAACTCACGTACATTAGCGCGGCCCATCATGGCACGGATCTCAGCAGAGACCGGGATGGCCCTGCGTGCGGCGATGCAAGATCGCCTCATGTATCAGATTCTTGTCTTCATGAAGTGATCCTTTGCCACTCGGTTCTGGCCGGACCAGGCTAGCTCACTCACTGGCACGAAGTCCTATCTCTCTGCCTTCCGCATTCGCATAGTGCCCTTATGCAGAATAATATTGAAGGCCGTCCCAGTGTCAACCACCGCCGCCAGTAAGGCTCAAGCAACTCGTACACCTGATCAGCCTTAGCTACTAGCAGTAACGCCCTCATCATTGCCACTGGAACGGGTTCCAGGCCCTTCAGCCGTAGCACCGGCACACGGAGGATTGCATACTGGCGGAGGAGCAAAGGCGAGGATCTCCGAAGGCAATTCCTCAAGCTATGCTATTCTTGTCCGCCCTAGCCCTAAGACGGCCGACCTGAGGCATCCGCACATGCAAGGCATCCCCTATCCGGTTATCTATCATATGGATCCTCGTCCTCCATCATCCTTTTGCCTAGCACAACACAGTCAAGTAGGTTTTTTATTTTTTTTTTCTTTCCTTTTTTCTGTTTTCTTTCATTCTTTCCTGGTATCCCTTCATTTTAGGAAGACTAGACATTTACTCTATTGATCCTCGAGAGCCACATAAGACCTCGCCCCCCCTCTTCGTCCCCTCTCAGAGCCGCACGGACATACCTCTTTCCTTTCGGAGATAAACCAACATGAAACAAAGGTACACTACGTACGACGGCATCTCCATAATCGTATTTAGAGTTCATTCCCCTCTTCCATTCATACTACCTGAGCTACAGCCTCCTCCTCGTCGCCTTGACCTTCCCCCGCTCCCAACCCGAAGGGTAGACACGCGCAGTTCGCGAACCATCACCGGACCTTCCGTAGGCACACAGACACTAACAGACTTAACTAACATTATCTCCTCAACAAAAAAGAAAGTGTAATACAGTCCTGGTAACATAGCAGCATCGACTCGATATCTAATATGTCTACGGATATTCAACCCGATCGCAGACCCATCCATCGTGGGTATATTTACCCACCATTTGGCCTAGGGAAAATCACCCGGCCAGCCAGGTGACCGGGATCCATAATCCGGGCCCGGTGTTGTTTACTCGACAGTAGATGTATAGAAAGATAGGCAGGTCGTCAAGAAGGCAATTACAGATGCAAATGCAAATGCAGTCAATAAAGTGTCCTATGTAAATAGACGAGGTTTATCTGTCAAGCTTGGAGTTAAAGTGAGGAAATAAAGTGAAACCTACCGCTTCAGCTGCGTATGTATACCTTGCTTAAACAGTAGCCACACAACAAACGTAAACATAAACCCGAAGTATCAAGAGAGAGATACAACCTACACATTCAGTAACTATCTATCAGTAGTATATTCCGCCCATGAAGATATTCCATACGCAGAGTTAGATAGTACTCCGTACTTTTTTGACTGCCTTCACTTTTCTCCAGAAGGGGAAATGAAAACAGAATTCACCCTCTCCACTATCCATAATCTAATTAACTTAACTATCAAACCTACCAAGTAACTCACAGCACCTACTAAATATAAACAAAACACAAATCTGACTTCGACCACACAACCTTCTCCCCTCCCCATCTCCATCTCCCTCACCGGAATTGACACATCAACCTCTCCCTGGCCTATTACCTACCCTACCTATCTCGCTAGAGAGCTACTACCCACTCAACCACACCACAACATAACCCATACTTGACCAAATGCAGTAGCACATGCTTAAGCTCCATACATACTCACTCAGCAGGGAGGTGGTGGGAAAGAAAAGTTAAGCAGAACACCCGCACACACATAAGTTTGAAGTAGCCTACATACCAAAACAACAGCCAACCAACGACATCCCCAGAGTGTATGCACACTGAGAGATAGATATAGGTTAGAGGTTATGTATGTATGCACACGACCTCCTTAACTAACTATGCAACTAACACCCTCCCCCACCCCCATTCTGGGACTCCATTCGAATCTGCGGCCCGCAACAGACAGAAGCAGCAGAATAGGAGAGATTAAGATCGATCCCACGACATCCATCAACCAACGAAACGAAGCACATCAGCTCAACTTACCCGCAGACAAACAGTCAGTCAGTCAGTCAGTCAGTCAGTCAGACGACACTCATGCTCACTCACTCGGTTTTCCCGGAAATCTCCACTCACACTCATATCCACACCCACGCCTGGAAATATGTACACCGTATGTATGTATATGTATCTAAGTAGGTATGATTGCATATCACCCACCCACTCCATTCACGAGCAATGAATCCAACGAATCGATGGCTCAGATCCACGATGACGGATTGAGTAAATGAATGCGAGGACAGAACGGCACTTACACTATACAGTAAGTGTCGGGTCTTCCTCAGACTTAAAAACTTGAGCAAGCAGGAAAGGAAAGAGTTGATTCGATTTTAATAGACTTACTCGCCTATCTTCATGCTACATGCTACTACGAGTTTACAAGGAAAAAGAAGGGGGAAACAAAGGGGGAGACAACCAGAGGGAGGATGGCATCTGCTTACTGCCTGGAGCCCGCTTCTGAGGTGTCTTACGGCCAGCATTGCATTCTCGCATATGCACCTGGTCGGGAGGTGGGAGGGGAGGCAAGAGCCGGTCATCTGCGCGGGCTTTAACTTTCCGTTTGCCACGGTCAAGCAGCAGCAGCAGCAGCAGCAGTTAGTGAGACTGACAGGCAGACAGACAGGAAGACGGACGGACGGACAGCACGAGACCCTATTCCTGCTGCAAAACTAAGGACATAAGTACATACAACCTAAGACGGCAGACTCCAGTCACCATCCCCCGGACTAGACCAGGCCAGACCCGACCAAGACATACTTAGAAAGGCAGAAGGACGGAGGCAATCTCAATTTAGAATGAGAAATAGGATACGTCAATTATGGACGGCGAATTAGCGTATAGAGTAAAACAACATACTGTCATGTAGCAAAAACGCACACGTAAACTGCAAAGGAACGTCTATAGAACACAATCCGACAGCTCACAGGGCCGAGAAGGGGCCTGACCGCAGCAGCCCAGCCACCTCGCGCAAATCGCCAGGTGTCCGGTTCGTACAATTATGACCCTCCCTCGACCCGCTCACCAGTCACGACTCAATAAAATAAATTCGATGCTCATGCTCAAATTGAAGGGAAAAAATAAAAGCAATTCATCTCCCGAGGCACAATGCCACGCCGTGCGAATTTTGGCTCAAGCAAACCGATATTCAATTATTATCATAAGAACAGCACAGTACTGGAATTAAAGGAAACCAATTGCTTATTAGGCAACTTTACACGACCATGATAAGGGTTTCAAAAAAAGCGTACACACAAATGTTTGGTATCAAGTTGTCCTTTACAGAGCGTACTGGATCAGACCACCGAGGACGGCAGCAAGACCAAGAGCGGGCATGTTAGCCACGTTCATGACGGAGGCGCTGTCGCTGCTGGTCGAGGAAGAGCTGCTGCTGCTGCCGGTCGAGGTGGTGGTGCCAGAGGATCCATCGCTGGTGGTGGGGTCGGAGGTGCTGGCCTTGCAGGTGTAGGTACCACGGATGACGTTGTTCTCACGCAGGGTCTTGAAGGCGCTGCAGCTGAAGTTACCGGTGCTCTGCATGTTGAAGCCACCCTTGACCTCGGTCAGGGCAGAGAGGGAAACCCTGTAAACGTGAGTTAGCAAACGGTGCGTCTCATCAGAACTAACATGAGAAACTTACTCGTCAAAGTCACCGCTGAAGTCAATGGCACCAGTGACCTCCTTCAGGTCGGGGAAGTTGATGGACTTCAGCTTGTCGTTGCGAGCAATCTGGAATCCACCGTTGACGGTCTTCAGGACGGGCATGCTGATGTTGTTCAGCTTGGTGTTGTCGTCGAAGACAAGGTCACCAGTGCTGGTGAGGTTGGCAGCGCTGAAGTTGGTGAAGGTGTTACCCCAGAAACCGAGCTGACCGCTGAGAGTCTCGAGAGAGGGGATGGAGACACCGCTGACGTTACGGAAGGTCATGTTGGTACCGGTGCCGAGGTTGGGCAGGATAATCTGCAGGGAGTCCATGTTACCAGCGAAGTTGATCAGACCAGTGGCGTTGGTAAGCTCGTTGACGTTGACGGTCTTCAGGTTGGTGTTCTCGGTGATGTCGAAGGTACCGACAGTCTTGAGGGAGATACCATCCAAGCTGGTAAGACCAGTGTTGGTGATGGTGACACTGCCGGCCTCAGAAACACCCTTGGTGAAGTCAAGGGACTGCAGCTCGGGGAGAGCAGTCCAGGAGATGGAGCCAACGCTGGTGAGGTTGGTCAAGCTGAGGGTGGTGAGAGTGGTGAGACCGTCCAGCTTGAAGGTGTCGCCAATGGAGCTCAGGGAGGAGGAGCTGAACGAGGTGATGTTGCTGCCGCCGGTGCAGCTCAGTCCACCAGCGATGGAGGTGACACCGTTGAGGGTGAGGTCACCAGAGGCGCTCTCGCTGATCTCGACATCACCCTTGAGGGTGGTGCAGGTGGCGTAGCTGTCAAGGTCACTCTGGCTGGAGATGGTGATGGTGCTGCCGCTGCTACCACAGCCTACATTGTCATCAGTCATTGCCGTTCACTGCTCACTTCATCCAGATTATCGCTGGTGGTACTCACTGGCAGCCATGGCGGCCTGGGCCGCAGCAAGAGCGGGGAGGGCGTATTTGATGAAAGCCATTGCTTAGGATAACTTGAGACTGTATAGTCGAAAAGATGTCAGTCACCAATGTTCGCTTCGTCTGCTCCTAAACCACTGCCAAGGTTCTTCCGATCCAACAGATCCAATCCCAGTCGTGGCAGGCGCAAAAGATAAACAGATCAGACAGCAGCTTGATGAAGAGGTTGACCTACCAATGACGGCTGTTGGTTAAGTATGCGAACTGGGGCGAGGCAAGGCCCTTTGTTGACACGGATAGCAGCGTAAGAGCTGAAGGGGGGGTTGTGAGACGATAAATAAGCGAGCGAGCGAATGGAGAAGAGCTTCAACGAAGGAGAAGCTTTATGAGCGAAGACCCTCAGCGAGAGAAAGTGCGCGGGTTAGGCAGGCACGATTTGCACGGGAAGGGAAGAAGGGGAAAGAAGAAGGGAAGGACAGAGGAAAGCGAGAGAAACGAGAGAGGAAAGGGAAAAGAAGGACTGGATGGCTGGAAAAGAAAATCTTCTTCAGAAGAAAGTGGGAAGACTTTCAGGGAGGACAAACCAAGGCAAGAAAGGAGTCGTGGCCCCGAAAAGGCTGGTGGACCTGAGACCGGGGAGGGGGGCGCCTTTCTCTCCTTGCGACGTTACCGGACCAGCGTATGAACGCTGCTCGTACCGTAATTTACTCACTTTCCTGTACCTGTCCGGGTTTAATTAATTAACTTCGAGGGGCGATTGGCCCACGGTAACGGAGAGCGGAAAAAGAAATCGAGGAATCCTGATCTTGGTCCTGGAAACGAATGGTCGGTCCATTTGGTTTAGTCTGCTCCATCCTGTAACACCTCGCCAATGACCAACTTCTTGCTCATGCGTCTGCTGATTCGTTCTGCCTGCCCTCTGGCTCCTCTTCCTCCCCCCTTCTTCCCTTTCTTCCCCCGGTCTCTCAGTAAGTTCTGACCATTCATACCAAGCATAGGCTTCTAGTGCTTGTGTACGATGCTCGAGCCGCTGCGGCAGCTTGAAATCGGACTCCAAGCAATCAACCCTCCCGCAGGCAATTTTACTCCGTATTTTTGACTGTATCGAAAAGTCTGGCCCCGTTTTTCTGGGTTATGCATGGTGCAGTGGGCTTCCGATTCACAACACAAAAACGTCATACAACAAATAGTTTGATCGGACTTGTGTTGAATTCTATGAACTCGGCATTACCCATTGGCCCCCCCGCCTCCCTCTCAAAACATCAGCATCTCACTGCTGAAACCATCAGAAAATCGTCAACCACAACTGACAGGTGACTCCTCTGATGGAATGCGACTCGATACATCACGGACATTCGTTGTGGCAGGTAACAATACTGACAAATTTAGCATCCTGCCGCTAGGAGGGGCCAGACCCCAATCGCGCATTGCTAGGGAGGTCCTGACTAATATTAGCATCCTATACCAGGAGTAAATTATACATGTATCTCATTGAACGGCGATGGCCTGTGATCTAGTGAGGTCGACTAATTATCTACAGTAGACGGAGTAGATAGATTCCTATCTATGGAGGATATACTCTTATTGCCAACACGGTATTGGCTTATCCCTTCACTCCACCATCGATATGGTTCGCCTATTATTTATCCCTTTCCCACTCAACCGCAACCAAGTCAACTTGTTTTTCTCATCGCCAGCAGCATGAGTGACACCACGAACCTTCTAAGAATGCTAGTATCAATTTCAACAACACCTAGCGAGTCCGGTCGCTGTATAGTGGTCGATCTGAATTTATTGGAATCTAAGGGGGACCCGCTTTTCCTCCAAGTGCGGACTCGACTCCGTCCCTCACAAGTCCTTCGCCTGCCTTACGTTGGTATGCAGCGCCCTGTTCGCGCGTTGGAATTTCGGTCGCCTAGATGCCTTGGACTTGCTTTTGCCTCTTGACACGTATGTGTGTAGAAAACGGCAGACAACTGAGGCCTAAAAAAAAATGAAAGAAAGGTAAATGTTATAACGGTCCATTCTGTGGCACTACCGTGATCCCCGTTTGCAGGTTGAACTCATTCTTGTCCTTGTTCTTTGACTTCCAAGATGAATGCGCTGGACCTCATGCCTGAAAACTCAATTCTCGTCTTGGCTTCAGGTACCAGTGGATACCGAATCATAACAAAACAATGTCTCGGGAAGCTAATAATAAAGTGGCGAATCGATGGCTCTGAGGGGGGAGTATCACGTGTGTCTTACAGCTATACGTAACACGGCTGTAACTCCCATACCCACTTTTAGTGGCCCCCACTTGGCCTGGCCACAAAGTACTCCGAGTGCTGGTGGTGTAATTCCTAGTCGCTGTATCTTACTTACCATACCGCGATAGAAATTGGCCGGCTGGATAAGATGTTTAGACTCTCCCGGCGCGGCCAGCCAGAGTCCAAAGCTGTTTGCCCATAGGCGCATTCTCCCCATGCTAACTTCATAGTGGCAATGACTCGAAACATCCATGATATGACATGATATATAGGTGCCTAGCAAAGACTCTCAAAGCGAGACAAAATTCCATCCTAGTCTCAGATCTTGAACGGTTGCAGAAAGGGTCAGATCTCATGTATACATCCGGCTATGCACTGTAAGGGATTCTCCGTCGTTATTATCCTCTCACCCGTCACAAAAAGAAATAATGGATGTTTGATTACCTGCGAGGAGAATCCCGCGGGCATCATCAAAACCTGGCAAAACGCGATCGCCGTGGTCGCTGCCACTATTGCTTGTTCTTTCTCGATCCGTTTAGAGTTCTTCAGCTATCAGACCCATTCCTACTCCACAACTATCCGTCGCAATAATAAGACTGCCCTGGGAGATAATCTCGCTCCTTAGTTAAGTGGCGCGAGACGCCCTTGCAACTGACTTTTAATGAAGTTTCCTAGTTCTTGTTCGCGGTGGTTATATTTGGAGTTGGTCGGATTGCCTCTCAAATGATGATTACTTCAACCTCGGCTTTGCCACGGCGAGCACTGCACTTCTTTTATTGCCGATGTTTCACTTCTGACGCTGCGTAATGAAGCGCATGTACTAATGAAGTAGCCGATAAATCTTACCACCGGGCACGTTCTCCCAAACGCCACTAGACGCGGGTGGCTGGAACCGGCTAGCACTGTTATGCCTGATAAGGATGAATATGGTCTCCCAGTCTGACGCATCCAGTATGACAACTTATGATGTAGAGGGGTTGGGGTCAAGTCGTGTGTATAGATCACCGAGGACGGAGTATACTTCGTCTTTTGGTAGATCATCCAGCACTGTTAATTGATACTAAAGAGTATCGGAATGATTCTGGCATTCTACCATCCCGGGACACTTCATAATCCGCCCTCTTCATACGGTACTTTGCCGACCAGTGCGCATCATAACTTCCTCCTATCCATCACACTGAACTATAAATCATCTATCCTATTTACCCCCTATCATGGCTGGAACGACCCAATCCGCTCACTAATGGTTTAGCATCAACAGTAGGGGACCGACCGGATCAGCTTGTCGGCATGGGACAACTCACCCCGACCATCATCACCATAGTAACCTCGTCCAATCCCGACCCCCTTTTCTTAGCCACACCCCGTGATGTTCAGAACCTCAATGGGCGGGGCAAAGCAACGTATGCTTCCTCCTCCTTTGGAAGAGCGAAGCTTTTTCTTTTCTCGGGATAAGATGCTCGGTATAGATAAACCGATGCTTGTTTGTACCCAATACGGGGGTTAGATACCCATTCGGGCAAAAGATGATGGAAAGTGGATGGGCATACTTACAAAGTCCACTCGCCTCTCGATGGCGACCAGCGGAGGATTGTCGGTACGCCCCCTTTAGGCGTCGCTCATTGTTATTTACTTTACCTGATGGACTAGACCTCCTTACCAATCACTATCCACGGATGAACATATCATTCCATGGAACCGGCTTACCCTAGGGGAATCTATACCTTGGTACTTTGTAAGTTCTTCGCTAGTCACAACCACCCACTTCACTGTCAATGGAGGATTTCTGTGGTCACTTAGTTATCTAGTTGGTGGCTGGGCCACCTCTCCCAACTACTTTACCTACGTGGATGCACAACGTCTATTCGTCTTGAAAAAATTCTATAACGATGACGCGCAAGCCCGCACAGCGGGCACTGCGTCCGGTTCGTCCTCGTCCGACTCTAAAGTACTAGCTACCAAGTAGCCCAAAAATATGAACACCAGTCATGTTGCGACTTCGGTGATCTTCCGCATCTTATCATCGTGGGCCAACACATCAATTATATTTTCCCTTATGGGGTATGTAGCGATGACTGCGAACGTCGGATTGAAAGCCTTACGAGTACAACAAATGACCGGTGGAACATGGCCAATCGGACAGTTTCCTTTCATATAAATGAATCGCAACGTCTGGTGGAGGGGGATGGTGGTTCTGATAGAAGCTTTTTTTCCTGCAATGGGGTTGATTGATGCCTACGCATCGCGAGATCCATAATTAATTACCTCTTCGTTTTCTCTGGCTCCTCTTTCCGGGAGTTTCCATGCCGGGTAAATTTTCCATATCCTTAATATACTAGAAGAAAACATCTGCGAAACGTGGATGGGGCTATTGCTACTGATACTACATAATTAAGTGTGGTTGGGAGATGGATTCTAGTAGGTATCGACTAAGAACGAATGTATATTTTAAGTTAGGGGATGGACAGCCCGGCATCAGACTTTCAGTTTGCTGTACGGAGTAGCTGTCACCAGTTAGATTCCAACGAACAGTTCGCCATCATGCTGTTTAGTCTGAAATCTCGAGGAATATCTTGACTCAGACTCTGAATTTGATTTCCTAGACTAATCATATCCATAACCCATGATTCTGCAGGTTTACTATGTTACTCAACATACGGCGTGTCTAACCACGGAATATCATATGACACCATAACTGACTGAAGACCTCAAACTGAAGCGAGGATGTTTCACACCTTTCAAATGCGGGGGATGAGAGACCACCACTCATGCAGAGAAAACCGCAACAAGAAGCGGTATGGAAACCAGGCAGACAAACAAAGAGGAAATCAACCATGGTTGATATCATTGATTGCTAAGACAGCTGCTCGTGACTTCCCGAGCTTATGTACTCCATCCTCATCATAGTACTTCAACAACACTAACCGCCATGACTGGTCCATACTACCTACAAACAGCAACAGCGATAATATCCTTACCCCAATTACTCTTAAAATATCTATATTCTTAACTAGAGTACACACTGCTGAGAAGCGACTGATTCAATGATGACCCTGCGACGCTCCGCTCGTCTAACCGCAGCGTCAGTGTCCAAGAACAACAGCACCACCACCACTGTCCCACATCTGCAACCCAGAACTCAAACAAAGAGAGCAGCCAGCAGAACCACAAACGGTGTCTCAAAGACACGAAAGCCTGCTGCAGCGGCAGCAAGGGGCAAGAAAGCGCAGCTAAATTCGATTCTCAAACTTGACCAAGCTCCTCCCCTCACAGATTCGCCAACATCATCATCACGCTCAAACAACAGCAGACAATCACCCAATACTAGTACTACAGCCACTACTAACAACATCTGGGACCCCATCCCCACCCCCACAGTTCACACCTCCAGCAGCAGAACGACCCCTCCCCCGCTCGACCGACCGGTCGAACCGCACCACACCAACGCAACGCTCCTCACCCCCCATGGCTCATCGCTAGTTGCATACCCCCCGGGCACAGATGCGGACGCATCACCAAGCAAGACAGGCCGGCCCCGTCCCACCGCCACAACAGGCACGCTTCTCGAGAAAGCAGCCGCACACCTGATCGCCACGGATCCGCGTCTGGAATCGCTCATCCGCGAACAGCCCTGTCCGTTGTTCACGCCGGAGGGCCTAGCCGAGGAGATCGACCCGTTTCGGAGCCTTGTTAGTAGTATCATTGGACAGCAGGTGTCAGGAGCAGCGGCGAAGTCGATTAAGGATAAGTTTGTGGCGTTGTTCAAGACAAATAATAAGGATGAGGATGGTACGAGACCGAGCTTCTTCCCTACCCCGGAAGAAATTATCAAGATGGATATCAGCACGCTCCGGACAGCAGGTCTGTCCCAGCGCAAGGCGGAATACATACATGGGTTATCGGAGAAGTTTGCCAACGGGGAACTGAGTGCCCGGATGTTATTGAATGCTAGTGACGAGGAACTCGTTGAGAAGTTGACTGCTGTGCGGGGCTTGGGCAAATGGTCTGTTGAGATGTTTGCTTGTTTTGCTCTGAAGCGGATAGATGTGTTTTCTACGGGTGATTTGGGTGTACAGTATGTGATTATCTGTGGGTGAATTGGGTAGATGCTGACTTGTGTTGTTGCAGGAGAGGTTGTGCGGTATTTGTGGGCAAGGATGTAAACAAGTTGAAGGGAAAGGGCGGCGGTAAGTTCAAGTATATGCCTGAAAAAGATATGTTGGAGCTGGCGGCGAAGTTTGCTCCGTATAGGTATGTGATGCCCGTTGATGTATGTCCTTGTGGGCTTGTTGTCTGACATCCGTACTAGGAGCTTGTTCATGTGGTATATGTGGCGGGTGACGGATGTTAATATTGCTGTGTTGGGTGGGTAGATTACAACTATATACAGACAGGATATAGAACCAGACATCCGATAGGTATAGTGGGTAGAGCTACTATATGTACATTACACAGAAGGTGTGGAACGTATATAGGTTCTATACCGGGCATGTATCATGAACCACGCATAAGCTGAAAGCTACAAGCCAACTAGAGAACGATGACGAGTGAATTTGTACAGTATCAGTACACGTGATTGAGCACCATAAATCAAAAGCTTCAATTAACAACCAGCCAAATGCTCTCTCTCTCCTCCCTCTCTTCTTCGCAGCATGCCCGCCGAGCCGAGCCGGGACAGCAAGTTCTCTCTGATACTTAGTATTCCCGCCCGTCTATAAAACCCCAGCGGCATTTTTGTATACCGTAACAAAAGTAATCTAGTTCAGCGAAGCCAGAGACATAATCTACCGTCTGACGACAAGGGCGTCGAGGTCTTCACGCTCCTGCTTCTCCTTCTCGATCTCGCGGATGATGGGGCTCAGGTACTCGACATCCTGGGGACGATGACAGTTAGCATCCACCACACGAATATGGTCTTAAACGCGTCAAATAATATATCAGGGACATCAATATATCAAGTCCAGTCAACATAAGCATCGATATGGAGTAACCCAGGTGGGTTACAAATCCCGCTCACGGGATTGGCCGATGCGTTTTTGCGGAGAAACTGAACGGACAATTGACGGATTGAAGAACGCGGAAATCGACTCACCTCCTCGGGCTTGGTCTGCTCAGCAGCGGGAAGAAGGGTGTGGGAGATGGAGCACTGTTTCGCGCATATTATGTTAGTTTTATGTTCTTCTGTGGTTGGAGTTCGGTGTGAGGACGGACCTGGAATGCTCTGCGGATGCGGAAGATACGGTCGTAGGCCTCCTTGGGAGGGAGACGCTTGAGGGCCTTCTGGACGACGTCGTTCTCCTCGGGGATCAGGTCATCAGCCCTGGTTTGATTGTTAGTTGATGCTGCAATGGAGGTATGATCATGGGTTGGCTCGTAATGCCCGGACCAGCGGGCGACGGCAGGAACATGATATGGATAGTCAAGTGGAGGGTGCTGATTATATATCCCCCCGCAATTGAGATCTATCCATTGTCTCTTCCATTGATTCGTAGTCGCTAATGTTGGTCCGGGAAACCACCCATGAGGGCAAGGGGATCGCCTACTTCAAGCCGAGTCTCCTGTAGCCAGAGGCATCGGTGTACCACTGGGCAATGGGCATCATCCAGCGCTTGAGGAAGGGGCGCTTGACGATGTAGCTGGCGAGGGAGGGAGCGGACATGGTGATTGATCCCAGCGGGGTTGTTCGGGTCCAATTGACGGGGTGGTGTGGAGGGGGAGGATCGCGAAATGTCAGTCAAGCTGAGCAGGAGATGGCCCGACGTTGGAGATTGTGCAAAACGGAGGTTCGGCGGGTGACTTTCCCAAAAACATCCGATGTTGGTGCCTGAGGCAGGAGGAATCATTCCGAGAAGTTACTTTGTAAGACTGGTTTCCACGTGACCGGCTCAGCTTGCGCCATGGTTGCCTCAGGCCAGAAGAGCGGCGCGCTTGGAGGCGGACAAGATTCACTCACTCATTCCCGACTCCACTCCACCTGACTGACTGGAATACGACTAAGACAATCCCTCCAGCTCAATTCATCCCGTCCTCATTGCTCCGTCCTGTTCCGTCTGCCTCCTCTTAACACCGGCGCTCCCATCTGTTCGGACTTCACCCCGACGGTCTTTGTTTCTGATACTTTGGTTTGTACTCACTGGGCATGCCGCTTATTATCTATCCGTTGAACATTTTTCTTAGTTCGATTCCCTTTCACTCCGATAGGGGAGCTGCGTTGCTCCTACAAACCCCGCCCCGTCTGTGCTTCAGATAGGCCAACCTTATTACGCCCACTCCTCCCGGCAGCATCGGCTCCTCTCTGCGAAAGAAAAAAAACCCTTCAATTCATTGTCTCGGGGTAGTTTTTCCTGTTCTACCAGCGCCCCGAACGACGTCACGCTTTCCTCCCCTCTCACCACGATTTGACACACGGGTTATTTTTGGGTTCCGGAGCGAGCACCGATATGCTCGGATCCGGGAACCCTCGGTGACATAGTAGACGGATTGCATACTGCTTTGAGTGCTGGCTGGAAAGATGTTCTCTGAAGGCCATGGCCCTTCGGGGGCTGCCAGCGGCTCTCAAGAGCAGCAGGGTACAACTTCGGACAGTTCGCCTTCGTCTACGCTTCATGTATCGGCCGAATCCCCATCCCAGCCCACTCTTCTCGATCGCTTCGAAATGCTCGCTACACGTGTGCCGGATTATTACATCACGCCGTTCTGCGGGGCCAGTGCGGGCGTAGCCTCGGGAATCGTCACCTGCCCTCTCGATGTGATCAAGACCAAGCTGCAGGCTCAGGGTGGATTCGCGCGACGACGTGGCAAGGCGGTCGAGGCTAAAACACTGTACCGGGGCATGCTAGGAACTGGACGAGTAATATGGCGGGAGGATGGTATTCGAGGCCTTTATCAAGGATTGGGTCCCATGCTCCTGGGATACCTGCCGACGTGGGCAGTCTATTTAGCGGTCTACGATCGGTCTCGGGAGTATTTCTACGAAACAACAGGTGAGGAGTGATGCTACGGAGAATGGGTGATGGTGAGGCTGACAGTGGAACAGATAGTTGGTGGCTCTCACGAGGTTACGCCTCGATAACGGCGGGCGCTTGCTCGACCCTTGCGACGAATCCGATTTGGGTGATTAAGACACGACTAATGTCACAGAGCCTCCGGTCGAGCAGCGAAGGCTACCGGGCTCCTTGGCAATACAAAAACACATGGGATGCGGCCCGCAAAATGTACAGAAGTGAAGGAATTCGTTCGTTCTACTCCGGCCTTACTCCAGCGCTGCTGGGGCTGGCGCATGTGGCCATCCAGTTCCCTCTCTACGAATATCTGAAGATGGCATTTACTGGCTATAGTATTGGCGAACATCCCGATACTGGCAGCTCACACTGGGTGGGCATTACATCTGCGACGTTCCTGAGTAAGGTGTGTGCCAGCACTGCGACATACCCGCATGAAGTGCTTCGGACACGACTCCAAACACAGCAGAGGACATCACCGGCGGCCTCACCCGAAGAGATCTCGTTCCGCGGCGGGATGGATCACCCCCAGGGTCATAGCAGGCCCCCGGGTGCTGCTTCGTCGGACGGGATGCCCAATCGACCCCGGTACACGGGAATCATTCGCACATGCCAGACCATTCTGAGAGAAGAAGGCTGGCGCGCGTTCTACTCTGGGATCGGCACGAACCTGTTCCGGGCGGTCCCGGCTGCGATGACTACCATGCTCACTTATGAGTACTTGAAGAAAACGATTGGACACGTGCAACATGAGGGAGAGCTGAAGTTGCAGAAGCTGGAGGCCACATCAGACAGTGGAATCTAAATACTAGACGGATGGTCTGTGACGAGGTGGCGAGCCGTGAGCATCGCACCTATGCTGGGATTTTTTTGCACCTAGCGATTTCATTTTTGTTCCGTGCTAGTCGTACATTGCGAAGATACACTACCATAGAGGACATTCATTGCCTGGGCTGCAGCCCATGATATCCTGTCAGCACGTTGTTCTGATCCTTTGACACATCCTCGGCGCAATGACACCACCCTGCGGAGTAGGGGTAGATGCATGGTGTGCTGACATGTGAAATTCGAACAAACTAGTCATGTTCTGAGTTGCTGATTCCTTGATGGTTATGGTTCTGAGCGTTCTTGTTTTTTTTTTTCCCGAATTGATAAACCTCAATTGCGATTGTATATACATACAAATCTTCCCTCTAGAACATATGCTCCGTAGTAAGATGAATAGCATTCAACACTTATTAACAATTACCCAACCAATTCATGACAAAAAGTCTTGGGGAGATACATCCTTCCATCATGCATGCAGCCGCATTGCCCCCTCCGTTCATTTCCCGCATGACATCAGCGGGAAAGTCACGTGATACCCACACTAAAAACCGCCGGCGAAATTCTCTGTGCGGTTTGTTTCCTTCCCACCAACCATGGCTATAATGAAAGCCATATTATACGAATATTAACCGACACTGTTGGATAATATCATTCTTTTGCTGCGCAATAATGTGTTTGTGCTTATGATGATTGATGCATATCCGACTGCTACTCTTTTCTACAATTCAATTGTTGTTTGTGTGTGTTCTGGTGATCACTATCATTTGACTCCATTTATATGATGAATAATTTTTAATGGTAGATCCTGTTATCAAACATGGATATGATCATTGATACACTGAAAATTCTGATAATGGATTATTTGATATGATGCTTTCTATATTGTGTTTGTGCTGTTGGCTGTTGCACGATGTTTATATTAGCTATATCATATTGTTGTGTGTGTGTGTGCTCTTTAATGCAATAAATTTTTAGAGAATGTCCCAGATATCCAGACAGCAATTACAACAGTATGTACAACGCATAGTAGCTTGTAAGATTTACGCTCAGTTCTGCCCCAGATCTATCACTGAGACCCCTTCTTCTCCCCCTCTCGACTTTCTTCAAGTGCCTGCTGTACCCATGAAGACTGCGACTCTGCCTTCCTAGGTCGGGGCGTAGTGGTTGTGGTGCTTGACGTGGATTGTGCCTCGCGACGAGCGGTGTGGATGGATTTGATGCAGTAGGAGCCAAGTAGTAGGGCCATGGTGAAGGCGGCTATTGGGGCATTGAGAGACTGTTCATCGATATGTTAATTACTAACTATAGTAGTTATGGTGACTGGTGATCATCTGGAGTAGTGTGTGTGCTGTTCAATGGAAATTGAATATATACTTCGCAGCAAGTCATGGGACCCAACTTGCAACTGCTACCACTACTAATTTCAAGAGAACAAGAAAGAAGAGTGACTCACGCCCGATGATCGGCCTAGTGTCTTTCCGGCCATGGTTTACGTTCTTCCTTGTAAGAGGAGAGGGACTGACTGTTGGCCAGGAAGGATCGCTCTCGACCAAAGTCATCCGGGATAACTTAACCAGTCTAAGTAAACAACTAAGCAAAGTCTTACTAACTGAAAAGGTTCTAGAGCCACTGCAGGGCGTGCGAGAGGCATGCTATGCTCGGGCCGGGATAATCCGAGGGAGGGAAACATTATCAGATGGAGGGCGAGCAGATAAGCCCATCCTTACGATACCAGCCGCTGCTCTGCTCCGTACCGCTTGGTAATGCCCGCCTGCAGAACTTCCCGTTGGCCGAAACTGCCGGTTCTCCTTGGTAAGAACCGGCGGACCCAGAACTACAACTCCCGGCTACCCTCTCAGTTGTAGGCCACAGAACTGGCATCCCCAACCGTGATTCTCTGGTAGAACGTGTCAGTTCCTATCATTCAATCAGACAGCTTCTCATCCTAGGTTGTTCCGAACGAGTAACAGTACCCAGCATAATTCCTAATCCACCCACCAGTTCGCTTTAACGTCATACCCTATCTCCGAGGCCGGCTCCGCGGAGGCAACGGGGTTTCTCGAAATCGCCTAGCGCCGGTGAATAAGACGGCCTTAGTCAAGTTTCCCCCCCCAAGGAAACCATAATTAATCAATCGCAACTATCAATCTTTCATCACATCCAACTCTTCCTAAACTAACTAACCACCCAACCCCGACCTCACCACTCACCTATTCTTTTCCATCATCAATCTACTGTCTAATCAATACCCTACTTTCCTCTTAATATTTCACACACATCACATACACAATGTTCCGTCGTCTAGTAACAGTTGTCCCTCGCTCCGGCGTCCTTTCGCCTCGCAGCGTCACCCCGGCCGTCTCCGGAATCCAGCAAGCCGTGAGGTCGACCGTTGTTGCTCCTCAGCAGCAGCAGCGCAGAGGATACCATGAGAAAGATATGTTTATTCTCCCTGTCCCTTTCGTCATGTCGAAAAACCGAAGAAAATGCTGACCATCCCTGCACTGTTGGACCACTACTCCAACCCAAGTAGGTAGCTTCCTACATCCATCCCTCTCGACAACATCATGTCGCATCAAAATATACAACACGCAGCGCATTCAAATCACGCCCACCAGACATACACGAACAAACGTGAAAATGAATACTAACGAGCATTCCTGTAGGAAACGTCGGCTCCATGGCCAAGTCGATGGACGTTGGTACCGGACTCGTCGGCGCCCCGGCCTGTGGCGATGTCATGAAACTCCAGATCCGCGTCGACAAGGACAGCAACAAGATCAGCGACGTCAAGTTCAAGACTTTCGGTTGCGGTAGCGCTATTGCCAGCTCAAGTTATCTGACTGAGCTGGTCCGTGGAATGACCCTCGACGAGGCCGCTAAGATCCGTAACACCGATATCGCCAAGGAGTTGTGCTTGCCCCCTGTTAAGCGTATGTTTATCCCTTGCTACTGTGGAGACGAGAGGCCTGGAAGAAATCGGGGGTAGAAATGATAAAGCTAACATATTCTGATAGTGCACTGCTCCATGCTTGCCGAAGACGCCATCAAGTCCGCCATCTCGGATTACTACACCAAGAACCCTCGCACCGTGAAGACCGATTTGTCCGGCACGGGTGCTTCTATCCCGGAAGTGCAGGTGGAGGTTGAGAAGACCAGCAGCGCAACTGCTTAAGTCTTTTCTCTAGCTTTTACGAACGAGTGAAAATTCTGAAAAAACCAAAAATATACGGAGCAAAAATGGATACGGATACGGATACAGATACCATGATTGATTCCCGATTAAGAGTGCTGGAGAGAAGAGCAAAGCAGAATGATACAATGGAGATGAGATGAGTTCCGATGTGACTGTATGGATTTGGCCTGTGGTGGAGTGGAGTGGAATGGAATGGCCTGGGTCGAATATGTGATTCCCACAAAATATCTTGTTGCTTGTCAGTCTGGATTGGATGGACTGTTTTTTTCCTTTGTTTATTAAATGGTGTATAGCATTTCATTATTCTTTTCCCACATGATGTTTTTCTTTTCTTCTGATTTTCATTTCCAGCAAGGCAACTAAAGAAGGGATTATTCGGATATATACAACAACAATCACAGTAGTACACAATATAATGTATTCCTCTCTCTATATCTACATACATCCTACCATAACCACAACACAATCTATAGAATAGATAGATAATTAGACCGAATCCCATCGAAAGACAAAGATAGTAGAAGAGAAGAGAAAGTTATCTGATTCGCCACCAGTCAACTCAGCTATGGCCACTGACATCATACGATGCAGCACAGCACAGCACAGCACAGGCAACTAACTTACAAGTGGACACAGAAAAGGGAAAAGCCCCATCTGATAAGCGCAGCACCTAGCGATAACCACTTTAGTTTTTGATTTAAGCTCTACTCTGTGACAGTAGTCTAGACGTGGTGCATGAAGTATGTCTCCCAAGGTACGCGCACGCACAAGGCTTAGATTAGCTAGCTAGTTAGATCTGATAATTTTGCAGAAGTAATGGAATTAATTGTCCTGTGATTTTTCTTGCTTTCTAGATTGGGAGTGGCTACCAAGGTACTTACTTATTTTTCTATTTATATATCTATTTAACCTTCCTGATAGTATCTATATGGGTTGTGGGTTTTGCTGTTGATTCGGGTGGTAGTATGGCTACTTAGTGTCTGGGTTGATTGGATATGTAGGAGCTTCTAGATAATGTATATAGTTTTATAAATAGATATCATAGATAGTAATATAATGAGATAGAAATTCTATATGTATAAAGTACAGAGCACATCTTCTTTTCAACATCAATAAGTAGACAACACGATGACTGAAAACCAATAGTCTAAATCAACAAAATCACAGGTAGAGCTGAAAGGGTAAAGGTAGTGGGAAAAGGAAAAGAGAAACGCCAATGCACAACACCGCATGCATATGCCCTCTATCGATATCAATCAATTACTGCGTAGCAGGGGGATTCAAAACCAAGGGGAATGGGGGTAAGAAAAGGGAAGAAGGGAAAGAATAAGAATAAAAAGGGAAAATATACAATATTATCAAACCAACCCGAACCGACTCTTCAGCGAAAGCAACGTCTCATAAACTGACAACTTCAACTCGACACGCAGATAACCAGTCCAAGCGCAGAGGAAGCGCCAGAAGTTCCCAGGACGCAGGATACCTCCGGTCTCGTTGACAGAGTCCATTTGCTCTTCGAAGACGGTGCGGGTGGCGTAGCGGGCGAGAATCAGGAAGGTGCGCATAGGTCCTTGGCGGGTGTGGAGGTTCTCGTCCAGACTGCGGGCTATTTTACATTGTTAATTAGAGGCAGATAGATATAGAAGGCGAGGGGTGGGGACTAACTCAAATCGTTGGTCTTGAGAATTAGCAGAATGATCCGAGGTACTTGGCCTAGAAGCTCGACTAATTGCTGCAGGAGGCCATCGGCCAAAGAGCCGGACATGCTTTCTCTCTCTGCCGAGGTACGGGCAGACACGATATCCTTCTTTTTAAGTACCATGTAGTCACGACCGGTGATGGCACTGGCGAAGAGTGGGAACTGCTCGTCCGTGATGCCGGCAACCTTGCGCGCGTACTCGCGCATGCGCGGCAGGTCGGACTCGATCACGGCCAGCCAGAGCTTGGCGTAGTTGCGGCGCAGGTCCTGGTCGATGTCGCGGTAGAGACCGTGGTCGTAGAGGATGATGTCGAAGTTGTGCCGGCGGCGGTTGGGGTTCGGGCGAATGGCGATGTTGCCGCCGTGAGGATCACAGTGCAGAGGTGCGTTGTTACCGAAGATCATCTCGTTGAAGATGTGTGCCAGAGCAGCGGAGACTTCGTCGCGGTCAATGTGGTTCGAGTCGAGGAATTCAAGATCGTCGGGACGTCGGCCGGAGATGAACTCCATGACCAGGATACGCTTTTGAGACCACATCACTGGCTGGTGTTAGTATGCGCTTGCTGGGTAAAGGTGACTGTGATTAAACCAGGCATACCTTCGGGGATAACCAACGGGGCATCCGAGTGCTTCTTGAAGTACTCGCTCGCCCGCGTGGCATTCTCCGCCTCCATTCGGAAATCCAGCTCCTGGGGCAGAGACAGGTCCATTTCACGAGAGAGCCATTCCAGATCGTATTCAGGGAAGAACCGCTTCAGCATCGAAAAGGTAAACCGAGTCAAGGCCAGATCCAGGGGCACCCACTCCGCCAATGCGGGATGCTGCACCTTGACCGCAACCTTTTGACCTGTTTCTTTCAGCGTACCAATGTGCACCTGCGCCAAAGAAGCGGCACCGATGGGCTCGGGATCGAAGGACGAGAACAGCTCGTCGATACGACGTCCTGTATCGGCCACGAACATTTCCTCGATCGATTCAATCGAGGACACGGGGCACTTGTCCTGGAGCGGGATAAAGGTTGTAGTCCATTCCGACGGAAGCAGGTAGCCCATGCTACTCAAATGCTGTCCCAGCTTAATAAATATCGATCCATTCTTCTCCAAGACCCGTAGAGTCCGTTCCGCGCAACGTTTGTGACAAGCCCGAATGGCTTCGCTTCGTTCCTCCGGCGTGGAGGTTTCTTGCTTGAGAGTGACCCGGTAGCTGACCGAATTACAACGTATAAGTATACTGGCAACGTAGCCTCAGGGGTATAAATTCGCGCGTGCCCACTTACTCGTTAATGCAAACCGCCAGTGTGCCAACCACTCTGCCAGTTCTCGCAGCGGCACGGTAGAAATGTTGGACTTGGTCCGAAAACACGACTGCGCCAACTACGAGCGTGCCTCCAATCACAGCATACTTGATGACCTTGCTGCGCGATTGACCCGATCCCGAATGCTCTCCACCACTTTGTCCTGGTTTCGCCGATTCAGACAACGGAGACGTGCTGGTGGCGTAAGCCGCCCGAGGAATCGACTGGGCGATACGACTGGAAAAGCGCTTCGAGCATGATGCAGGAGGTGTAGTGACCGAGCTGGGAATCAACCGACGGGAGACCGCAGATATCGGGGCGAAATTGCCAGGGTGGCAGGCGAGAGAAGGCTTCGCAGCCGATCGTATGACCGCCGCAGGATCAAAATTGGAAGCCCGCAGCGGAATGCGGAGCGCCGCCCTCATCCCGAACTCGAACAATGCCGTCTGGGGAGCGACCACAAGTCGAGAACAGCAGTGAACCGGACGGCGTGGATCATCCGTGCCAGCACGAAGCCCTCGAGAACAATCGTAGGGGAGGAGGAGGAAAGTCTGCCGGAGGAGGAGGGAGGATGCGGCGGAGAAGTTCACTGGTTGGCCGCCGCGGCGCATTTTCGTCGCACTTCTTCGCCGGGAGCCGATCAGCCCCGTTTGGCCGCCACTTCGGGATCGCCCATACACTAGTATATACTGTTATTCCCTGCTAGATAACAGATATATATATGTGTACTGAGCTGCCCATACCTCAATATTCTATACCCTTAGTTTTATAGTAATGTTGGATTGACTGTCTCTATCATATCTATCTTCTCGAACTTGTGTGCTTTATCTGATATAATTATGATAGAATATCCCAAGACTTTCAGATAGCAATATCCATCAGGCATAATTATGGCTACTAATAATGGCTCTCTGAATATCCTATAATAAGGCCCAAGACCCCTAGCATATAATGTCTTGAATCCTGGTTGCTGACAAACTGAATATTGAATAATTTACTATTAAGGATAGAAAAAGATACCCAGTCATCTTTAATAACTTTATATGGATTCTGATTTACACTCAATATAATCTGTACTATGCTAGATTATCTCTAGTATATGATTTACTACTGAGACAGTAATTAAGCACCTTAAATATAACTATATATTCTAGAGAAGTAAATCAAATGACCGGGTAATTCTTTTTTTAGATAAGTTAAATGAAGTTTATCCTATTAGTCTCCAGGTAAAGTAAAACAATATCCGCTGCTGTTATATTATATATAATAAATACTAGTAAGATAGATAGCTGGCCTAGAAAAGAGAAGACGATTGAATATAATCTTACTACACTATATACTAGCAGCTAGTAGAAAAGTAAATAGTACTAGAGTAAGCATGCCCGGCTATCTATATTAATTCTTTTCCACTGAAGGATGCATGATTTTCTTTAGAATGAATAAAATTTGGAACTTCATCTATAGGAGGGTTCAGGCAACCTACAATCCTAGTACATTAGCTGGATTATATTCAGAGCGTCCTGCCCGAAAATATATAATGCCTGTAGGCATAAAAACCAGATGATACAGCTCGTCCATATCCGAAAACAACTATTTTGTCTTACCCTTTTCAGGTGCCGTTGAGTAAGATAGCTCTGTGCATGGTGGAGAGGACTCAAGGAAGCAACTTTATTCATGTTCTCTTTCGTTGCTCTGTCCCTGTTATTCTACGCAAACAAGATGACCACTATATCTTCATTGGCGAGTGTAATGTGCCATGGCATGCATAGACGGAGAGAGCCATCAACTTAGTAGGTGAATGAGGGGTCCTTTGGTGGAAGAGGAGTTAGTTCACTTTAATATGATCTTTCTTTGTCCAAAATCTGGAACAATTTTATATATCTATATGATGGAAATCCATATGTTCCTGTCTTCGGTTACATGAATGCAACAACCCTTGCAGTATACTTGACATATATTGAAGAATTTGTATGGTTAATCATCCCTTTGCATGCGGGTCACAGCTCTAGCAAGCCGTACACAGTCACATTTGGTACCAGACTCAGGAGGTGAATTCCTACTCCGGCACACTGTAGAACCCCTTCCGATTCCAGAACCCAATAAACCGCCGTAGCATGCCCGCGTCCAGCGGGCGACACACCAGGTCCGGCCGCTCCTTCAGCGCCGCGATGGTATTGTCCGCGCGGTACCACGGCGTGTACTGACTGGCCTCCCAGCGGGTGAGGCGGCCGAGCACGCGTTCCTGCACCATGGGCATCAGCGGGGCGAGGGCGGCATTTGGGCCGCGCTGCTCGCGCACTGCCTGCGCCGCCCAGTCCTCATAATCGACCATATGCACCTTATGCCCAGCCTCATTGAGCACGCGACAAGTCCCCTCGACCGTCACGGACGCCTTCGGGTCCGGCGGGACAAGATGATACGAGCGGCCGAGGAGGGCATTGTCCCTGGCGATATGCAGCATGGCGTCGACGACGTAGTCGACAGTGACGTATTCGAGGCACTGAGTGAGGCGTGGGAAGGTCCCCATCTGGATGCAGCCGACGATGAGGCGGGTGAAGAAGTCGTTCGGGTTGCTGGCGCCGGTGACGGCGTCGCCGATGATGAAGCCCGGGCGATAGATGGCGACGGGGAGGTGGTGCGGGGGTTCGTCGCGGAGCCGGCGCACCATCGCCTCAGCGGTCCACTGCGACTGCGCGTAGCCAAGATCATAGCGGAGGCCCTGGATGTGCGGCTGGAGGGGTGCGTCTTCGGGGAGCTCGCGCGTGCCCAGGATGGCGCCGGTGGGCCCCCAGGCGTCGACGCTGGAGACGTAGTGGAGCGGCTTGCGGCGGCCGGTGACGGCGAGGCTGAGAATGTTGCGCGTGCCGACGACATTGGCGGCGCGGTGCTCGCGGTACGACTCGCAGAAGTTGACCTTCGCGCCGAGGTGGAAGATCACGGACGCCCAGTCGGCGAGCCAGGTGAACTGCTTGCGGCCAAGGCCGAGGTGGGGGTCGGCCAGGTCGCCCGGGAGGACGAGGAGCTTCTGGGCGAGGTGGTCTGAGGCTGGCCAGAGGTCGTAGGTCTCGAGGGTTTGGCGCACGCGCGCGGCGGCGGAGAGGGAGCCTTGAGGTCGGGCAAGACAGGCGACCTGCTGGACGGTGGGTTTGTGCAAGAGCCGGTGGAGGAGATGCGCGCCGACGAAGCCAGTGGCGCCAGTGAGGAAGACGCGGCCCTCATCGGGGCTTTGCCAGTCGGGGATCCAGGCGATATCGTTGACGAGGTCGACGTCTTGCATCCAGACATGGGTGTCGTCCGGGGCGTTCCCGTGGGTGAGAGGTTCGGCCGGTTGGACCTGGCAAACAAGGTCGTCGAATCGCGAGTGCCGGTATAGTTCCTCCATGGAGATGAGGACTTTCAGGTGGATCTGGACGCGGGCGATGAGCTCGGCCGCCTGCATGGATGTGCCGCCTAGGGCAAAGAAGTCATCGCCATCATGGATATGGGGTAGATGGAGGATGTCCATCCAGATATCGCGGAGAAGAGTATGCTTATCCTGTGCGTTGCCGTTGGACTGGGCCGGGGGAGCGTCTTCGCTGGGTTTCTGTTTCTGTAGAGCGTCCATCCGGCGCTGTACAAGTGTGGCACGATCAACTTTGCCGTTTGAGGTGAGAGGAAACTCCCCCATGACCTCGATGGCGTCGGGGATCATGTACGACGGGAGACGCTCTCGCGCGAACTGGGTCACAGCATGCGGATCCACGCTTGCATCGTCACTCACAACAAAGGCAACTAGTGTATGCGTACCGTCGGTCGTCAACGGCGGCTGTCGAGCGACCACCGCTGTGTGCACTCTTGGGTGTCTCTCTAGGGCACGCTCAACCTCGCCCAGTTCTACCCGGAAGCCTCCCTGTTTGACCTGGGAGTCAGTGCGTCCGAGAAAATCCAAGACATTGGAGTCGACTCTCCACTCGGCCCTATCTCCCGTGCGATAGACTCGCACGACGTCGTGGTCCTCGCCGTGACGACCCAGCCGAGTAATCTCTACAAACTGCTCCGCGGTCTCGGCAGGCCGGGCGAAGTAGCCGGCGGCCTGCTGGGGCCCAGCGATGTAGACCTCGCCGGGCTGGCCCGGCTCTCTGATGGGCTGTTGCTCATCAGCAAGCAGGATAATCTCCATGTCTCCGACAGGGCGGCCAATGGGGATCAAATCCGTGTCTGTGTCTGCAGGAGTGACCTCATGCATCGTCGTGAGAGTGGTACACTCTGTCGGACCGTATGTGTTCCATAAATGCTGGGGAGGACCGTGTTCGAACACGCTGCGGATCGCTTGCACGTTGGCGACGTCGCCACCCATGAGGACATGACGCAGGGTGCTAAACGCCGAGGGGCAGGCCGAGACGATGATGCGGAAGAGCGCCGCCGTGATGAAGATCACAGACACTTGATGTTCCTGCAAGTACGAGGCGATGGCTCCTGGGTCGGTTGCAATGTGTCGTGGGACGACAACAATCGTAGCCCCAGAGAGAAGAGTAGCCCATATCTCAAACAGACTCAGATCGAAGCCGGGATTGTTGAACTCGGCCACGCGATCACTAGTGAGTAGAGGAGTGACTGGCGTGTTCGTGGCCAGGTGGAGGATATTCGCAGGGCGAATCTGCACCGGCTTGGGCCTGCCGGTTGACCCAGACGTGAAGAGGACATGGCTGCGATCTGTCTCCGGGCGAAACTCCCAGTTTGATAGTGCCGCGTGCGCCTTCTGTCCCACGGGGGGCATGTGCACGGTGCGAAAGCCGGAGAGACTGATAGGCCCGTCCTTTTCCATGATTATGTAGCGCACATGGACTTGATTGAACATGTCCGCGATGCGAAGCTCCGGAAGAGTAGGCTCAATGGGCACACAAGTGGCCCCAACCAGACGGACTGCAAGTTGCGCGACAATCTGTCCAAGCCCTGAACCGAGAAGAATCCCTACGGGTTCTTCCGGGGCTTTGATGCCCTCCGCGTCGAGCAAGTCCGCAAGATGGATGGCCTCAGACACCAGCTCACGATATGTGAGCGTGGTATTGTCTGCCACGACAGCGGTAACGTCCGGGGCTTGTTGAGCGTGAGAATACACAATGCGTTCCATGATGGTTGTAGGGAGTCGATTAAATGCGAGAATAGTAAGATGATGGAGGACGATGCATTAAGAGATGTGAGAGGCCAATATATATGATTGAAGAAGTGCCTTTGGACTGTGGTGCCGTAGTACATCTTCCAGGATAAATATCCAAGATTAGGTTTTATTCTGCAGGAAACAACGCTAGAGGTTTCTTACATGTCTACTGAATATTGACTATTTCTATAATCTACAATACTGGCTCAGCTGAAGTTAAAACAAACAGTTATAGAAAATAATTAGTTATAAGACTTGTATAGAAAAAAAATAAACTATCCTTTTTCTACAGATCAATTGTATACACGCTGCGACATTATAGAAGAGCTGTTCCAGTTCTGGATCCATGGAATACGGCTGAATGAAGAACTGCAAGAGAAGTCAAAAGTCAATGACAAGAAATGCCACCAATTTTCGGGTCTGTTCAGTTCATCATGACATCAACTTTCGGCCCTGATGTCACTCGCACCTTCCCTTCTCAGCTTCCTCTCTCTTGCTCGTTCCTTCCCAAACAAGGCAACTGCATAGGTATTCTGACTATTTCGGAAGCAACATCAGTTTGCGATGCAGTGAGCGTAGTACATTGGACAGCCCCTATTCTGTTAGAAGCCGCCAACATGAGGGTATTGCGTCACGCATCAATCCAACCTGTAGCGCGGGGGTTCAACTGCCACATACCGGAATGTATATATAAGTGGGCGTTGTCCGGGACTCGGAGAGCAAGATGATACTGGAAGCATAGGTGTCAAATGCAGAACATCTCAGCTGACGAAGACAGAAAGGAGAACAAGCCTATTTGCATCATATAATTCCCCACCATCGTTGTAAGAACCAAAATGAATCCTGGACTCGATACTCTTTGCCACAAGCTCGAACAGACATTGGCTCTCCGGCGCGAACAAGGGCGTCTGATCGAACCGCCTTCGCCGGCAAAGCTGGACAGCTTGATTGACTTCAGCTCTAATGACTCGCTGTCTCTCACTACTTCCGGGATTCTGACTGAGGCTTTCCTGAAACAGCTCAAGATGCATTCTGCGTTCACCATCGGAAGTACCTCGTCGCGGATTTTGGACGGTACAAAGCAGTACCTGCTTGACCTCGAACGGGACCTAGCCAAGTTCCACCGTGCCGAAACAGCCATGTTCTTCAATTCGGGCTACGATGCCAACGTGGCTCTCTGGTCCACGATTCCTCAGCCCGGTGACTTCATTCTGTATGATGCGTATGTGCATGCGAGCATCCACGATGGGATGCGCCGTGGTCGGGCAACCACACTGTCTTTCAAACACAACGATTGCCAAGCCTTCAAGTTGTGTCTGGAGAAGATCCGAACCGAGAACTCAGGAATAGCAGAGGGACGTCAGGTGGTATTCGTCGCTCTCGAATCCTTCTACAGCATGGACGGGGACTCCGCCCCCGTTGTCGAGCTGCTCGAGGTGGCGCACAAGGCACTCCCCCGGAAGAACTTCATATTTTCGATCGACGAGGCGCATTCCAATGGGATCATGGGACCGAATGGCTCTGGGTTTGTGTGTCACTACGGATTGGAGGAGAATTTCCCCATCCGGCTTCAAACATGTGGCAAGGCGCTGGGGTCCACGGGTGGTGAGTGCCTAGCATTCTCCTGTAATCAGTTATCTTCCTGACAGGGATAGCTGCTCTTTTGTGCAACGAGACCATCAAATCTGTCCTCATCAACTATGCCCGAGGATTATCTTTAGTACGGCACCGAGTTTCCTCAGTGTGGCTGCGGTGCGAGCAGGATACGATATCATAGGCAGTAAAGAAGGCGAAGATGTGGGTATAAGTTCTCCTCGGGGATCGCCATCTACTAACAGTAAGCAGCGTCGAAAACGCCTTCAAAGCAATGTGTGCCGCTTCTACACACAATTGACATCGCATCCAGGTTGGCCGCAGATCAAACGCAAGGGCACTATCTACCTCCCAACCGAACATACTTGGTATTTGGAGCCAATCCAGTCTCCAATAGTACCGGTGGTTCCTCGGCATGACCTCGCAGTTAACCTGGGAAAGTACTTGGAGCAGGCCAAATACAGGGTGAGTACCGTGCATTACCCTATTGTTCCCGACAGGTCGGGTCGCGTTCGGATTGTTTTGCATGCAGATCATACTCCGCAGCAGATTGATCATGTTGTGGAACTTATCATGCAGTGGGCAAATAAGCAGGGGGCAAGAGGGGCTCATTTGTGAAATTGTCAAAAGTATAGAACATCAAGTACAGATGTACCCTAGTCTACACAAAGTTCGATATGAAGAAATAAGATTGCACTTGTATGTTATCCACAATTATCTACATGGGCCATTTCCCTCCCTGACAGTTCCGTCTTCCTGTACCCCGAATACCAGCCTGAGAGAGATCCCATCCCCGCCGGAAAGCACATCGACAAAAGAATGTGTATACACAGTCAAGGCAAATCACAAGTAAACCTAGTACTCCAATCCTATGCAATGCAAATACAATGTACCCATCTACTTCCCAGTCTCCTGTCTACAAATGAGCCAATTGGCGCACCCCGGGTCGGCATGAGGTCCGCTAGGACGCCCAGTCCGAATCAGCATGCGTTGGTCGTCGGCGCTGAGGAAGGATGGAACGTCGACGGGAGAGTGAGCTCGACGGTCGAGTCTCCTCTTCGGCCAGGAGCTCTACTTGTGATAGCCTGTTAGCCACTCCTCGAGACAGCCTGTTCCTCGATGGGCCAGCACTGCTGCTGAGTCCGGCTGACAGAGAGGGACCAGTGCCATCCCTGCTGCCTGGTCGTAATGCCAGAGCAGAGCTGCTAAGGGAGGGCCGCGGGTGTCGCTGGCTTTCCCGTCCATCAAAATAAGCCTTGGGTTGATTGAACCGATTGATCTGTGGGGTGGCTGGTGCGGACTGATTCGCAAGGTAGCCTGGGGGCGTGGTAGACGTGCTCTTTCGTCTCATACCAGGCTTGCGTTTCTCGAGGCTGAACGATTCACTTCTCTCATTGGATTGGATCAGCTTGCCAGCCATGTCTCTAACCAGAATGGCCGGGTCATGCTCCAACTCCCGGATTGCTTCCAAAAGTCCATATTTCGCAAGAAGGCCACCTTGTTCTTCGCTAGAATCGCAGATGCTCGAGATAATACGCAGGAGGTTTAGCCGGACAGCGGCCTTGTTATGATGTAATTTCTGTCCTAGCCTTGTGAAAAGATCAGGGCGCGCAAATGTCGAGGCAATAGGCGGACTCAGTCTCAGAAGCTTTTGCAATGGCTCGAGGATGTTCTCAAAGGCGTTCGCCTTCGAAATCGTCAGGCACCTGACAATGGAATCCGTAAATGACATCTTGTCGTAGCGGTTATCCAAGAGGTGTTCCTCAACCTTGGCCGTTTCTTCCTGGAGCCTGCCAAAGAGTTAGACCGGTATTCTCAATACACACGGGGTCGAAACATACCAAGTAAATATAGCGTCCAATGCGGTTACCTGCCAGTACGGATCCGACAACAGGGAGATGTAGAAAGCCAGACCCTTGTTGCGCCACAGTTCGCGGCGTCCGACCTTTCCTGAATGCGCCATGTCGCAGAGAATCGGCAACGCGAACTCTTTGAGCGGCCGCTCGGTCTTTACGATCTTCTGAAGAAGCGGTACTATGCCGTTCAGAGCAGCATCCTCTTGGCGGGACTTGTTCAGACGACACATATTGTAGATAGTGTTGAGAATCTGGTTGGAAACTTCCCGGAAGTGTGGCCGTTTGATGGTCGACCTCAACAAGTCCGTAAGCACGTCGATGGCGTTGGAGTTCTGGAGCGAGTCGAGAGTTGTTGAAAGCATGGACAGATTCTTGATGAACTTCAACATAGTGATCTGGTGTGCGGGCGTCATCCGCTTCAGCTCTTTCAGGACCCCTGAGACAGGTTAGCAAAGTGTTTGAAATCACTAGACTCGATGCCTTACTGTGCAGAACTGTCCGCTCAGCAACCATTTCCTTGACGTGATTCTCGGCCTGCGAGAAAATGAAGAAGATGTTGGCTATCCGGCCTTCAACAATTTCGGCTAATTCTCCTTCCTCGTCCAAGACACGGCTCAAAACAAGTGACAAGGGATCCAAGACAGAATTGCGTGATAAAATCCTGCAGAAATCATTTTTTGGCGTCGAACCCTGAATTAAATTAGCCTCTGAACGAGAAGATACTGAAGACGAACATACTTGTAAATCAAAAACGCTCCAGATACCGTTCACCCCAATGAGAACGAGATCGCGTTCATCTTCGTAGTCGTCTTCCAAGAATTCAACCAATACATTGAGACCTCCAGCACTGACGAACATCTGGAGGGTAAGAGTAGATGTTTGATACATCTGCTGCACAAAGGCTGCTGCTTCTAGTCGAATCTCTCTCGGATATTTTTTGGAGGCAAACTCATTTATGATTGGGATACCTCCGACGAAACAGAGGTTTTCCTGGATTTCATAGTCATTGAAGATGATGGCGTTGACAATCCGCAACAAGCACAGAATGATGTCGCGCCGACGGCAAATGTCAAGAATCTCTAAAATCGGGAGCATCCCGTGAGCACTAATGATGATGTTCTTCGTCTCTGGAAGGTCACAGAATACGGTTAGCAGTTGCTCCGAGATTTCTCCAAGCACGTCTTCATCCTGAGATGTCTTTAAAGAGCTGACAAGACCCTCGACTTGACCCCGTAGACGTGCGTATTTGTCACGCGCGATGTTAGCTTCCAGATCCACCTCATCGAGCCCTTCTTCGAGCTGGGCGAACGGATCGTCCTCATCATCTTGATCCCCAAGCCATGAGTTGTTCGATAGCTTTGAGTTTAACATCAGCGTACTCCGATCTGAGCCCTCATCGCTTTCGGGCTTATCCAGGGCAACCTCATCAGCCCCTAGAATGTCAGAGAAGTCTTCATCGCGCTCATTTTCTGCGAACTTTTGTATTTCTATTGCCGATCGGTGACGCTTGACAGATATCCGTTTTCTAAGCTGTGGCTGATGATCTTCATCATGGTCCGGTGACGCCTGATACCGGACTACCTCCTTCGAGGGCGAGGGGATCGATATATCACTGCCCTCTTCGTCGATATCCTGAGATGCGTAAGAAGACGCATACTAATGAATCAGCTTAGGGGACATGCTTACCTGGAAAGCACTGAGCTTATCATCCAAAATATCTTCATTTGCAGAGATGAGGTCAGAGTAGTCTTCGACCGAGTTCTCTTTGAAGTACGATGTCGGGCGCTGCGGTCTTAATGGTGGCACAGGGGTCTTGAGAACAGGCACATTGTGGTGCATCGCAGCTATTGTGGGTTTTGTCTGCTGAGACATGTTCTCCATCCCGGTCGGTTTGGCCGAGTAAGGGCGAATGGTCCGAAGAGGATCCGATTCACCAGGTTGCTGAGAGAAAGGATCATCGAAGTCATCAAAGCCGTCTTCGGACTTCAACACTGTACCATCTAGGGATGCAAACGCCTTCAGCTTTTCGGAGGAAAGCATTCCGCCAAAATTATCCTGCGGTCGAAGGTGAGGAAGCTGCAGCGCACTGGGAGAGATGGCAGTAGCAAAGTCATCGTCCCAGTTATCTTCTTCCGTGGAGTCTGGCGAGCGGAATCGATCTGTCACATGCTTGGACACCGGGCTGGGAAGGATATCTTTTGTTGGTGTATACCGAGATGGTGCCATTTCGGGGCGCAGAGCAGCACCCTGAGCATCGTATCGGTACGGTTTCCGCAGGGTTCCAGTGTCCGGAGAACGGAGAGCTTCATTCCACTCCTGGACGCTCTTGACTGCTTCCTCATACTCGGTGGATTTCTTGGGGACCACGGAATCAGACCGGCGAGCGTTGACAATCCATGGGTGTTTAAGGAGCTTCCTGGCGGAGACACGAAGGTTGGGATCCTTTTGGAAGCATTGCATCAAGAAGTCTTTGACAGCCTGGATACTAATCAGATACCGAGAACCAAGAACGGAGCTGGAGACTAACCGGAGAAGCACCCTGAGGAAGGGGAGGGTGGTCATCATTGACGATGCGGAATAGAGCCGGCATAGGTTGGAGATTATAGTAAGGAGGCTTACCCTCCAGAAGCTCGATCACAGTACAACCAAGACTCCAAATATCGGACGCTGTTGTCGCACCAGAAAGTTCAATCACCTCCGGAGCCATCCAATACGGCGTCCCAACCACGCTGGACTCACTTAGCCCAGTGGTTCTGCTGGCCACACCAAAATCTGCAAGCTTGACAAGGCCTTCTTTCGTGGTAAGGATATTGGCTCCTTTGATATCTCGATGAATGACACCTTGCTCGTGCAGATATAAGAGACCATGGAGGACCTGAGACATGTAGAGACCAACCAGGTTTTCCGGGAAACGTCCAAAGTTCTTTGCGATCGAGTGTAAAGAGCCATTTTCACAGTATCTGTCTCGTCAGCTACACTGATCATGGCTTTATCAATCAATGCGAAGGTACGTACTCAAGAATGATGTTTAGAGTTTCTGCAGACTTCACGAACCCCTGGTACTTCACAATGTTGGGATGCTACAACCACAGGTCAGCTCGGGGGACAAGGAACATGATCGGATGTCGCAACTTACGTCTAGGTTCTTCAAAAGATCGATTTCCAACTGCAACACTCGGCGTTAGCGGACAGCGCCTCGACCAGCGGCGACCGGAGAGGGTTTACCATGATCACTCGTAGTTCACTTTTCGGCAGATCCACCAATTTGATCTGCTTCACTGCGACTGTTTCCCCGGTATTCCAATTCAGGGCCCTGTAGACCGACCCAAATGCGCCTTTACCCAGGCAGTCGCCCAATTGCTAAATTAAGGCACCATTAGCCACGCCCGTCACGGGAACCAGGGAAGCCGTATTCATACATAATCCTTGAGCTCCGCGACATCTTTAGCAGAGGATTTGACAACCCTATCGTCCTTCGGTTTGTCTTGTTTGGCCGGGCTGGAGTTGAGTCTCGACAGTCGCGTTTTGGCTGGAGTTCCGGGGATCTTGGAAGGTGGCGGCGGCCCCTCACTGGTTTCGCTGGACCGGGAAACCATGGTCGCGCAGCGGGTGGATCGAGATCCCCTTTTCGCTGTTATCAAATGGCACTCAGCTGGAAGCACTCGGATTCCGACAACTGTAGGCTTAGACGACGAGGGAAGGTGTGGTAAGGGCAGGCGCCAGAGAACCGATCGGATCGTTCATGTCAGCCCGAGCTAGTTA